GATGATGTGGTACATGTGAAGTATGGTGATCAGATTGGCGTAATTATCATATCTCTCATTTCAAACATTTCTCATTTCAGTACCTGCCTTCCAGCTGTTTGAAACTGTATGATACGTTATGGTTAACTGTAGTCATCCTTAGGTGCTATGGGACACTAGAACTTAATTCTCCTATCTAGCTGTAATTTTCTATCCTTCAGCAAATTTCTCCCTAGACCCACTTCCCTGCTACCCTTCTTAGGCTCTGGTATCCTCTGTTCTACTTTTTACTTCTATAAGCTCCATTTTTTTAGCTATGCGTGAGAACATGTGGTGTTTAACTCTCTGTTCCTGTTGTATTTCACTTAATGTCCTCCAATTCCATCTGTGTTCTTGGGAATGACAAGATACAATTTTGTATGGCTGAATTGTGTTCCATCATGTGTGTTACCACATTTCTTTGTTGGTGGACGTCTGTGTTGATTTTCTTTATTCATCTGTGTTGGATGATTGCACATCTTGGGTCTTATAAATGGTGCTGCAAGAAACTTGGGGTCGCAGATGTCTCTGATATGCTGATACCCTTTGCTTTGGATAAATGCCCAGTGGTGGGATTGCTGGATTTCACAAATAAAAAAGCGATGGTTTTATTTGTGTGTTTTTTTTAGGAACCTCCATGCTGTTGTCTGTAATAGCATTCCCACCAAGTGTCTAAGAATTCCCTTATCTCTGCACTTCACCAGCATTCAGTATTGTTTTCTCTTCTTTATGCAACTATCCTAACTGGGGTAAGGTCATACCTCATTGTGGTTTGGTTTGCGTCTTCCTGGGCAGCTTTTTTATAGACAATCAGGTGATTGAACAGAGGCGATGGCTTTACCTTTTTAGGTCTCTGATAAGGCACAGCTTCATGAGGCACAGTATAGGGTGTTAATTTTTTATTTTAGGGAAAAGGTCCACTTACTCTGGGCTGCAACGGACTCTCCTAGGGAAAAAAAAAAAAAACAACTAAAACACCATCCAAGGAAAGAACTTGGCCCATGGTTTGTCGCTGCCTCCTTTCTCACTTTACATCTCACACAGCGTGTCCAGCTTCTACACTAGATTCTGCTGTCCAGGGTTGAGAAATTCATGTGGACCTGAAGATGCCCGTCTGCAGCCAGGCCGTTATGAAAGGAAGATGCACTCCACCAGGGGAAATATAGTAGGCATTCAGCCCACCACCCAGAGGGCGGCTGGTGCCACCCTTGCTAGTGTATGAATGGGTCACCATGACCCTGTTTTCTATGGAGTTGTTCCCAGACCCTAACAGATCAGTAAAATGAAGAAGTGAAACTGAGTGATCAGCAGAAAGGCTGCCATCTTTGTAGTACGTCAGGCGAAGACATCTTAAATCCAGGTGCCATTTGTCATCTTTGTCCTTCTTAAAGGAGACAGGAAGTCCTTGCCCTCACCCGCTAAGAAGGGGCAACTGTGAAAGGTCAAAATCAGAATAAAGAATAGCCTCTCGCATTGCATACTTTTGGATTCATTTGAAAAAATTACCTGCATGGTTCTTATTTTTCTCCTATCACTCAAGAACTGGGACCTTGGGACTTGTCGGGGTTGAGATGCCTGCAGCAGAAACCCCTGTTCCAGCCGCTTAAAGACTGAATCAGTGAACCACAAAATACCACTTTCAGGTTGCTTTTCACACATCTCCTTGTACTAATTTCCTATTCCTGCTGTTGATAAATTACCACAAACGTGGGGGCTAAAAAATGAGATTCAGAGTCCTAAAATGCAGATGTCAGCCAGGCTGTGCTCCACGGGGCTGTGGGGGAGACTGTGCTTCCTCACCCCTTCTGGCTTCCAGAGGCCACTGTGTTCCTCCGCTGGGTTTGCCTCTTTCTTGCATCTCTTCGACCTCTTTTCCTCCTCTCTGACTCTCACCCTCCTGTCTTCCTCATGATTACATTGGGCCCACCTGGATGATCCAGGATTATTTAATCCTCATCTCAAGATTCTAAACTTTTTTTTTTTTGTTTTTTGAGACAGAGTCTTGCTCTGTTGCCCAGGCTGGAGAGCAGTGGGGTGATCACAGCTCCCTGCAACCTCCACCTCCCAGGTTCAGGTGATTCTCCTGCCTACGCCTCTCAAGTAGCAGGGATTACAGGTGCACACCACCAGGACTGGCTATCTTTTTTGTATTTTTAATAGAGACAGGGTTTCTCCATGATGACTAGGCTGGTCTCGAACTTCTGGCCTCAAGTGATCTGCCCATCTCGGCCTCCCAAAAAGTAATCCCCACAAAGTTCTGGGATTACAGGCATGAGCCACCTCTCCTGGCCAAGATACTGAATTTAATCACCCTTGCAGTGCGCCTGTGGCTGTGGAAGGTGACGGATAGGCCCTGGGGGCCTTTTGTAGTCTTTGGAGGGCTGTTACTCTGTCTGCATCCTTCTGCTCTTCTCTCCTCCTCCCTTGTCAGGCACCCTTACAAAGCTGCCTTTAATTTCTCTTATCTATGGGATTATTTAATCAGGAATCCTCAAATGAACAAATGGCCAGGTGGCGATCTTGACTGGGCTGCTTGATTTGGAGCCAGGTATATAACCCCTGAGGCTCTTTTTCTCCTTACCTACAAAATCATGGGTCTGGCTCATTTCTTAGTTAAATTTGAAGTTCCCATATTCATCACTGCTTTCCACTGTCTGCTTTAGGGATTGGGGAATGGGATATTTAGAGGTGAAACAGGAAGGAAGGAATTATGTGTATGTGCTTTACAAATTCACATGTGCCTGAATGTATTTACCCTTAATGTGCTCATTTTATTTCATTTTTGATTTTTGACGTGTTTATTTTTTCCCACATCTAGAACAGAATAGGTGTGCCTGCGGGGCAGGGATGCTGTTAAGAACTGTGATTAATGGCGCCTCTAATCCCAGCACTTTGGGAGGCCAAGGCGGGCAGATCACGAGGTCGGGAGATCGAGACCATCCTGGCTAACACCGTGAAACCCTGCCTCTGAAAAAAGCAATTTAAAAAAAAAAACCAAAAGCAACCAACTGCTGTAAATGCATTTATGGTTCCTGAAGGTTTAAGAATAGTCATGCTGAGCTGAGGAAGTCCAGCATATGCCCTGGGCTTCCTTCACCTGACAGTTATTTCTTGTTAAAGAGTCGCTGTAAAATGCTAAATAAGCTTAATAACTGCTAATAACCATTTTTGTCAGTTAAGGACACTTCCATTTTATGAATTTGGGGGAAAATATAGGAAAATACCTGAGGAATAGAATTTTCAATATCATACGTATGGCTTTGGATATTGTAGAATTCTTATGCACACGTCGCAATGTGCTTGCTTTGGCTTTCTAAAAAGAATTCAGGTAGCAGTAGATGTTTTGATAGCAGTGAAAAAATACGACCAAAATAAAGCCCTTCACCGTGGCCTTAGTGTTCACCGTGGACCCTATTAGGCCAGATTCAACAGAGGCATCATTTTCTCTAAGACACAAAACACACACAATCCTATCCTTATTTTGGTCACTGAAAACCTGAAGATAGGTTGTTTGGCGGAGGACTGGCACCCAGGTGCTCAGGGAGAGGTGCTGCTCTTCTCACTTCAGCTGTCTGTAGAGACTGTGAACATGAACCCCACAGGGGTTACATGGGCCTGAAATTCTGGACTTTACAGCCTGAGGTGCAGCTGAGGCAGCTCAGGTTTATGGAGACCATTCCTTGCACAGCTAAATACCATCCTGTTCTTGGAGGTGTGAGCAGGAGATGTTGGAAGGGGATGGCTCTGCTCACCGGTGGCTTTTCCTTTAGGAAGACATGTCCCCCTTTCGGGGACTTCTTAACACTCACATCTGAAAGAAGACTGGCTCATGCAGAACAAGAGAGGGGAAGCTTTGCCTGGTGCCAGGGATGTTTGGAGTAGCGGAGTTAAGAGATCATACACGGACTTGGGTCTGGCTTTTGTGACGAGATGCCCCGGTGGGAAGATCCAGCTGGTGGCAGACTAGAAGTTGGTGCTCAAAGGTGTGGATGGACTGGCTTCTTTCCTTCAGTGGAAGCAGGGGCCCAGGGAAGGGAGTGTGTGGTGCGAAGGTACAGTGGCCCATGCTTTCCCGAGGAGTTTGCACATGACATGGTTTCATTTTAGAGAATTTCAGAGGTGTGCCACAAGGAAGGTGCCTTTTGTGTATAGTTTCGCCTGGCTGGGCTGTGCAGGATGGAGGGTGAGAGCTTTGATCAGGGATTTCGAAGATGAGTTTTATATTGAATACCTTACAGGTAGACGCCAGTGGATAGGAGGAACAGTAGTATATATATATATATATTTAAACTAAGACTGGGCTAGTTGAATACTTTTTCAGCCTCAAACACTTTGTAACATCCTTTTCACAGCAGTGACTGTTGCCTTTATTCCATAATGCATGAGCAAAAGTGTGGTTTGAATTTAATGGTATGACTTTTTAGGGGCTTATGTAGGAGCAGTTTGATCCTTTTGCAAAATAGGAACAGCTTTATGTCAGGATAAACGTGGGATTTCAGATGTTTCTTGCTGATCATTGTCAGTTTTAAGGGTTTCTTCTAACATAGGACATTTTCATCTACTGGGATTGTGATGTCTTCTATTGGCTTAATATCAACATTTCTGCATGATAATTATTTTGTTAATTTCCAAAGAATATTCGGTCCATGTACAATTGATTCATAGGAAGATAAAAAGAATCTACTAGTGTAAATAAAAGATAGTATTGAAGTGGCAATGAAAACGCTGTTGATGATTTCTTCTCATAGCACTTAAGATCATCTGGTGTCGTGGGTAGTTACGAATTTCTCCTCCTTAAACCAGTGACCCTTTATATTTGTCTGAAAGAAAAGGCGACTTCTGTGGGTATCAGAGAGGATGATCCAAGCGGTGACTGAATGTATTTCAATGTTAAAAACCACAGCATTAAAACAAGCCAACACGACAGCACGGTCACATCTACCTTGACTGTTACTAATACGTTTCCTTTTTTTTCATTACAGCTTTTTATAACTATGATGCCAGAGGAGCAGATGAACTGTCTTTACAGATCGGAGACACTGTGCACATCTTAGAGACATATGAAGGTGCGTATGCATCTTGGTATTTTTTATATGTTCGGGCAGATGGCACATCTTCCCAGTGCCTGCTGGGCAAAGCATTCCTCAGTTACAGACGCATAGACAGTCATGCTCCCTTCTCAGGCCCACTTTCTTGCAGATGGCTACTGTTTCAGGTAAGGGTACTAGTGAGGCTGTCTGTTGTTTAAATAATGCTTTACTAAAGTGAACTTAAAACTAAAATTCCTCCCCCGCCCTTTTTTTTTTTGAGACAGAGACTCGCTCTTTCGACCAGGCTGGAGTGCCATGGTGCAGTCTCGGCTCACTGCTACTTCTACCTCCTGGATTCAAGCAATTCTTCTGCCTCAGCCTCCCGAGTAGCTGGGACTATATGTGTGCATCACCATGTCCAGCTAATTTTTGTATTTTTAGTAGAGATGGGGTTTCACCATATTGGCCAGGCTGGTCTTGAACTCCTGACCTCGTGATCTGTCTGCCTCGGCCTCTCAAATTGCTGGGATTACAGGCATGAGCCACTGTGCCATCCTAAAATTCGCATTTTTAAACTTGTTGGTTCCTTGTAAAGCTTTTTGTTTGTTTGTTTTAAGACAAGTCTCGCTCTGTCACCCAGGGTGGAATGCGGTGGCCCTATCTCAGCTCACTGCAACCTCCACCTCCCAGGTGCAAGTGATTCTCATGCCTTAGCCTCCTGAGTAAATGGGATTACAGGTGCCTGCCACCGTGCCTAGTTAATTTTTTTGTATTTTTAGTAGAGATGGCTTTTCACCATGTTGGTCAGGCTGGTCTTGAACTCCTGACCTCATCTGATCTGCCCACCTCAGCCTCCCAAAGTGCTGGGATTACAGGCATGGTCCACTCTGCCAGGCTAAGTGTGTGTAAATCTTGTTTGTTAACAGTTGACCACTTGATAAATAGTATGTTTAAGATATTTTAGTTTACTTCATTGTTTTGTTTTGTTTTTGAGACAGGGTCTTGCTCTGTCACACGGGTTGAAGTGCAGTGGCACAGTCACAGCTCACTGCAGGCAACCTCCACCTCTTAGGCTCAAGCAGTCCTCCCACTTCAGCCTCCCAAGTAGCTGGGTCTACAGGTGCCTGCTACCACCCTCAGCTAATTTTTATATTTTTTGTAGAGACAGGGTTTCACCATGTTGCCCAGTCTGGTCCTGAACTCCTTCCTGAGCTCAAGTGATTTGCCTGCCTCAGCCTCTCAGAGTGCTGGAATTACAGGTGTGAGCCACCGTGCCCAGCCTGCTTCATTGTTTTGATGTGTTTGGTGGGAACTGAGATTTTTTCTTTTAATGCTTTCACTTAGATTTGTTAGCAGCATGTCTCAGAGAAACTACAATTTTCATCTCTTGTTTCCTTTCCTTTTTTTTTTTTTAAACCTGTAATCCGCATTTTCTTGGGATGAACAGAGATTTTTGGCAGTTACATGGGATGCCATCCAATGAAGCAATTTTTTTTTTTGAGACAGAGTTTCATTCTTCTTGCCCAGGCTTGAGTGCAATGGTGTGATCTCAGCTCACTACAGCCTCCTCCTCCTGGGTCCAAGTGATTCTCCTGTTTTAGCCTCCCGAGTAGCTGGAATTACAGTCATGCACCATCACCCTCAGCTAATTCTGTATTTTTAGTAGAGATAGGGTTTCTTAATGTTGCTCAGGCTGATCTTGAACTCCCAATCTCAGGTGATCTGCCTGCCTCAGCCTCCCAAAGTGCTGGGATTACAGGTGTGAGCCACCTTGCCCAACCTGAAGCAATTGTTATAAATATCCAATAAATAAACTGTTGGTGACAGTGGTTTTCCAGTGTCCTTGGCTTTTCAGAAAATTTGTTTTCACATTTCATGTCTTGCAAATAATTTGAGCAGGCCATAATTCATTTTATGCTGCAGTTATTGTTGCATAGAAGGGAAGAAATGAAGGGCTTGATTTTCTTAAAGACTGTACGGATCTGGAGGTTTTGTAAGATTGTGTTTTGTAAGGCTGTGTTTTCGTATTTTGCTGGCTTAATTTACTGCTTGAAACGGTGATTCCCATATAGCATATGAATAAAAAGGATAATTTCAGTAGCAGAATTGCCTTTTCACCAGGTTTAAGAAAACCCTTCCACGTGGGTGGTGGGGGTGAGAGGGGAAATCGAAGACATCCCGTAGTAATCAACCAATTGCACTTCTAACTTGACCCTCGAAATCCACTTTGCAAGGAATGAAGTAGTGCTCAACTTTCTTGCTGGAGGCAAACTGTGGCCAGCTCCTGGAAGGCTCCTCTGAGAAACACAGACCTATTAACATACCCATGTTCATGGCCCTTATTCCCCCATCTGATGCATGCTGTACCTTCGCTGAAAAAGTCCTATCTGAAAAGAAAATCGACTTCAGTGGCCTCTGCCTGGAAGCCAGTGCATCTCTGCAGAACCAGCCCGAGTCCTTCAGTGGATGAAAAGTTGTGATGGGTCTTCTGCTTCTTTTCCGTGTTTACAGCTGACAGCTGTGTTCCCTTATCTCCTCAGTATGCATTGCCAGTGCTTGAGAGGAGACAGAGAGAAATTAAGTAAAGGTTAGGGATCAAACAGCTCATCTCAGCCACTTTTTGGATCTGAAGGGAATGGCTTTTGTATGTTTTTTAACTTTTGCTGCCGCTCAGTTGAAGTTGAAATCTTGGTTAATAAACACTGGGCAGTGATGCCATTCCGGAGTCGTTAATGATTTCCTGTGGCCCCTGGGCATGTGGGGACTGCAGTTTCTTGTTTTATCCTTCATAATAGGAATGTGTGTGTGGTGTTTTGCTTTTGTTGTTGTTTTTTTTTTTTTGAGACCGAGTTTTGCTATGTTGTCCAGGCTGGAGTGCGGTGGCGTGATCTCAACTCACTGCAACTTCAACCTCCTGAGTTCAAAGAATTCTCCTGCCTCAGCCTCCCAGGTAGCTGGGACTGCAGGTGCCTGCCACCACGCCCGGCTGAGGAATGTGTTTTTTAAACAGTGAGATCCTCAGGCATGTCATGGTCCTTTGGTTTTTTTTTGTTTTTTTTTTTTAATCTGAATCTTCCTCTGTGGCCCAGGCTGGAGTACTGTGGCTCGATCTCAGCTCACTGCAACCTCTGCCTCCCGGGTTCAAGGGATTCTCCTGCCATAGTCTCCGGAGTGGCTGGGACTACCGGCACCCGCCACCACACCCGGCTAAGGAATGTGTTTTTTAAACAGTGGAATCCTCAGGCATGTCATGGTCCTTGTAATACATGTAACTTCAGAAATATCTGATTGCAGGCATTTGACTTTTTGACATCATGATAAGGGATCCATAGTGAACGTTAATTTTCTGAGCTAGTCAATCTTTCTAGATTCTGATTAAAATATTTCAGTCTTTGTAAAGACTCTTTAGCATAAAATGAATTTCCGTTCCTTTACAACTAACTTTTTGGTTTTAATCTGAATCTAATCAGAGAAATGCATTTGGAGAACTATTAATAGTTTTGACTTTGAGAAGTGTGGTGACTTTTTGTCATTAAATAGAAAGGGAATAATGTGCTTTTGTTTTCTGATTTCTTCCTCTTGTTTTCTCTAAATTTCATGACTTGTATTAGAGTCTGGGATTTTCTTTTTCTTTCCTTGGCTCTCCTTTTCATCTAAGACAGTTTTTCTGTTTAGCAAGTTGATCTTCTTTTTCTGTATGATCCTTTCCAGGATATTACAGAGCTTGCTCCAGAGTATATAATTTCTAGGTGATCTCTCTTTATTTTAAGGTTCAAAGACTAAATTTACCTTCAGGTTATGGTTAATTTCTCTTTCTTGGGCACACGAAGGCTCATAGCATAGAACAAAGAAAATGAACTTTCTGGCTCATGGCGGAAGTGGGAAGAGCTTTGAGAGGTCATTCGTGCAGGCCTCCTTTTAAACAGTGTCCTGGATCAACCAGAGAGGTGAGGCCAGGTCCCCAGTGTTGATTGAGTGACTCTTGTGTGGTCAAGGGTGTGCCAATCCTGCTGTCATCTCCTTTCCATAGGGTCCCCAGGGCCAGATGCTATACCAGAGGTCAGCTGCAGGCATTGACCAAAGATTAGCACATTGTCTTTTTGGTTCAGCCACATTCAAACTTAATTTATTCAATTTTTTTTTTTTTTTTTTGAGATGGAGTCTCGCTCTGGTGCCCAGGCTGGAGTGTAGTGGCACGATCTTGGCTCACTGCAACTTCCACCTCCTGAGTTCAAGCAATTCTCCCTGTGTCAGCCTCCTGAGAAGCTGGGATTACAGGCGCCCTCCACCACACCCAGCTAATTTTTGTATTTTTGGTAGAGACAGGGTTTCCCCATATTGACCAGGCTGGTCTCGAACTCCTGACCTCAGGTGATCCGCCTGCCTTGGCCTCCCAAAGTGCTGGGATTACAGGCATGAACTACCGCTCCCAGCCTTGTTCAGATCTTTAAAAGGAATAATGATACATTTTCTTCTAAAATAACTAGACCGCCATTTTCCTGTGCTGGACTGTGCTTTCCCCGAGTTTGTGACCCATGTCTTGCCTATATTTGCCTGTTCCCTGGGTGGATGTCTCTTTTTTTGAGCAGCTTGGTTGACTACCTGGAGGCCACTTACAATCCCTGCTGGGGAGAAGTTAATTCTGTTATGATAGCTGTGAGTCTTTCTACTCCCAGCCTCATCCCCTCTTTGCTGTTCCACAGAGCAGCCAGATAATAATTTCATTCTGTTCTCTCACTGTCCTGTGCAGAATCTCTGCCAGGACATCCTCTCTCCTTCATGCTGAACTCTGTCATGCAGCAGTTTGTGGGGTGACCCCTGTTTATCTTAGGGCCCTTCCAGTTCTGAGCTCATGGAGGGCAGAGACTGGATCTAATCTGTTTCTGTATTTGTGCTGCCCAGTGCGGTCTCTGGCACATGATGTGTGTGCTCACTTAGTTGAATAAGTAGTGCATGCCAAAAATCCTGGAGAGACAAACCATAGGTTTTCATTTGGCTTAGGAGGGCCGTTAGAAGAGGGATCGACCATCTATGAACATTGAGGTAAAGACACAAAACTCCTTGCCTTTTATGCCTACTGCTTGGCCCTTCTTCTCCCACTCCCATAGAGAACCTTTCTACCATGTTCGAAGTGGCCTCTGTGTTGTTATGCTGTTTGGTATACATCTATGTTTAACGGATGTAAGTGTGTGGTTATAGTCTTGTTCTGTTTCTTATTTTCCCTGGTGCTCCATTTAAGATGTACTGTGCTCTCTGTGTCCCTTTAGTCCGTGGCTCTAACTGCATGGTGTACGCATCTCATGTTTTACTAACTGCCTACCCCACCAGTAATGTGTACTCAGGATGTCCCCACTTCCCACCACCCGAAGATCGAGCTGCCCTGAGCATCCCGTGTCTTTCTCACTCTGCAGGGCACACAGATGTCTTTGGGCTGTGTTCCCAGGTGGGGGTTGCTGGGTCTCTGGTGTGGAGATGTAGACTTTGGATAAGCAGGGCCTGCTGCTCCAAGGCTGGCTGCTGTAGTCCATGCTGCTGCCCACAGTGACCAGGGGCGTCTTGGATCCTGCGGTATTCTGCTTCTGCCACTCTTAACTGTACACTTTCCATGTCTCTGATTATTATGAAACTGAAGGATCTCTTCATATGTGTGGAGGTCTTATGGGTTTCTTCTGTACATAGTTTGTAAACTTTTCTCTCTTTTTTTTTTTTTTGAAACAGTCTTGCTCTGTCACCCAGGCTGGAGTGCGTGGCGTGATCTTGGCTCAGTGTAACCTCTGCCTCCCTGGTTCAAGCTATTCTCCTGCCTTAGCCTCCCAAGTAGCTGGGATTACAGGTGCCCTCCACTACGCCTGGCCAATTTTTGTATTTTTAGTAGAGACGGGGTTTTGCTGTGTTGGCCAGGCTGGTCTTGGAACTCTGGACCTCAGGTGATCCGCCTGCCTCGGCGGCCCAGAACGCCAGGATTACAGGAGTGAGCCACCGCTCCCGGCCTCGTTTTCTCACTATACTTAGTTACTATCTTTTTTTGTTTGTTTGTTTCTGCATTATTTCCTTGCATATTCTAAGCCATTAATCTTAGTATCAGAAAAGAAAGGACATGTTGATGTTGAAAATGCAGGAAGACTATAACAGGATAAAGGACAGTCGTGGAAATTGAGTGCAGAGCTGTGAAGAACGCATTCCACCGACCTTCCCTTTTCCCTTCCGCTCTGTGAACACTGTGTCTTAGATGGGCGCTGATACTGGGCCTGCTTATTAAAACCGCTGAACTCGACAATGTGACTATCGGGAGATAATCCTTTAAATGCGTGGCTGAGGCCGGGCGCGGCGGCTCAAGCCTGTAATCCCAGCACTTTGGGAGGCCGAGGCGGGTGGATCACGAGCTCAAGAGATCGAGACCATCCTGGTCAACATGGTGAAACCCCGACTCTACTAAAAACACAAAAAATTAGCTGGGCATGGTGGCGCGTGCCTGTAATCCCAGCTACTCAGGAGGCTGAGGCAGGAGAATTGCCTGAACCCAGGAGGCGGAGGTTGCGGTGAGCCGAGATCGCGCCATTGCACTCCAGCCTGGGTAACAAGAGCGAAACTCCGTCTCAAAAAATAAATGAATGAATGAATGCGTGGCTGAAATCTAGGCATTTTTGTATCTGAGGTTCACTCTAATCAATCTGTTGACTCTCCATGTCGAGAGTGAAATGAGTTCAATTTGTCGTAACTGGGTCTTGGCAGAACCTTTGCAAGAGTCCCCGCAGTTTCTGTTCCCTTTTCTGGTTACGCAGAAAACAGCTGTCTGGTGACCCCTTGGGGATTCTGCTCATCTTAACTCCCGTCACCATCTTAGGGTATTGATTATGGTTCATAATCATCCTCTTCATCCCTGGTTGTTAAAATTTTCACCTTTGAGAGTGTTGGAGACCAGTGGCTGCAACGGTGGCCTGCTTTCATCTGTCTGAACTTGCCCTGTAACTCATACATCTTTGGTTTCTGAGGTTTGGCTTATTAATAGTGTAAAGAAACCCAATATTCGATTATTCTCTGGGAATTTACCCAGCTTACATTTTCCAAGTGCACTCTGTGACAGGGTCCTTTCGTTCCTGTGGGGCAGAGTTGGGATTTGTCTTTAAGCTTTTATTTCATTTTATTTTTTTATTTAGAGATAGAGTCTTGCTCTGTCACCCAGGCTGGAGTGCAGTGGCATGATCTCAGCTCACTGCAACCTTTGCCTCTTGGGGTCAAGCAATTCTCTTGCCTCCGGCTCCTGAGTAGCTGGAATTTCAGGTGTTTGCCACCATGCTCAGCTAATTTTTATATTTTTTAGTAGAGATGAGGTTTCACCATGTCTGCCAGGCTGGTCTCAAGCTCCTGACCTCAAGTGATTCACCTGCCTTGGCCTTCCAAAGTGCTAGGATTATAGGTGTGAGCCACTGCACCTGGCCTCTTTGAGCTTTTGCTTTCCAGAAGCTAGATGGCCGGGAGCGAATTCAGAATGTTTGTAATTAAAAAACCATCCATCTGACCTCACAAATAGTGGGGTGTTTGGAGACTGGATACTGACTGTAGACCCCGGGGTCTTTGCAGGGCAGTTTCTGTCCTCAGCGTTAGAGGGGTACCAGGCGTGTGGCTGGGTCTGGTCCTTTGTTGAAGGGACTCTTCTCTTTGGTATCCATGGCATGCGGATGCTTGGAGTATGTCTTTCTTTCTGCTCTTACTCTTCTCTTTCTCTCACTACTTGGAAGGAGGGAGAGGTGGAGCCTGGGCCAAACCCAAAGAGGCAGGGGTGCCCTATGTGGCCCTGGAGCTTCCTGTGGGTTGAGGGCTGTATCGTTGCTACCGAAGTACTTTGTGAGGTTGTGGCTGCTCCAGGAAAAAGTGCCCTGTCTTGAAGCAGGAGGAAGTCATCTCTCAACGGGTTTTCTCTTTCGGGCCAGTGAGATGCTGGTATGTGCCCTTGGAGAGACCTTGGTCTAAATCAGGCAGAGGGAGAGCCAACAAAATATAAACACAAGGAGCCTACTCAGGGCCAGTGGTTGAAAGGACAAGTCTTCCCCTTGGAACCGTGTATCTGAACTTCAAATGCTGCTTCTGAGCCACGTGAGACACGGAGGGGAAGGTGTGCCGGGCCCACATATTAAGGTTGCCAGCCGGGCTCCGGGTGCGCTGTTGAAATGCTGGGAAACCATGTAGTATATCTCCAAAGCCTTGGGCTCATTGAAAATGCTGGTGACAAACTGACCTCTGGTTCTGCCAGACAGTGAGTTGCACACATCATGAGTGTATTGTGAGGACCCTAATACGCCTCTTTGTACTAACTGTTTCCACTTTGTGTTTGTGTAGGGTGGTACCGAGGTTACACCTTAAGAAAAAAGTCTAAGAAGGTAAGTCGTTCTTCTTAAACACAGTGCGTGTCTCTTCGTAAATCAAACCTTGAGAGGAAATCAATTCCATCTCATTTGTGTCTGAGAGTTTTACTTCTATATCTCTTTCTCTGAATTTAAAAAAACATATGGGTAGAGGTGTGAACGACCTTGGATTATTTTCTTCTGAACAATATGTGTACATAGAATTCTAGCTTAGCTGGGCATGGTGGCTCACACCTGTAATCCCAGCACTTTGGGAGGCTGAGGCGGGCAGATCATGAGGTCAGGAGTTCGAGACCAGCCTGACAAAGAGACCAACCTGGCTAATATGGTGAAACACCATCTCTACTAAAAATACGAAAATTAGCTGGGTGTAGTGGTGGGCACCTGTAGTCCCAGCTACTTGGGAGGCTGAGGCACGAGAATTGCTTGAACCTGGGAGGTGGAGGTTGCAGTGACCTGAGATCACACCATTGCACTCCAGCCTGGGTGACAGAGCGAGACTCCGACTAAAAAAAAAATTGTAGCTTCATCTCTGTGAGTGAATTGCTGGGTTGTGATACAGTGTTGGCCTGTTGTCTTCTGTTCCTGATAGAATTTCGTGTCCTTTTTAGGCCTGTGTGTGTCAGCGAATGACCTGAGTAAAGTGACTTCAAGAAAAAAATGATTGCTGATAGTTGTCGATCTTATGCTGTCCTTAATGGTAGATTAGCAAATTTGCAAAGCTCATGCATGCTCTTTCCCTCTCGCATAGAACTGTTTTACACTGCCTAAGTCAAGCTGTGACGATAGGAGTTGTGCTCTCCTCAAGCGGTTTGCATGAGTGGTTGTTTGAATTTCTGAAACTAAGACATGTAATTACCCCTTGGGTCATTGTGGTGGGCACTCCTGTACGCGGTTCTGTTGTGGCTCTAACATTCTTAGCTTCACAGAACCTAATTATGGCTCTTCTGTTTTATTCTATGACATTATGATTTTGAAGTAACCTCTATTCTAAGCTGTGGTTGGGCCGTCCATGTTAACAGATAGGTTTTAATATCTAATTATGCTTGACTGATGGTTCATTTTACTTTTGTGTCCTAAATTTGCCTCTCATTATCTCCTCATTGGGCTGGACTCTCGATTGTGATGTGAGCCTGTAATAAGGCCTCCAAAGTCAAGTGGGCCAAGTGCCAGGGCCTTCCCACTCTGCTCTCCCCAGAGCCCCTAACCCAGGCTTTGCTGAGCAGGGCAGAGTGGGTCATCCTCTCGCAGAAGCAGCACTTGGGAAGGGTACAGGGTGGTCCCCATGGCAGCCCTCCTATGGCATAGTCATGTCTAACCTGAGAGACGCTGTTAGGAAATTGGTGAACCAGATCTGCAAATTGGGACCAGGACCCCTCACCTCCACCTGCTGACCTCAGACATCCTCTACACATCCAGTGCCCTACAGCCTTGAGGTCTGGACAAGATCAAATTCAACCAAGTGGATGGTGGAATAGATTTCTCCAAGGAGAGTTTGGTTTTCACATGGATTTTCCCTTCTACCGTCAAGAGTGAATTCCAGCCAGGCACAGTGGAGTGAGATCTGTCTCTTAAAAAAATAGTGTATTCCTGCAGATGAAACTCTATTTGGGGAAGCTGCAGTTGAAAACTTTAGTAATAAGAGATTAGGATCATGGACTAATATGCCCCTCCCCCATCCCACTCCTACATAGAACATGGCTGTCCCGTCCTGGGCTAGATGCATCCTGGGTTGGATGTGTCCTGAGCTGGACGTGCCCCAGGCAAGCTGTTCCTTTTTCTTTTAACCTTACTTGGTATTTGTTATCACATTCTCCAATTTGAGATCTCTTCCGTTCCCCCGGCGCCTCCCTGAATCATAGTACTTTTGCACTACACCTGCACGCCATGACATCCTAACTCATTGACACAGTAGAGCTGGGTAGGGCGTAACTGTTTTTCCATATAAGATCTCCATTGGTAGATGAGGAAATCCAAGCCTTACAGAGATGTAAATTTGTAAGGGGCCTCCCAGGTGGTAGCAGAAAAGGAATGTGGGCCCTAGGAATCCTGATACCACGTGCCTGTAAACAACTTTCCCGTAGTTCTAAGTGTGCAGTGGATCAGGGGGTTGCCGAACAGGCCCGACGGAAGCGGCTCATTTCAAACCCGCAGGTGTGTCCAGACTCACGCAGTCATTGTCCTTCCTGTGGCTTCTTGAGTCTCCAGTGAGTTTGCTGAGATTGAGGGTTGTCACTGCTTGTGGACATGGACAGGGCTGGGATTGGTTTTTCGTTTTTTTCCCCCCATCTTAGTAGATACCTGTGGCCATCATGGAAAGACACCCAGGGTGTCCCTGGGATTTGGAGGTTTCCCAGATAATCAGGACCTGAACGCAGCAACCCAGCATTACGTCCTTTCAGACTTCGTTTTTTTTTTAATTAATGCTTTATTTTTTTGGAGTCGGGGTCTTGCTTTGTGGCTCAGACTGGAGTGCAGTGGTGTGATCACAGGTCACTCCCACCTCAACTTCCTGGGGTCAGTGGATTCTCCTCCCTCAACCTCCCAAAGAGCTGGGACTACAGGTGCACACCACCATGCCTAGCTAGTTTGTAAAAAATCTTTGCAAAGATGGGGTCTCACCATCTTGCCCTGACTGGTGGTGAGCTCCTAGGCTCCTAGGCTGAAGTGATCCTCCTGAAGTGCTGGTTGCAGGTGTGAGCCTCTGTGCACGGCCCAGCCTTCTTTGTTGCTCAGCCTCTGACTCTCTGCCCGATGCCTTCCCTCTGTGTGGTAATTCTTCTTTATATGGAATTTGGCCACTTTCCTGGTTGGCAGAAGCAACATGAATCATTGGTGCCTGCTGGACCGTTCAGCCCCCTGCATGCCCCTTGCCCTTTCCAAGCTTGATTAGTAGTTTGGTTTCTGCATTCTTCAGGGCTGGATGCCAGGGAAACCCAGCAGATGCTCCCCTTCCCACAACAGGTGCCTTAAGGCCACAGGGGTGCCACTGAATTGATTTCTGCCGCTCGCACTAAATCTCATGTAGGAAGTGGTAGCCGGCTTGCGTTGCACTGCCCAAGACCCAAGCCCTCTTGCCCCATTTCTTGCCTGCCTTTGCTGGCCTCTGCTTTACTCCACTAAGGGAGTTATTTTCCTTGCTTAGGAAGCAGGACCCTAACTTTTTAAAATTCCGAGACAGAGTCTTGCTCTGTCACCCAGGTTGGAGTGCAGTGGCAGGATCTCTGCTCGCTGCAACCTCCACCTCCTGGGTTCAAGCGATTCTCCTGCCTCAGCCTTCCAAGTAGCTGGGATTACAGGCATGCATCACCACACCCGGCTGATTTTTAGATACTTAGTAGAGATGGAGTTTCAGCTGATCTTGAACTCCTGGCCTCAAGTGATCCACACACCTCGGCCTCCCAAAGTGCTGAGATTGTAGGCGTGAGCCACTGCTCCTGGCCTAGGACCCAAACTCTTGATAAAGTTCCTCCTGGCACTTCACAGACTGTGCCTGATGCTGAGTGTCCTGTTGAGAAACTCCGCCCCAGGCTTCCTTCTCTTGGGTTCGCATGTGCATTGCACTTGAGAGATGAAGGCCACCTTATCAGTAGAAGCTAGGGTGTGTCCCCAGGTATTGTGCAGATTGGGCAAAATTCGGCCCGCCTTCCTGTATTTTACATGTTTGGGAGGTCTCTGAGAAAGTCCCCGTGGGTCTGGGTACATGGTCAGCGCACAAGGGACCATTGGTGGTATAATACCAGCTTTCATCATTTTGAACGAGGAGCCCATCATCACAAATTGTTGTGAGGCATCAGCTGGCCTTTTGGTCTGCCTGTGTTGAGGCCGAAAGGGTGTGATCTATGGAGCAGCCTGCGAATCGCCTGCATCTTTGTGGACTTTTTCCTTTGCAAGTCTGTCATCTGCTTTCTTCTAAGACATCTGCAGACTCTGCAGTACAAGTTGATTGAGTTGCTGTCTTTTCTACTTCGTGTTTCTTTGATATGTTGTATGTGGGGCTTAGCATAAGACTTAAAAAATTACTAGCGATCTAGTCACCTCTCGCCCCACCTTTTTGGGGACTATTGTTTGATTTGTAATCAGCAATCCTATTGATAATAAAAGCCACTGTTTTTTATTTCTCCCAAAGGGCATATTTCCTGCTTCATATATTCATCTTAAAGAAGCGATTGTTGAAGGAAAAGGGTGAGTCTGGTCTTGATGTTTAAATGAAGAATTGCAGTTACTATATTTGACCTTTCTGCTCTTTCGTATGCTGGGGTAATAGGAGAGGGTCAAGACAATGGGTGTGATTGACTCCAGTGGGACAGGAATTTTGGGGAGACAAAGGGGTCTTGTGGTTCAGAGTTGTGTTTAACGCAGCTTTGATCCTTTATAGAGTCTGAAGCCAGCACCACACTTGCAGTCACTGTCCTTGAACGTGGGGTCACTATTGGGAAGCACTTGCCCTGGTGCCCTGTGCTTCCTCCATGAGCTACAGACTCCATTTGACAGAGACTTCAAAGCCCCCCAGCTCTGAGTCCCATTTTTTTGGAAAGACATTGCAGGCCGTGATACAAATGGAGTTTAGGGTGAAGCAACAGTTGTTAAATTGGGACATGGCTGAATTTACATTTTGTCTAATTGTGACGTATGTTTCCTAGAGGTTATAAAACTGATGTATAAGATCATTAAAAGGACACTTCTAGAACAGGAGCCCATTAGGCAGGAATGGCAAATGAATAGCCAGGTGTGAACTTGGAAGAAGGAACATGAAAATGTTTTCTGTTTTTGTCTCTGCTGTACCTTCACACTCAGTTAAATATGTAAATTATAAAATTACTAATCATATGATTACTGCATAATGACATCTCTTTGGCTGATTAAAAAATTGCCTTTCCAAGCACTGTACTTTTAACATATGAAAAGGACCGTTTGGGTGCCAGAGTTCCATGCTGCATAATTAAAACGAAGAACATAATTTAGAGGCATGAATGGTGATGACCTGCAGTAGGGTACTTTTCAGACAGATAAAGTGTTTTGTATGCAGTGTCTTAAAGGGAAGATAAAGTTGAAACTTTCCCTCTGTGGAAGTAACTGAATAAAGTGTGCTTTATTTCTGTGTTAGAATCCTTAACAGCACAGACTGTATATGATCATTTAAAAAGCACTTTTCTGTATACAAAAGAATATATGTAAAATGTAATTATGAAGCATGATAAAATGAAGGACAGGTTATTCCAAGTGTCCGTAAGTAGTCACACTAGCCAGACAGGCAGGCGGAGACACATTTGGCTCCTCTTCCTGGGCCTTCTGTTCCAAGGTGCCCCTCTGTGGGCAAATGCATAGAGCTATGGCGAAATGAGCAGTTTAGAAACAATTTCCCCGCCGCTGCCTTGGGTTGACTGGGATTGCTCCCCGCACTCATCACCTGGCTCTGTCTGTCTCCCTCGTGGCGGCCACTCAAGCCTATCTTCCCAACAGCTCTCTCCCTGAAGAAAGCCGGCCTTCAGGCTTGACAGGTGATCTCATCCCTCTTGTTTTCCTCCAGGTCGTCGTAGACTTCTCCCTTTCCTTCTTCTCCTGGTCCTTTTTCCTCTCCGGTGCCAGTGTGCACCATGCTTTCCTCTCACCTCTCCTTGCCTTCTTGCTCTCCAAATTTATTATCCTGTCTCCCTCGGAGAGTCTCTCTTTCTCTCTTGCAGGATCTGTCTCTTGCTGGTCTCTTACATTTTGTTCTCATGTGGTCTCTGTCTTGCAGGCTCCCTTGTAACGCTCTGTTTTCTGCATGGTCTCTCTCTCGCGTGATCTGTCTCTTGCAGGCTCTGTCTTTCTCCTGAAGGCTCTCTCTTGCAAGGCTCTCTCTCATGTGGTCTCTCCCACAGTGTCTCTCTTGCTTTGTCTCTCTTCCTCTGGAGGCTAGCCTTCATTCATTGTCAGACATCCCAAATGACTACTATATGCCATTTACCATTGATTCTGTACCTATTCCCCCATAACCAAAGCAATTTGCATTTTGTCCCACACCTTTTCCCCGGTACTGACATGGTTAGCAATGCCTGCTCGTGTCCAGGCTTCACAGTGTCTTCTCATCTTCCGCCCCTGGAGCTCTACTGCAACATTGTACACTGTTGGTCCCCGCTTCCCTGAAAGCTCCCCTTAACTCCGATGCTCTCTTCCTCTTTTTCTTGTTATGCTGACCTGCTGCTCAGGTGCATCACCATCTTCTCTGCCCCCTGTTCACCTCTGAGGGTGCTGTCCTGGCCTTCTCCTGCTTCCTCGTTGCCCCTCCCTGATTGACACAGCCTCTGTTGCATCCCCTCTTCGGCTGATCTGTCTCTATGGGTGATGCTTACATCAGGACCTCCAGCCATGACTTGTCTCTTGACCTCTCATTCAATTGGGCAGCCAAGTAACTAATGAGAATCATTCCCACCGTTGGGTGAGCATCTGCTATGTCCCATTCATTTGCTTTTCAAAGAAAAATTATTATTTTGTATTTTCTTTTAGACGGAGTCTCGCTCTATCATCCAGGTTGGAGTGCAGTGGTGAGATCTTGGCTCACTGTAACCTCGGCCTCCCAGGTTCAAGCGATTCTCCTACCTTAGCCTCCCCAGTAGTTGGGACTGTCGGCATGCACCACCATGCCCAGTTAATTTTTTTTTTTTCCAGTAGAGATGGGGTTTCACCATGTTGGCTAGGCTGGTCTTGAATTCCTGACCTTAAGTGATCTGCCTGCCTTGGCCTCCCAAAGTTATTGGATCACCAAAAAATTATTTTTTTAGATTTGACAAATAAAAATTGTATGTATTTGTGGTGTACAACATGATGTTTTGAAGTATGTATTCCTTGTGGAATGGCTAAATCAAACTAATTCCGTGTGCAATACCTTACGTACTTATTTATTTGTAGTGAGAACACTTAAATTCTACTCTCAGCAATTTCGAATATACAGTACATTGCTGTTGACTGTAGTCACCTTGGTGTAGGATAGATCTGTTGAACTTCGTTTTCCTATCTGAGAGAAACTTGGTATCCCTTTGACTCAGCATCTCCCCACTCCCCTCTATCCCATTCATCCATTCATTCTTTCTTTTTATTGAGATGGGGTCTCGCTCTGTCACCCAGTCTGGAGTGCAGTGGCATGATCTCTGCTCACTGCAACCTCCTCCTCCTGGGTTCAAGTGATTCTCTGGTCTCAGTTTTCCAAGTAGCTGGGATTATAGGCGTATGCCAACATGCCTGGCTAATTTTTGTATTTTTAGTAGAGACAGGGTTTTGCCATATTGGCCAGTCTGGTCTCGAACTCGTGACCTCAGGTGATCTACCTGCCTCAGCCTCCCAAAGTGCTGGGATTACAGGCATGAGCCACTGCGCCCAGCCCCATTCATTCTTAAAGATGCTCTGCTTTGATGCTCTTGCCCTCAGTCTTACCAGCAGCCCTGTGAGGCAGGCATTTTTGGAGTTACATATTCGTGAACCCCGGCAGGTAACAAGGTGGTAACAAAGATAAGACAATAAAGACAGATCAAATGCGTTAGTATCTGTCTCTGTGGTGATGGTCACATCAGGACCTCCAGCCATGACTTGTCTCTTGACCTCTCATTCAATTGCCAGCTGGCATGTTAATCCAAGAGATCGACTGGGCCTACCAGAAGGGAGGAACCTAAGGAGGAACCAGAACCAACAGCAGGATGTGCTAAATGTACTGAGGCTCTATTCACATGGTGGAAGGGAGGTCCACTGAGCTCCATACTTGCCGGAGCCAGTGTGAGGAGCGCCCAGTGGACTCAGCCCAGGATCCATAAGATGAAAGCAGTCCAGTTGCTGTTGCAGATCCTCACACTGTGAGCGGAAGGAAGTTACTCCCTGCAGACTTTGTAGGGATGATGCCTTAGCATGTAATGGACCACATTTCCATCAGTATCCTTACTGGGAAGCCTGGGGACACCCCTGGCAGGGCTGTTTTAATAGTCAGGTTCTTCAGTAGATAGACACTGATGGTGGCTCATGAAAGGGTCACTTTTTTTTTGCTTTTGAGATGGGGTCTTGCTCTATTGCCCAGGCTGGAGTACAATGGTGTGTAATCTTGGTTTACTGCAACTTCTGCCTCCCGGGTTCAAGTGATTCTCCTGCCTCAGCCTTCCGAATATCTGGAATTACAGGCCTGCACCACCATGCCCAGATAATTTTTCGTATTTTTTTTTTTTTTTTAGTAGAGATGGGGTTTCACCATGTTGACCAGGATGGTCTTGAACTCCTGACCTCAGGTGATCCACCTGCCTTGGCCTCCCAGAGCACTGGGATTATAGGCATGAGCCATTGTGCTCAGCCCAAAGGATCATTCTTTTTTTATTTTATTTATTTCTTTATTTTGAGATGGAGTCTTGCTCTTGTCGCCCAGGTTGGAGTACAATGGCACCATCTTGGCTCACTGCCACCTCCGCCTCCTAGGTTCCAGTGGTTCTCCTGCCTCAGCCTCCCAAGTAGCTGGGATTACAGGTGTCCACCACGAAGCCTGGCTAATTTTTGTAGTTTTAGTAGAGACAGGGTTTTGCCATGTTGGCCAGGCTGGTATCAAATTCCTGACTTTGTGATCCACCCGCCTCGGTCTCTCAGAGAGCTGGGATTACAGGCTCGAGCCACCACACCCCCCCCCAGGGTCATTCTTAATAAAAGTTTTCTAGGGGATGATCTCACCTGCACTCTTTCCTCTGACGTCTGGTTCTGGACCTATCCAGGAAATCACCGTCCTTTGAGGATCGCCATGGTCTCTTGCTTTGGGATCCTTCCCTCTGCTATCAATAAGTAATTGCAGGCCTGATCCCCCACTGTGAGCCACAGTCAGGAGTCCTTCCACAGGCCTGGGCTCTGTGCACATCAGGGGATGTAGGTGGGACCTATTCCTCGGCATTCCATGCCAGCCACATTCTTGCCTATTGAGGACACACAGAGAACCTCTAGGGCCAGCTAGCCTAACTGCACTAGCCACAATGCATTCTCTTCCCCAGCCCTCAGTAGGCTGAGTCTTACTCAGCATAGTCCCCAGCCCAGAGCACATGCCCAGAAAGCAATGGTCGATATGATGAACACCAGCACATAGATAGGTAATGAGTAAGATTAAGTCAAGGGGCTGGGCATGGTGGCTCATGCCTATAAATCACAGCACTTTGGGAGGCTGAGGCGGGCGGATCACCTGAAGTCAGGAGTTCAAGATCAGCCTGGCCAACATGGTAAAACCCTATCTCTACTAAGAATATAAAAATTAGCTGGGTGTGGTGGTATGCACCTGTAATCCCAGCTACTAGGGAGGCTGAGGCAGAAGAATTGCTTGAATCTGGGAGGCGGAGATTACAGTGAGCTCTGATTGCGCCACTGCACTCCAGCCTGAGTGACAAAGCGAGACACCGTCTCCAAAAAAAAAAAAAAAAGTTTAATGAGAGTTGAAATCAGATAGAGTAACCACAGACATTTGGAAGCTGTAACCTCTCTTGTATTTCGCCAAGGACAACCGCTTCCTGTATTGTCATGTAATGAGTTTTATACATGATGGAAAATGTAAAAATCACCTTAACCCAAACTGCAATTTAATGCCACATGGACTGGCTATAATTTATGGCATCTTTAAGATAGATGGGTACACATATTATGAATATACCTTACTTTTGCCAGACCTTGACGTTCTGTATGTAGACTTTTAATGGAATATTATTTGCCTCCTTCATCTTACCTTGACATATGAGGTGGATGGCTTACGTGCAGGGTAATGTATGAACCTTCCCACGCTGTGTACAAATATAACTTGTCATTCCTAGGGACGTATGTATTTGTATGTGTGAACGCAGTCTTATTTGTAGATTTTCTTCTCATTTGCTTAAATACTGAACTCTATGGCCTAGATGTGAAATTTACCAGGCACAGCTCACAGCAGGCAGTGAAACCGTGGACTCAACTGCTCTTTCCTTCTTTCCTCCCAGGCAACATGAAACGGTCATCCCGGGTGACCTCCCCCTCATCCAGGAAGTCACCACGACTCTCCGAGAGTGGTCCACCATCTGGAGGCAGCTCTACGTGGTGAGAAAATGAGATATTCATTCAAAGCTTAGAAATAGAGAGTGGACTTTTTGACCCTGATATACCGATGGGATGTTTTTCTTTCTCAGGGAACCTTAAAAGCAGAGCTTCTGAGACAGGGTTTTACTCTGAAAGGGCCAAGGACATGGCTGAGAGTTTAGCCACTGTTGGGGGCCCTGTGCCCTTGGACCTGCAGTGTATTTGGGTGTATTACAGTGAGTTGTAAGGGAGGGGACCGTAGGATGCGTCTTTCCTTGCGTTGGAAGGGGAAATATGGTTGTTTTCAGGCCCCTGGAGCATGGGATCAGGCAGTGTGTGTTGATGTCACCTTTAAAACAGTAATAGGTGTTTTATTTAAGGATCCAGTAGAGGATAATTACTACTTTTTTTGATGTTGTCTGACAGTTGGTAATGCCTCTTATCATTTAAGAACAACAACAAAGTCTTCTGGATTTACCTGTGTTTGTGACAGGGACAGGGAAGTAGTTCACATTCCAGCTTTGTGTGCAGTTGTCCAGTTCTCCTGATCACAGAAGAAGTCTTATTAATGCAGAGAGGTTGAGACTCTGACAACTTCCATTTCATATTCCCTCAGGGTATTTCTTTGCACATAAATTCATATTTGCAGAAGATTACCTTTTGTTAAGCTTGTATTTCTATTCAGAGTGTTGATTTCTCATATGCTAATGTTATTATCACCAGGCAAGGGCTCTGGAAGGAAGTCGGTACGTTAATTTCTTGAGAACATAGAAAACTTCCTAAAGTCCCACAGCTGCTCGTTGGGCAGGCTTGCTGTTTTTGATTATACAGTGGTTTCCTGTAATGCACAGTAATAAGCAGTTGCAGTAATTGTCATCAAATGTACTCAGAAACCTAAAAGCATAAAGTTAGCCATGAATGTTTTGTGTAAATCTGAGCAATTTTGTAGTCAGTGTTTCATCTTCAACTTAGCAATTTTTAAACAAAAATATGGCAACAAAACAAACAGGAGTTGATGCTAATAGTCAGTGTACCTACTTGAGTCTGTAACCCTAGAGTAGGTATTTGTAATGATGACCACCTTGGTTTCCTTTTACAAAACTTAAATTTGCCTTTGATGGACTTACATTGTTGGATTTGTGCAAAGAAAGCCAAGCCAAAACATGGTTATAATATTTTTATATGGGCTGGGTGCGGTGGCTCATGCCTGTAATCCTAACACTTTGGGAGGCTGAGGGGGATGGATCACCTGAGGTCAGGAGTTTGAGACCAGCCTGGCCAACATGGCGAAAACCCATCTCTACTAAAAATAGAAAAAGTAGCTGGGTATGGTGGTGCACCCCTGTAGTCCAAGCTACTGGGGAAGCTGAGGCAGGAGAATCTCTTAGGAAGGCAGAGGTTGCAATGAAGTGAGCTTAGATTATGCCTCTGTACTCCAGCCTGGGTAACAGAGTGAGACCCCTTCTCAAAAAAAAAAAAAATATATATATATATATGCATTTTTTGTTCTACTCTGTCATTGTAGATATTAGCAAAATATTAAGGATTTTAGATAGTTGATACCTTAGAGCAATGGATAAGAGAAGGCGGTGTGGATATCAGAAACTCCTAGAAAGAAGGTTGAATGCCACAGTGAGGTATGTGGTTCAGATATGTAGAAGGAGAGTTTTCTAAAAAAGTAGCAGTGAGCACATTTAATGTTTTAAAGGGACAATGTCATTTAGGTATCTTTTATTTATTCATTTTTTGAGACATGGAATGCTCTGCAGTCAGGCTGGAGTGCAGTGGCACAATCACAGCCCTCTGCAGCCTTGACCTCCCGGCTTAAGCGATGCTCCCACCTCAGCCTCCTGAGTAGCTGGGACTACACCTACGAGCCACCATGCTCAGCCAATTTTTAATTTTTGAAGAGATGAGGTCTCCTTTTGTTGCTCAGGCTGGTGTCTAACTCCTGGGCTCAAGCAATCCTCCCGCCTCTGCCTCCCAGAGTGCTGGGATTACAGTTCTGAGCGACCAAGCCCAGCAGTGCTTAGAATTTTATCACATTATGTTCCACCTAGATTTCTTTTCATGGAAAGAACCACGAGTTATTTTCCTTCAGGTAATCACTAATCTTCTTGATTGTTGTACGCTTTTAATTGTTAGCTGCAAACTGTTGCTTTTCTTTGAACCATCAATCCCATCAAAATTCCTAGTAAGTGGTAAGAACTGTGAGTTTGGCATCTTGTTTGCATTTTCCTCCTGTCACAAAAGCACCAAGAGTTTGTAGATGGAGATTCGGCCTCTTGCAGAAGTGTCTCCTGTGGGTTGGACACACCACAGCGTGTGGGATGCCTCTTCTTCCCTGTAGCTCAGCTGAGAACAAGGTTGATGAGTTCAGGTCCTCAGTGTGCTGAGAAGGGTCCAGGTGCAGGGTGTTCTGAAGACCGTATGCAGGTTGTAGGATTCAGATCTTTAGGCTCAGACGAATTCTGGAGGAGCTTTAAGAGCTGCCCATCTCTGATCCAGATGCAGGAAGCTCACAAGCAGGTGTGGAGCCTCAAGGTCTAGCCTCTGGCCAGATCGATCACCTTTTTGCTTCAGTGGGCCATAGAATGTTGGGTGAAATCTTGGGGATTAGGCATTAGTTTTTATTCTTTTAATATCTCATGGAAACTGAATTCTATATAATATGTTCCAGTTTATGCTGATAGCACCTTTTAATTCAACATGAACTAAATCTCATGATATGGTACTTACGCCTCGTGTGTATTTGAAGAGATATCCATTCTTTGCCATCTCCACAATGCTGTTTTATAACAAAATCTTTATGATTGGGTTTTCTCCCCCGTGTAGCAAGATAACAGGGAGATGTTTCGAAGTGTGCGGCACATGATCTATGACCTTATTGAATGGCGATCACAAATTCTCTCTGGAACTCTGCCGCAGGATGAGCTCAAAGAACTGAAGAAGAAGGTCACAGCCAAAATTGACTATGGAAACAGGTTTGTTTACTTGAAAGATGACTTCACGCTTAAATTATCCAATGTAACAACATCACTATAAGCCTTCAGGAGACCAAGATCACATTTGATCATAAAACACAATTCCTACCATCAAAGTAACGGCATGTTTTTCATTTTGAAAAGGATGAGGTATTTTCCATTGGATTCTGAACTAGGGAATCTTGTGAGCCATTCTTGAAACCTTGTCATTCTTCAAGTGACAGAGTCAAGAAGCCAGAGAGCCTGTCATTTTCACTGTTCTGGAGGGGACCCCATCATTACTTCCATTGGAAGGAACTTTTACTTTCTGATCACCATTTTTGACTTTGAGTTCAGATCTGGGAGTGCCTTGTGTAGCGACAAGCAACAGGTTTCTTTCCACGGAATCCCAAGTTCTGAGAGTTGGAGTGGACATTAGATCATGGAAAGTTTGTCACCTGTGTTGGTTTGCCAGATTTCACAAACAGAAACACAGAAATATAGCCAGTTAAATTTCACTGCAGATAAACAACAAATAGTTGCTTTGTGCAATTATGTCTCTTACCAAAGTTCCCATCCAGAGCAGGCATCCCCCTAGCGCTGCGTGAATGGCTTTACTGCTCACCCCTGCCTGCAGCTGTACTTTCTACTGTTAGCATGTATTTTTTGATGCTGAAAGGAAACAAGCTGCTCTGATCCTAATTCTGCTGGGTTCTATAACCAGAATGAGGCCATGCTCTTTTCCACCTGATAATATTTGGTTTTTCATAGAATAGCAGAGCTGCAAGAAGCCTTGAAAAGTATCTGGTCACATGGTTCCCAAATGCTCTTCTGTATCAGAATCACTTCGATAGCTGTTGAAATGTAGAATCCTGAGACTTACCCCTTAAGGCTCTGATTTGTGATATCTGGGATGCTGACTGGAAATCTCAGGTTGGTTGTTTTTTTCTGAGACAGAGTTTCACTCTTGTTGCCCCAACTGTACTGCAACGGTGCGATCTCGGCTCACCGCAACCTCTGCCTCCTGGGTTCAAGCGATTCTCCTGCCTCAGCTTCCTGAGTAGCTGGGATTACAGGCATGCACCACCATGCCTGACTAATTTTGTATTTTTAGTAGAGACAGGGTTTCTCCATGTTGATAAATACTGTCTTGAACTCCTGACCTCAAGTGATTTGCCTGCCTCGGCCTCCCAAAGTGCTGGGATTACAGGCGTGAGCCACCGTGCCCAGCCGGAAACCTCAGTTCTTAAAATAGAGTTGGGTTGTACTGGACAGCGAATTTGGAAAACTTCTGGTTTAACTCAACCCCCTTATTTTACACATTGGAATGTGGAAGTCAGAAAAGGGAAGGGGTTTGCTTCAGCCATTCCACAGAAAGAAGTCGGGGTAAATCAATGAACCTTTCTGTAAAATCAAAGTTATCACATAATTATCTGGTAATTTATGTTTTGAAGTGTGAAAAATTTCTTAAACCAACGTTATGAGCAAGATACAGGGTTTGAATTCGAATTGCTGTGGGAGAGGTTTTTTTTTTTTTCCAGAAAGCCTGAGATATTAGCTATTGTTGCAGTAAAACCCATTTCAAGACCACCTGCTTAAAAAAGCAAACTTTTGGAGCTTTGATTTGATTTTCTATTGGAGTATCATAATTTAAACTTACGTTCAGAGACCACCTGCTTCATTTGGCCGCAGGAAGCTAGCAAAGTACATTGTATCATGGAACAATCGAGTTAAGGAAGGAAGTGTTTACAAATGCAATTTACTACTTTGATAGGAAATACAATCCTTAATAACATAGTTTTTTTATGAAGGATCTCCAGGCTCCTTCATGATTTCTCCAAAGCCCAGCACTCTGCACATACCTTCCTAGTCCTTCCTTCAGAAAACCTAAATGATATCACACTGTTGAATGTTTGATTTTAAGGTAGGTGTATTTAATAAGGAAAAGGTCTTTTGTGTCTTTTGCATTCATTACTGAGGCATTCTTGCCTTTTTAATTTACTTATTTTTAGCCTGGGTGGAGGGTTTGGGGGAACTATTTGAGAATGTGATGAAGGTCTTGGACCATATCTCTAGAAAAATGTATGTACAAAGTACACGCACACAGGCACACAGACCCCCCGACACAGACAGACAGACACACGCACACAGTTCTGCACATGATTTCAGGTTGTTGTAGGGGTTCCCAGCCGGTGCTCATAGGTGCATTAGGCCTCCATGGACTTCCTCTCTCGTTGCCTTGCTGTGGTAACTCACACCTTTGTAATGGAAACTCACTTCCATTCAGAACCAGCTGCACACTGGTTGTTGAGAACAACATGTAGAAGGGTTGGCTGGACAGGCCACTTCGTATGATGGTTTGCATGTGGCATTCTGGAAGCAACATGGCCCTGCCATGGGAGAGTTCTGACACAGCACCGAGGCTCTGGGCTCTTAATAAATAACTTCTCCCAGCTTAGGTTTCCTCCTCTGTGCAATGGGTCTGACTGTCTGCCCCGGCAGGTGTGAGGTTATGACGTGGCAGCAAGTGCACAGCAGGCTGGCACAGGGCTGTCCCCTTGTGTATTCCCTGAGGGAGCCCAATTCTGCATGGCCTGCAGGACCTACTGGCTGGGCCTCCTAAGCTGGTGCTTTGTAGCTACCCTGGCACCAGCATTTACCTGCCCACACCAGAACTGATCATGCCTATACCAGAAGTGGCCACACCCCCATAAACATTGGCTCTACCCACAGTAGTACTGACTCTATCCATGCATTACTGACCCCTGCCCATACCAGTATTGACCTCGCCCACACCAGCACAAACCAGGTGGATACCTTCACTGACCCCGCCCATACCAGTATTGACCCCGCCCACAACTCACTGACCCCGCCCACACACTCACTGACCCCGCCCATACCAGCACACTCCTAGGGGCTGGTTCAGGGGTAGGATAAGGAGTAGTATTTGGGAGGGAGGAGCTTGCCTTATTAGTGAGACATGTTGCAAAGATAAGTAATGAGACCTTAAAATGCTTTCTAAATTTTCTCCAGATGTCTTTCTAGTCTTGAGGCACCCCGCTTACATTGCAGCCACTGAAGCTGTTTTCATGCAGTGCAAAAAGCCTCTATTTGTTTAAAGTCTCTTTACCCTGATGCTGTTGACAGGCCCAGTTGGTCCTCCTGCTTCACCATCAGTGGAATTTGCTCAATAGATATTAAAAGGAAAAAGTGAGGTTTCTGTATTTGCCTTCCCAGGGGTATAGGGGTTGAGCGAAACCCCAAAGACTGTGTTTGAGCTGCTGGCAGGCGCATATCTAGCTTTAGGGTGTGTGACCTGGAGACTCCACGTCTCCTGGTAGTTTTTCTAGATGGAGCGTTTATGGGCAATTCAACTTTCCTCTTTAATTTGTAACTATAAAGATGTTCTCTAATTAAAATTTATCATTCTTTCAAATGACTCTCTTTTTCATATTGTTAAAAAAGCCTGCTTCCATTGGCTTGTTAATTACAGGGGTATAATCCCAACAGTAGGGTGAGAGGCATCTGCAGTTAGTTTTCTGCCCTAAGACCTGCATGTTTTATTAACAGGAAAGCCAGAACATACTGCCAGATCACAGCTCTTGAACTCTTTGGTTACACAGTTGTCTGTGTTCCTTAAATGAAAACTGTATTTTTAATATAATTGTCAGGTAAAAAAACACCTGACAATTTTGTTGGATTTGAGGAATCAGAGAGAACGTTCCCTAAAGTATGCACTGGTATAGGCTGGACAGACGTATTAGCTGGATGTTGCTGGTGTTTTTAGTTGGCGACTACATTTAGCCATCTGGCCAGAAAGTTGCTTAACCTTATTGTAGATCATATTCATATGTTTGGTGTCCACACACAATAGGACTTCTGTATTGAAAATCTTCCTGTGGCCTAATGTAAGGACTAGAACGGACTCGAAGTAGGAGGGGAGATGTGCCGGGGACCTGCCAGGGTCAGTGGGGAGTAAATAAGGCGGTGGGTAGCTCTCTCCTCTGAGTTTTCTTCCCTCTCTCCCTTAACTCAGTGATGATGTCACAACTGCCAGCTTTGTGTTTGGGTTGATGGATGTATATGAAATTGCATATATAGGTGAATGTGTGTGTGTGTGTGTGTGTGTATGCGCACGCGCACATATGTAGTGTGCCTTAGTCCGGGCGCGGTGGCTCACGCCTGTAATCCCAGCTGCTCTAGAGGCTGAGGCAGGAGAATCACTTGAACCTGGGAGACAAAAGTTGCAGTGAGCAGAGATCGTTGCACTGCACTCTAGCCTGGGCAACAAGAATGAGACTCTGTCTCACACACACAAATAGTGTGGCTTGAAACTTTTCATATTTTGTGTAATAATTAGTAATACATATTTTACTTGGGCCTTGTAGATCTGTAAAACTTCTCATTAGAAGCCAGGGTCACTGTTGATTGCAGTGGAAGTAAAAATTGAGGAATTATTTTTTTTACTTCTTCCAATGTGACACATTTTGAGTTAAAGCAATCTCCAAAAATTGTAAGTTCCTAATATTTGTGGGCAAACCCAACTTTCTAGGATTTTTTTTTTTTTGACAGAGCCTTGCTCTTGTTACCCAGGCTGGAGTGCAGTGGCGTGATCTCGGCTCACCGCAACCTCCACCTCCGGAGTTCAAGCAGTTGTCCTGCCTCAGCCTCCTGAGTAGCTGGGATTACAGGCAACCGCCAACATGCCTGGCTTATTTTTGTATTTTTAGTAGAGATGGGGTTTTGCCATGTTGGTCATGCTGGTCATGCTGGTCTCAAACTCCTGACCTCGTGATCCGCCCGCCTTGGCCTCCCAAAGTGCTGGGATTACAGGCATGAGCCACTGTGCCCAGCCCTCTAGGATGTTTTCACATGCTTAGTTGCTGTGGTGGAAGTTGTGCTAGAAAATAAAACCCTCTTGTCTTGTGTCCATGAACTTCTAAATTCTTGTTGTTCTAGAATTCTAGATTTGGACCTGGTGGTTAGAGATGAAGACGGGAATATTTTGGATCCAGAATTAACTAGTACAATTAGTCTCTTCAGAGCTCATGAAATAGCTTCTAAACAAGTGGAGGAAAGGTTACAAGAGGAAAAAGTAAGTTTGACTCTTTGTAATATGCCATTCACATTTGGAACACATTTTCTCAGCAATAGTTTTCAACCTTAGTAAAATATCAGTGAAGCCCAGAATATTTATTAAAAAAGAACCTGAAAAGGAGCAGCTATGGAGTGTGTGTGTCCTACAGTCACAAGTAGAAGGGAGCCTGGTGGCACAGCATGTCACCCGTGACATGAACAAGGGTTGGACAGCATTGTGTTTCATCTTAGGAGACAGGATCCTGATGACGTGGATCATCTGTCAAATGGGAAACAAGACATTTGTGTTCTCATCTGTCAAATGGGAAACAAGGCTTGATTCTGCATTTCCTCTCTGACAATGGTAGGCAGGTGATGTATTCCCAGCTCATTGAGGGCATAGAGCACATGTCTTATTGGTCTTTTCATCTTCTGTGATCTTTAATGGCATCATGTATGCATTAGTCGATTCTCGCATTGCTATTAGGAAATACCTGAGACTGATAATTTATAAAGAAAAGGGATTTAATTGTCTTACAGTTCTACAGTCTGTTCAGGAAGCGTAGTGGCTTCTGCTTCTGGGGAAGCCTCAGGAAACTTACAATCATGGCAGAAGGCAAAGCGGGAGCCAACACTTCACACAGCTAGAGCAGGAAGAAGAGAACGGGTGTTCGGGGGTGCTACACACTACACTTTTAAACAACCAGATCTTGTGAGAACGCACTCGCCACCATCAGAACAGCACTGAGGGAATGGTGCTAAACCATTCATGAACGATCCACCCACCTCCAACATTGAGGATTATTTACAATAGAACATAAGATTTGGGTGGGGAGCCATGTTCATGTATATAGAAATATTCAGAAATTGATTGACTAACTGAATTATCTGTTAATTTAGCAGGTATTTACTGATCATCTACTATGTACCAAATATTGAAGCCATAATGATGAATGAGACAGATGTCCTTGGAGGGTTTAGTCTAATGAGGGAAGCAAAAATTAAATAAGTAACTACACTTATCATTATTTTGATTTGTTGGTTGGACGCCGGAAAGTTCTGTATCTCTGAAAGATCTCAGCACAACAATTGCACAGGACATGAGTTTTTTGTCTGTTGTGTAAATGCATGACTTAGGAATGTGCAAGGGAGAGAAGAAAGTGACCGCACCAGTGGCTTTGCTGAGTTATGCCAATTAGTTATGTAGCTTTTCCATTCTGTAGGGAATAAAGAAAGCAAGCGTTAGTGATGAGTGTTGCTGGGGTTGACTTTCTATTTCCTTCCATTCACAGTCTCAAAAGCAGAACATAGATATTAACAGACAAGCCAAGTTTGCCGCAACGCCTTCTCTGGCCTTGTTTGTGAACCTCAAAAACGTGGTTTGTAAAATAGGAGAAGATGCTGAAGTCCTCATGTCTCTGTATGACCCTGTGGAGTCCAAATTCATCAGGTAGGTGACGTTTCTTGGCTGCCGTCTTTCCTCTTTGGTTAGTGTTAGGAAAATGGCATCAGAACCCCCAAAGCATCCCATTCGTGCCGAGAGGCCTTGGCTGCATGGCTGCTGGACACTAGCGAGCAGCTGAGCCAAGAGCTGGCTTGGACAGCGTGACGGCAGCCAGTGTGGGCGCTGGGTTAGCGTGAACCTTCTCGCATATAGATTGCTATTTGCTTGTAGAGTTATAACAATGGCAGGTACACTCTTGTCGTATCTTAAGAGTGTAGCTGAAGGTTGAAGTAATACTTTGTTTCCTAAGTTGTCTTCCTAAGATTTTACATATCCTGGTCCCTCAAATACCACTATTTCCTTTTTCAGAATGTGGTTTCTATGACTGCCATTTCCATGAATTTTGCCCTGTTGTTTTTTCTGCAAGGTGGTTGGCTGGAATGCATTATTTAGAATGGCGCCTGCCACATGCAGACTGTCAGTTAGTATTCGTTGAATAAAAATACTGTAAAGCTGTTATTCCTCCTCAGCCTTCAGTATAACTTTTTCTTTGCCCAGATGGAAAAATCGAGATTCAACTATGTGTGAATTGTGTTTGTGTGTCTGGGTATATGTTAAAACTGTAGTATCTTCGCTTGTAGTATTCAAAATTTGAAAATTAGTGGATGCATGATACAGAAAAATTTGAGTGGATTTTATTCTCACTTCTGTTGAAGACTTTGTTTCCTCTTGACATAGGATGCAATTTTTATTTTACAATGTATTCGGTCTGCCATAGGCTTTGAAATAAACATGCATCGTGCTGGATTTTATAGTATTGTCATTCTAAATGAACAAATAGGCTCTTAAAAAAGAAAACTTAGAAATGCCAAGACATCCCTCATTAAAACTTGCCAAGGTTTTTCTCCTGTGGGTGTTAATTGACGAGCAGCTGTATGTGATCTTTTTGACAGTTATAACCTCATAGTTGTCTGTATAGTGCACCTACATGGCATTAATTACGAAGCAGTGTGGATGTACATTTGGTACCCTGTTATTTGGAAAATTAACTTCCTTTTATTTCTCCCTTTTTCAAGTGAAAACTACCTGGTTCGCTGGTCCAGTTCTGGATTACCTAAAGACATAGACAGATTACATAATTTGCGAGCCGTGTTTACTGTAAGTGTACCCAAAGATGTTTAGTTGAATTGGCCACCATTCTAATGACTACTTTTAGTGATTTCTCTCTGCCTTCCTGCTGCACTTAGAATATGGGTCCCTGGGATGCCTGCAATACAGGTTAATTTAATATTACTAAGTAAGGTGCCTTTCCAGAAATCTTCTGACTCCCTAGCCACCCTTAGAATAGCTGCGACAAAGATTTACCCCATTACCATGGAATGTTCCTCTTAAACCTGTATCTCAAGCTCACTTAACAGTCAGTAAGTGACTGTTATTACCAGATTCCTTTTTGTCATAGGAATAACTGATTAAAGTGATAAAAACTGGTCTGAGAAAAGAGTCTCAATCCATTTTTTTTTTAACTGTCCTTTTCAGTGGAACTTGCATTGAATAATGGTTCTCCAAAATAATTTATGGAAACTAATATTTCTAGGACCTCGGAAGCAAAGACCTGAAAAGGGAGAAAATCAGTTTTGTCTGTCAGATTGTTCGAGTGGGTCGCATGGAGCTGAGGGACAACAACACCAGGAAGCTGACTTCGGGGTTGCGGCGACCTTTTGGAGTGGCTGGTAATCCATTTCTCTGTGTCTCCTTGAGAGGGTCAGATCATCACAGTTACTTTCAAAAGAACCACTGTTGAATGTTGATTGGACAGTGGGCAGCTTTGATTTATTATCTTTTCTGCTGGAGACAAAAGATATATTTATTGGTTATTTTCGTTGTGGCTTCAAGTTGACCTGCTAGGCTCAGGATGTTCTAGTCCACACGTTTCGGATATAAATCACGCATTTGGTTTTAAAGTGGATCCCATCTTTCGCTGGGTGAGACCCTGACCCATATTCTCATCTGTAGGGAAGCCAGTTGCTGGACATTTTCAGGTCTTGGTGATAGACATAAGAATAGATTTGTGCAGGACGGTCAGAGCGATGACGAGGAGGAAGCTGAGCAAGCTCTGAAAAGGACGAAGTTAGCTTCATGCTGGTGCTCTTCATCCACTGGGCTCGTGCTCTGTGATTTTTGGTGGCAGCATGAGGAACTGTGAAAGTCCAGTTATTTCTGTTGAGGAAAGATAAAGGCGTACCCAGGAAGTTCTAATTGGGTGATCTATTTCAGTGTTGCTGTTATTTTGCATAGTTTTGGGAAATGATTTTCTCTTTTTTATGGTTGCAGTGCAAGTTTATTACCTAGCACTCTGATATTATTTTATTTTATTTTTAATGATTTTTGGGATTCATATGAATATTTATGTGGGAAAAGTTCCTGATTTTTATTTTTTAATAGAGAATGGGGTCTCGCTATATTGCCCAGGCAGGTCTTGAACTCCTGGGCTCAAGCTATCCTCCTGCCTCTGCCTCCCTAAGAGCTGGGATTACAGGAGTGAGTCACATGCCCGGTGAAAAGTTCCTGATTCTTGACACACAGCTGGATTTTTTTTTTTCTTTGAATAGCTGTGGAAGACATTCTTTGCCTTGGCTACCAGGAACCTCTGAACTTAGTCCATTTTTCCCTGCCTTTTAAATAAACATTACTTTTTGAAAAGTTTTAGGTTCAAGCAAAATTGACCAGGAAATACAGACAGTTCCTATATATTCCTCCTTCCTTCCCCCTGCCTCCCTATTATCAATATCCTCTATAGACTGGTGAACCACACTGACATATCATCCTGTGAAGTCCGTAGTGTACCTTAGTGTTCATTGTTGGTGTTGTGCCTTCTGTGAGTTTTGACAGCTGAATAATACCGTATATCCACCATTGCAATCTCTCACTGGGTAGCTTCACCATCCTAAAAGTCCTCTGTGCTCTGCCTGGAATTTTTTGAAAAATATTTCAAATTATTTAAATAAATGATTTACTACTTCATAAGGAGTAAGCAATACCAGTGATGCAGACATAATGAGAGCAGCGGATCAATTCAATTTACTTGAGTTCAGTATACCAGTGGAGCTAACTAACGGGTGTTCCAGTGATTTTAAGGGTGCGGTTTCCTTTCTGAAGTCCCCATGGCCTCGGACTGAGGAAATCCTTTTGCATTTTTATCTCTGACTTTTTGTCTTTAAGAGACAGTGTTTAACTCTGTCATCCGGGCTGTGTGTTCACAGCTCACTGCTGCCCTAAGCTCCTGGACTCAAGTTACCCTCCTGTTTCCGCCACTGGAGTAACTGGGACCACAGGCCCGTACCATCATGCCCTCATTTTCATCTCCTGTGACTCGAATCCATACTTGAAAATTGCCCCTCTATTTGTCAGCGCCTGTAGCATGTTTTACATGTAATCCAGTGTTATATTTAAAGAACCTATAATTTTCCAGGAATTCTTTTTTCTTCTCCACCTCTACGGTAGTTTCAAGAAAATCTTTAGCTTTGTCTCAGGCATAATTGGCTTCACTTGAGCAATCAGAGGAATCTTGGACAACACATGGAAGTCACTCCTCTTTTCAACACCAGAGCTACAGATGCTCTGGTTATTAGATTACAAGATGGATTATGTCATAAGTTCCTACAAATGTGTCCTTATATTTCTTAAAAAAGATGAAATCTAGACCACAGGCTGACAGTTTTTACCTTCTTTTGATTAAATTTTTTGGAATTTAAAAAATGTTGAATATTTTTCAGCTTTCGTTGGGTTGACGTTCCATGAAGGTGTAGGTACTGATGGATGGAGAGGGTGATGGGCACGGGCACAGCTGACATCCCTGTGGCCTTTTCCTGTTTCTTACATGCTCACATACACTTGCTTGGTGGGGTCTAGAGTTAGGTTGGGCCTCCCAGCTCCTGGAGTTCTCCATGAATTACAGAAGCCCCGGTTATTCACTGGGGCAGGGCAGGCAGCCTTGACACAGTTCCTTGTTTCTGGAGCCCCTACCTGGGTAGTGTTGGCGGAGACATCTGACTGTCGTCTGGTCCCTGGAATTTAGATCCCTGTCTGTGTGGCCACCGGGGACTTCTGCCTTGTCCCATGATATCTGCTGATCACATAGACACTCCCAGTGGTCCCTGGTTCCTCCCATCTGGACTGGTCTCTGGTTCCTTCCTTTCCTGTCTCATGTCCCTGGTATCCATTGATATTGGGGCTTCTGAAAACCCACCTGGGGCCAAGTTCTAGCCTTGCCATCTTGCCTTCTGCCCGTGAATTCTCCAGAGTGTGGCCTCTCCCTGCTGCTCTGCTCTGACTGGCACATGGACCGTTCCCCCCTCTCTGTGGGTTGCAGAGATCATGTGTGAAGTGCTTCAGAGACACCCACAGGCATTTGTTTTCTTTTGTGGGAAGATTTCAGGCCTGCAGCTGTTCATGTTGGGTTTGCAGGTCCTCTGAGTTCTCTGTCCCTTCTGGTGTCACAGTTGCCCAGCAGTTGTTGGTTTGCCTGGCTCCACTGCACACCCTGGGTGGGGATGTCCTGTTCATCCCTCGGTCCCAAGCACTGAGCACTGAGCCTTTGTGGCCTCTGTGTTCATCCCAGAGGGGCCAGCCTTCCTAGACCTGCTCAGCTGTTGTGTGTGTCTGTACATAATAAGTAAGAACGTGGCTGGGCACAGTGGCTCACGCCTATAATCCCAGCACTGTGGGAGGCCTAGGTAGGCAGATCAAATGAGGTTAGGAGTTTGAGACCAGCCTGGCCAACATGGTAAAACCCCATCTCTATGAAAAATAAAAAAATTAGCTAGGCATAGGCATCGTGGTACATGATTGTAGTCCCAGCTACTCAGGAGACTGAGGGAGATGAATCACCTGAACCTGGGAGGTGGAGGTTGTGGTGAGCTGAGATCGTGTCACTGCAGAGTGAGACACTGTCTCAAAAAAAAAAAAAAAAAGAGAAAAGGCCAGGTGTGGTGGCTCATGCCTGTAATCTCAGCACTTTGAGAGGCCAAGGCAGGCAGATAATGATATCAGGAGTTTGAGTCCAGTCTGGCCAACATGGTGAAACTCAGTCTCTGTTATATGTACAAAAAATTAGCCAGGTGTAGTGGTGCACCCCTATAATCCCAGCTACTCGGGAGGCTGAGGCAGGAGAATCGCTTGAACCTGGGAGGCAGAGGTTGCGGTGAGCCGAGATCACACCATTGCATTCCAGCCTGGGCCACAGAGTCAGATTCTGAGCCCCATCCCCCCCAAAAAAAATTGTTGTACAGACCCCACTCCTGTCCAGTTAAACCAGAATCTCTACTTTAACCTGAATCACTTGTTCATCACTATGGGCCTCTCAGTGACTGGCCGTTTGCTGCTACCAGACCACCTCCCCGCCCATCACATGGTGGCGTTCAACACGTCTGGAGAAATTTTGTTTAGTAGGACTTGCTTCTAACTTATTCAATGTGTCATCCAACCAGATGATCTCTTTGTTACTAAGAAAGGACAGTTGGCCGGGTGCAGTGGCTCACACCTGTAATCTCAGCACTTTGTGAAGCCAAAGTGGGTGGATTGCTTGACTGCAGCAGTTCCAGACCAGCCTGGGCAGTATGGTGAAACTACATCTGCCAAAAAAAAAAAAAATATTGTAAAAATTAACTGGGTTTGGTTGGGGTAGTCAAGGTAGGAGGATCGCCTGATCTTGGGAGGCTGAGGTTGCTGTGAACCATGATCGTACCACTGCACTCCAGCCTGAGTGACAGAGTGTCAAGAGATCGAGACCATCCTGGTCAACATGGTGAAACCCTGTCTCTACTGAAAATACAAAAAATTAGCTGGGCATGGTGGCGCGTGCCTGTAATCCCAGCTACTCAGGAGGCTGAGGCAGGAGAATTGCCTGAACCCAGGAGGCGGAGGTTGCGGTGAGCTCAGATTGCGCCATTGCACTCCAGCCTGGGTAACAAGCGCAAAACTCGGTCTCAAAAAAAAAAAAAAAAAAAAAAATAGAAGAAAGAAGGGATAGAAGGGAAACTTCCCATATCTGAGAAGATTGATCAATATTTTGGTTATCGTATTCTACCTATTCGTATGCAGCTTCAGTTTCCACATGCAGATTTCATTTTGAGGCTTTCTTCAGAATGACTTCTGCATGTCTGTATCAACAGAGTTCAGTTCCTTAAAATGGGAAAAATGTTCACGGACCTTAAAGTCTACAGTTCTTAGTCTTTGGTTGAAAATAATGTGTCACATTTCTGTTTTTTAACCGTTTTATAATGTAACCTTTTCTATCTTTTTCTAAAGGTGGGTGGATTCTTTTCCTAAAAGCTAGAAAATCTAGAAAATTGTAAAAATAATGGAAGTTTTATGGAAAAGAAAACTGTGATTAAATAAATCCTCCATAGTTTTACATAGCCGGGGTCGTACCTCATGTTTATTCTAATACGTTTGTTTCTAAATTTTTTTTTCTGTGTGTGGCATATGATTTTTAAATACAGTATCACATTCTACAGTGTATTTGCTTATTTACTGATTGATTCTTCAGAGTTGTTTCCGTCCCTTTTTTGCCATCTTATCCATCTTTAGGTATGCAGTTCGGTAGTAAGTATGTTTGCATTGTGTATACTTTTATCTTTCTAACAAACCTAGCATTATGAACATGTGATTTTATTAAGTATTAAGTATTGTTCAAAACTTAGGCTTCTCACGGGCTGCAGTCTGGAGCCCGGTGACTCTAGCTAGTCCTTTGCTTTGGGCCGAGGGCGTCTTAGCCTTGCGGTGTAGTAGCTGCATGGGAGCATCCGGGGGCTTGAAGCTTCCCTCCTGTGCCTGTTTCCCGACAGCCGCTGCAGTGGAGTTGCTGACTCACAGGGTGCGGGGGTCCAGTTGCTGTGAGCAAGTCATCCTGATGCAGCCCCACCAGCAGGGCAGCTCTGTCGGCCCGTCTCCCCACGAGACGTTTCTCACCTCCCGCCTTCTGCTCTCCTGCCTATGCTGGCCCTGGGCCTCCATCTTGTCCTGATACCACTGCCTCCCTCCTCCTCCTGCCCTGGTATTCCAGCATCACGCGGTGCTGTCTGTCTACCCGGCCTCTCCCTCACACTGCTGCGCTGGCTTCAGCTGGACGCTGTCTCTTCACCATCCTCTTACCTGAATGTAGAGAGCCTGGGGTGGCTGTTTGGGGGAGTGTTGCCCCAAAGTCCTTTATTGCCTCCTGTGGTGTCAGGGACATCTTGTCCAAACTGCAGGGAGCACTTCCTCGTCCTGGGGCCGTGTGTAGAAGAGCAGTCAGGAACATGCCTGGGAAGCACGCGATGACCGGTGACGTCAAGTCCTTCTCCACGAAGCTCAGGATGGGTGCAGGACTCAGGCTTTTTTCCACCCACGGGTGCTCAGACTCTGCTTGCTTTTCCTGCTTCTTTGCTGCCTTCCTGCACATGGTCCTGCTGTGTTCCAGGGCTGGGCACTGGGGATGTGGCAAGGGAGTTCCAAGGTCAGCTGTTGAGATGAGTCTCATGGCAGAGAGGAGCTCTGCAGGCACCCAGGAATGCCACCCACCGCCCACTGGCATGTGAGGGCTGGCCTGCTCAGGTCGGGCGACCTTGGTTCTGGCCCATAGTGGGCAGCTGCCCAGATGCGTTTATTGAAGGATGCTGAACTGGTGGTCTCAGGCATCTCGGAAGAAGGTAAAAATGTGCATACTGCAGTCAGTCATGTGCGGATCAGTCACCCCCAGGAGTGCAGGAACCTGGAAGAGGCTTTTCCCAGGTCAAGTGAGGGCCCGTGTCTGGACCATGCATCTTCTGAGCAGCCGACATTTGATGTTCCAAGTTATTTGGGATTCTTTGATGTGTATCTGCAAACACAGCCTCAGGCTGTTGGCTCTTTGAGTCCCCTTGGTTCAGTGGATTGAGTGTGGGTGTCATCCCTTAGAATGCACTGCTGAGCTCCTTGGGTTCCACCACACCAAGCAAGGGATGAGAATGCTGCTTTTCTGGTTCTACATACCCCTCTCCTTTTTGGAGGGTGGTGGCGGTGGTGGTGGCAGAAAGCAAACTTTTCAATATAGGATTACTTGGATATTGGACAAAGTATATTTAGACTGATCCTCTTACGTGAACATAGAGACCCCGGGCCACCAAGAGACCCTCCTGGGGAAGGGTCTTGTGTGAAGAAAATAAACAAGGCATGTTCCTCTCTTTTCTTAAGTCCAGTGTGGTGGCTGAGCAACAGCAGAGGCAGGGAAAGTGTCCAGGGCTGTCTGGGGTTATTCTCGGATTTTCTTGCTCTGTCATGACTGAGCGCAAAAGGAATTTGTTTGAAAGGTAGACAGTATCTCTGGGTTAACCCCTGAATGCAATCAGGAGATGTCTTTTAACACAGAAACATTGCAAAGGATACTAGCCTTTCTTGCCATGCTAGCCAACCCAGACCCCCTGGGGGATGTGTTTGTGAAGGCAGTTTAATAAGATTGAAAGAGCTTGGGTCTTGGAGACTTTCTAGCTGTCAACTTTCAGCATGTTTGTTCATGCCTGTCTTCGAGCCTCAGTTTCTCAGCAGGATGGTAGGTAGCTCTGAGGATTTGCCTTGAAGTGTCCTCTTGAAAGAGCATTGACAGATACCAGCATGTGGTGGGTGATTGGGAAATGGTACCTACCTGTTCGCTTGATTGTTTGGGGTGATGCAAAAACGTGAGGCCTCAGAACAGGGCTGGCCAGCATGGTAACTGCTCGTCACATGTGACAAGTTAAATTTAAATGAAATGAATGAAATAAAAGTAAAATTTTTGTTTCTCCATCCCGCTTTCTACATTTTCTTTTTTTGTGTGGCAGGGTCTCACTCTGTCACCCAGGCTGGAGGGCAGTGGCATCATCTTGGCTTATTATAGCCTCCACTTCCTGGGCCCAAGCAAGCCTCCCATCTCAGTTTCCTGAGTCGCTGGGACTACAGGCACGTGCCACCACGTCCACGCCACCACACCTGGATAATTTTTGTAGTTTTTATAGAGATGGGGTTTTGTCATGTTGCCCAGGGTGGTCTCGAACGCCTGGATTCAAACAATCCACCCACCCTGGTTTCCTGAAGTTCTGGGATTACAGGCATGAGCCACTGCGCCCGGCCTATGCTTTCACATTTTCTTTGCTCATTATCATGGAACGTTTTCCATCTTTACAGAAAGTTCTATTGGACAAGGCAGCTCTAGGGTGACAGTTGGATAATAGGCAAAGGAAATTATTAAATGAAACTCTGCCATTTGCGTCCCAACTCCATTTGGGCCAGCATTTTCTGATAACTTAATTTGTCTTTCAGGCATGGAAATAATTTAGACTTGACTATGAAGAAACAGCTTTTGCTGTTGTTTGCCAGAAGATATTCTGATGTTCCTTTGTTTGTTTGTGTTCTGTGATTATAGCATTTAAGCCAAAACAATCTCTGTTCTCTTTTTGTCCCCAGTGATGGATGTCACAGATATAATAAATGGAAAAGTAGACGATGAAGATAAGCAGCATTTCATTCCCTTTCAGCCGTAAGTATGGAGCAATTCAAGTACTTAGCCAGATACCATGCGTGAAACATAGGCCTGTACTAATTATCTTTATAATTAAATCGATAAGCATAAGTAAGGATTGATTATTTTATAATTATAAAAAACCTCGTTAGTCACTGCTGTAGCACATGGAGTTTTTTGTAGCCATAGGAAGCTTGGGTCAAGGTTTGTTTATAGTCCTGGAAGGAGAAGATTTTACTTGTGATCATTGAATTGCTTTATCATATAGATGGCACAGAATTACAACTCTGCTCTGAGCCTGAACGTTTCTTTACATAATTGATTTATTCTAGTAGCTATTTGTATTTTCAAAACACAGTACTTTCAGATTCATGATAGGAGGTTGCTGTTTTTAAAATAGAAAACCAAATAAAATTATGATGAATTCTTTGGTAAAAGTGAGAAATAATGCTTTAAAGCATATAATCTCACTGCTGATTTTTCTGTCTCGGTTTTTGCTCATAGAGGACCATATCTGTGCTGGTTTTTAGGCTTTCTTGAGTTCTGACCTGAAGTTGTTAAAGAGGCACAAAAGCTGAGAAAAAGCTCTTGGAGGAGATTCATTAAATTGATTATCTGATTTGTGGTAGAGCCCGTGGCACTGGTTGAAAGAATTGGCGTTTATCTCCCTGGTGATGGGAACAAGAGTGTGCCTCGATGATGGTCATTGGCCACTTACTGGCACTCCTACTCCTCAGACAGAGGGGGAAAGAAAAAGGAATCCAAATGTTGAGGTTAATTGTAAGAGACAGCTTCCTCCTGGGTGTGGGGCTGGGGGGTGTTGTCAGGGAAGAATCCATGGTAAGGGAAGTGGAATCCACCTGCCATAGTGTTCTGCATTTTTACTTTTCCCTCATTTTTATTCTTAATTGATTTCAGGCTCGAAACCCATTTTCAGATTTTAGAAATTTGACTGTTTTCAGCTGTTGGCTGAAGGGTTTAGGAGGCGGGTAGTAATTGGGTGGCTGAAGGAGCCTGTCCTTGTGGACCAGGAGATGTGAGGTTGGCCTCCCTCTGCCCCACGCTTCCTTGATGATGAACCACCACACTCACCCCCACCGGACTCATCTGGGACTTGAGTGCCACTGGCTAAGACAGGAAGAGTATGGCGTTCTTTGCAGGCAGGCGATCTGGTCAGATAGCATCCTAAGGCTTTTTGTACAGCTCAGTGGGAGATTTTTCTATCTTCTTGACATAGGAATAACAGAAACCCTGCGTTATTGAGCTTGGAGTCAGGGTTAGGTTATATGTATCTCACCATGCACAACAAAAGGCAAAGGTCACTTGTGGCTTAACTGCTTTAGGTTTACTCTCCTGTCCAGTATGTTAGCCATTAGCTCCATGTGACTATTTAAAATACTTAAAATGAGCCGGGTGCAGTGGCTCACGCCTGTAATCCCAGCACTTTGGGAGGCTGAGGTGGGCGGATCACCTGAGGTTAGGAGTTCGAGACCAGCCTGGCCAACGTGGCAAAACCCTGTCTCTACTAAAAATACAAAAATTAGCCAGGTGTAGTGGCAGGTGCCTGTAATCCCAACTACTCAGGAGGTCGAGGCACGAGAATTGCCTGAAGCCAGGAGGCAGAGGTTGCAGTGAGCCAAAATCACACCACTGCACTCCAACCTGGGCAATAGAGGGAGATTCCGTCTCAAAAAATTAATAATAATTAAAATGAAGTAGCATTAAACATTTAGTCTTCAGTCACATTAGTCCTATTTCAAGTGCGGCAGCAGGCGAGGCCTGTGGCTGCCATCCCGGGCAGCACATACACTGCACATTTCCAGAAAGCTCTGCTGGAAAAAGTTGTTTTGCAGTTCCACCCAGTGTAGAGAGTTTACAAGGCGAACACAGTGCTGCAGAATCTGGAAGTTTCCTTAGAAAACAAAGGTAATATTATCGTGGAACATGGGCAGATATTGAGGTGATAAATAAAATACACCTTTGTAAAATTATAATATTCAATTGCCTTGTTCTCTCATGAGAAATAATGCAGCCCCCTGCTGTTTTGAATGCTATGTTATATATTAGACCTCAGAGCTTCTCGATGCCCAGATGTACCACTAAGTTGAAATTACCTGCTAGTGTCCTCTGTGAAAAGTCAGAACGAAACAAACAAAACAACTTGAGGGGTTGTTTGAAAAGTCAGGGAGGTTATTAGTGAGTGGTGCATGAGTTGTGCTTTGCTGCCATCTTTTTCTATCTTGTAGTGGAATGTCCACTTGAAAAGTATATTATTCCGTGTGTAACTCTTACGTAATTTGTGACCCCGTGCTCCATTAAAGGAAGACTACTAGACAGATGAATATTTGCAGTGTTAGAAACAAAAGGACAGCATGATTTTTAATAGCAAAATAAGCAATGAAACCAGTTCTTTGGGAAATGTCATGCTAATGAAACTGTTTTTTGCTCCATTAAAACTGATTTATTGTCTCACAGGGTTGGTTTCAGGGAAGGAGGCACACTGCCCGTCTCCTTCCCTCTCTGGCTTTTTTAACGTGGTGAAGTAAATGACAACAGACTTCAGTCCCCTCGAGTCATGTGGCTCAAGTGATGGATAGCACTGTCCTTGTTCCCAGGATTGATTTTAAACATGATGGCCGTGCTGTATATTTTCTTGCTCATTTCATAGCACCCTTTGCTATGCCACGTGGTATTTCTGTTTGGGTACGCTACCTGTTTGCAGCCAGTCTCTCATACAGCACAGCATCTGTGACAGGCTTCTGGTTCACGGGCCCCGAAAACACTGGTGGTCTGCACTCCTAATGGTGCCACACATGGGAATCGGCAGTGGTGTTCTCCAAAGACTGCCATTCTTCTCACAGTCATTTTAGGGTCTGTTGTACACATAGTTCAAGAGAGCAGAGTAGCAAGCTTCTGCAAGCAGTTAGGGTCTAGGAATTTTTTTAAATCTCGATTTTGCTTTTCCCTTTAGACCACCTGCCCCTTGACCTATGCTGTGTTCAGAATTATTGAAATTGGAGGAATGGCCATAAACATTCTTTGGGAGTAAATGCCTTTCAACCATGTGGCTTTCAGACAAGCTTCTTTTTTTAAACACAATTGTCTGGTGGAGACGCAGTGGAGGCCTGGTGCACGTTTATTTCCTGGGGAGAGGGTTGCCCTCGTTTACTCTACTTCCCTCTCGTGGTTCAGCATTTTCCTGATCAATGCTTTTCCCTGTTTCTCTTGTCACCTCTCCCATCCTCTGTCGTGCGTTGACTCATGATGCCTCTCCCTCACACTCGGTGACGATGATCTCTTATGTTCCCTTGTTACCGTGACCCATGGGTCTCTGTGCCCCTTTGTCTCCTGTGGTCTTGGTCGTCCCGTGCCCTCCAGGCTCGCGTTGGACGACGCCATTCGACACAAGCCGCTGAACATGTCATCCCGTTTTTCACCCAGGGTGGCAGGGGAGAATGACTTCCTTCAGACTGTTATAAACAAAGTCATCGCTGCCAAAGAAGTCAACCACAAGGGGCAGGGTACGTATCTTCCCGTTCCGTTTCTGTCCGTGTCCGTTTGCATGCGTTTGGGACGGTGCTGTCTGCGTTGTGTTTTGGTTTGACCTTGATCATGATGGCAGTGATGATGATGGCGATGACAGTGGCCGTACTGGCGTATGTGTGTGACGGTTGCTCCCGTGTACAGTGCCTGATGGCTTTCTTGCCAATCGACCACCTTTGTGAGCATTGCTGAGAGCCACCTTCTGGGTGGAGAGTGAGGTGGGATTTGATGTTTAGGGGAACGTGGAGGCGTAACTCCCTCTGCCCATGCTGTGTGCTAATCACTGCCTGTTCTGGGGCTCCCCTGGTGGTCCGCATAAGAAGGTGACTTCCTTTGTGCAGACTTGCTCCCCCGGGTTCTGTCATGTAAATGGTGTCTCCTCCCCCACACCCCGCTTCACACTCACCGTTTTTAATCCCGCACTGACACGTTTCTGAGCAGCTGACCTGCTGCTGGTAGAAGGAATGAATCAATCACCTCAGGCTGGTGACAGTTGGCACTTGGCTGGCCAGGAGGGCTGCCAAAAACAACTGTGACTGAGGCCCCGCCTCCAGCCCAAGGGGAAGTCACCTTCAGAACTTGACCGTCTCTGTCCCTGATCCATGCAGACTGTCTATACACACGGTAGAGCTTAGGTGACTAGGCCTGCTTCATTGTTCAGATACCTTAAGTCACTAGGCTTTTAAAAAACTATCATCTTGATTCATTTCCTCCTGTTCTAAAGGCGAATGTGAATTGAGCCCGAAGAATGGTAGAGAGAATGAGCCTTCCTAGGGCTCTGCAGGGACCTCCAACTTTCTTCTGGTGTGAACTGCCCCTGTCTCTGGCAAACAGTAGCGGAACAAAAACCCCAACCCAGAACATTAATGAGATGTGACCTCTGCCGACAGAGCAATTTTCAGCTGACCCAGGACCCATCTTCTCATAAATTAACAGCCCTCCCAATTTACACTTGAATTGAAAATCACAGGGAGGTCCAATTAGGGCTGTTTAGATTGGAGTCACACTCAGGCTGTGAGCACCAGGCGAAGGTTGCTGGCTGATCCTTCGGCGCTTCGAGCTGGGGCTGTCCTCAAATCTCCAGTTTCTTTTGCAGACATCAGAGTTTTGACGAACTTTTATTAGAGTCATTCAGGGAAAGTGGAGTTTGGTGTCAGGCCAGCAGGAAATCACTGGGAAAGAGGACCCGAAGCCTGCCTCTGCAAGGCTCACTGGTGTGTGGCCAAGATCTTTGAAGCTGGAGAACCTGGGGCTGATGCCAGGGGGCCCGGTTCCTTGAACTTCTGGGAAAAGTGGGCCTTTTCAAGTCACAGTGAGATCTGAGAACAGGGATAGTTTTGTCAAGGGGATCACTGGTGACTTCCTGAATCAGAATGCCCTTAGGCAACATGAGGACTGCACATTTACATTCAACCTGAATGTTTCTCCAGGGCCCACTCTGGGGTGGAATTCAGGTCAGAGGTGAGCCATGCTGCCAGCCAGTGCAGCCCCGCAGATCAGGACTGCAGGGCGCTGCCCCCTGGAGCTCACTTCATCCCCAGCAGCCCAGGCTTCACCTGATCCTTGCTTGTCTGTCAAGTGACGCTAGCAGTCCCAGGAGTGGGAGGGACGTGGAGGAGATACGCATCTCCAGAGAGAACTGCTGGGTCTGCTTGCCCTGTCTTTCTGCAGGTGCTGCCTGTCTCTTGAGCTCGGCCCTTGGCCTTGGCCTGGTTTTGGTTTGTGCCAACACGTTTCCTCGTCACAATAGACAAAATCCTGAATATTTAATCCAAATTATTCTGATCCCTGAACCCAGAGGTGTGGGCCATTTTCTGTGGACAGTGAATTCATGAGCACTCCAGACATCTGGTTCTATTGTTTGAGGTAGAATGTATGCTAATTCTCTTTGTTTTTAGTTATTCTGGTTAAGCAAATGTCAACCCAAAATGCACTTTTTTCTTTGGTGAAAATTGGCCTCATTTTCTCCTGTGAGAAAAGCATTCAAAACAGAGAGTAATCAGGAACATTTGATTTCCATTTGTAAAGTACATGGTAATAAATGTAATTGTGTCACTAATATATTAGTTTATGTATTAAGATATTTGAGCAGGTTGGTGTTTCTGAGAAAGCTGTTTGAGGCGCAGCATTACTAATATTAAGTGTTATTCAGTGTCCCATCTTTATCTCTTCACCTTTGATCTCTGTAAATAATGATCTCACCACATGCTGCAATCCTTCAAAGAGCATCCTTCTCTTAGATTCAGCCTGTGGACATTCATTCTCCAGGGAGGGTTAAGATGTGAGGAACTCGGCGCGGCGTCCCGGTGTTCCAGTGAAGGCCAGCTCCATGTCATCCATGGCGCTGGTTCCTCAGGCACTTCCGTCAGGATCTTGGCTTGGTTTGCTCTGTGGGAGGCCAGAGCCAGGGGTTAGGGTGAGGAAGTGCCTGGCCCTTTTCAGCTCTGTCTCCCTACCTGTTCCGTAGGTCCACAGCTGCTGTTAGCTCAGGGTGCTTTTGTGTGAATTAGAGAAAGGGGCCTGGTGAGCTGGGTGAGTCGGGAGCTACAGGCACTGCCAGGGCCGTGGCCTGGTGAGCGGGTGTAGGCCGGATTCAGTCCCACTTGCCTTTGCTTGGCAGTTGTCTAATGAAATGCACATTCTGGGCAATGGTGCATGTGTTCCTGTCTGGGTGCCATCCCGATACCTCTTTGGGGACTACCTTCCATTGGTGGTTCTTCCCTCCCTCAAACTCTCCCTCCCATCATTTGGAATTTCATCTCTTAAAGGAAAAAGAAAAAAAAATTTTAAAAAAGGAAAGAAAAGAAACGACAGGAAGCAGTCCTGCCCGGAGTAATACGTCTGTCTCTGTATCCGTGGACTCTCTCTGGTCTTCGTCTCCCGTTCGTCTTTACCCTTCTCCCTCCCAGCATTGGCCCTTTCCCTCACCTGCCTCCCTGCTTCCCCGTCTCCCGCCAGGAGCCCTGTGGTGGCACGGGCAACATTCCTTCCCAGTTTCCCATTTCCCCTCTAATCTCGGACGTCTCTGACCCCGTGTGAGCTCTCAAAGTGGGGCCTTCCTTGCCCTCTTTGGGACTCTTCTTTTCCTCCCCACTCTGAGCGCCTGCCTTTCAGGCAGCTCTGCCTGCCGCGGGTCCTCCTGTTCCAGGGCGTGGCACCCCCGGCACTTGCTAGTGGCTGTGCCTGCAAGGGGCTCCGTCTCTGCAAGCCGCGCCTCTTCCTACCCCAACTCCCCGTGGTTCTGCTGATGTGACCTCTACGCTGGTCCCCTTCCCCCACTCTCCACACTGGAGATTCTGTTCCGCCAGCCAGCTGGGTTCAGGCGGTGGCCTCCCTGCTGCAATTCCATCCCCACTGTGCTCTGTACTCCTGCCTACCTGTTCCCTGTAGCCACAGTATGAGGTCAGAGCCTGACACCTGTTCCTGATCCCCCCTATGGCTGCCTCTCATCCTTCAGATAGACTACAGTACCTACCACCCCAGCCTCCTGACTGTCTTCCCACAGTATCTGGGGGCTCCAACCCCCTGGGGATTCAGATGCACATAGACACAGACACAGAGACCCATACAGACCCAGACACACACACACACACACACACACACACACACGCACACGGAGATCCATGGGCCCACACACAGACACACGGAGACGCACACCGACAGACCCATGCACAGACACACACACAAACAGAGACACACACATGGACACAAAGACCCACACGGACACAGACACATGCACAGACACACACAGAGATACAGACACCACAAACACAGAAACAGGCACACACACAAACACACAGATACAGACACAAACACAGAGACAGACACCACAAACACACATCAGACACACACACAGATATAGAAACCACATATACACATACAGATACACACATAGATATAGACACCACAAACAGACACACACACACAGAGATACCTGTAGACACACAGACATAGATACAGACATGGATATAGACACAGACACGCACATAGACATCATTCACTCACACAGCTACCGATACACATGTAGACACAGATACAGAAACAGAGACGCAGAGCCACACACATACAGATAGATGCACATAGACATGACACACAGGGACACACACACATACAGAGACACACACAGGCAGACACATGGACACAGACACACACATGCATAGAGACACACAGACCCACAGGGACACAGACACACGCACAGACACACACACAGATACCTGTAGACACACAGACACAGATACAGACATGGATATAGACACAGACACGCACGCAGACATCATTCACTCACACAGCTACAGATACACACGTAGACACAGATAGAGAAACAGAGACGCAGAGCCACACACATACAGATAGATGCACGTAGACATGACACACAGAGACATACACACATACAGAGACACACACGGGCAGACACATGGACACAGACACACACACAGACACACATGCACAGAGACACACAGACCCACAGGACACAGACACACACACAGACACACGCACAGCCACAGGCACGTGTGCACCCCCATGCTAGTAGCAGAAGTAAGGGCAGAGGATTTGATGTTCTGAGGGGCAGATGAAGCCCCACTGAGCTGAGTCGGGGGAAGCCAGCGGGCAGCCCCTTGAGGCCTCAGAGACAGAGCACCCCCATGTGCTGACTGATAGTGCCAGCCCCTTCCCGTCAGGGGAGACATATACCGTCACAGAAGACCGCTGAGGCCGAGCCCCTGCCTGCCCCCGCCTTTGACTTGTTGGAAGTGTCTGCCTTGTTCTCATGTACTGTTGCCTCCCATATGATTGCTACTCAGTATTTATACAAACCACAGTTCTCCGTCAGCCTTGCAGGGAGGAAGAGCCCAGGCACACGCTCTTACACATAGACCCCGGCAGGTTCACCGCACTCTTGCCAGGACACCCCAGGCATCTAGGCTTAGAGGCTTTGAAAGTCTTCATTTCTCCCTTGGGGAAAAGAGCTGAGAGCAGCCAGAGTAATTGTTCTCTTTAGCTGTGGTGCTGTGGCACAGTGGGCCTGGACTCACGGCTGCACCTGCATGGATGGGAGGGCTGGCCTGCTGGTGACCCTGCAGCCTGGTGCTCTGCTGCCTGCCTGGGTTGGCCACTTGAGACTTTGATGGGTTCTCGAAGCTGCGAATTCACCTCCAGAATCCTCCCCTGCCTTTGTCTTTCTTCGAAGACTAGAAAATGACAGACTTCTCCGCCCCCCTCCCAGAAAAAGGTGGCCTGGCTGTTTTATCTTAAATGTCTACCCACTGGACAGAGACATTGGCCCTTTGCGGCCCTCAGCAGAGCAGCAAGTGCACAGCGGCTGCAGATGTGCATTCAGCTGCCTGTGAGTCACCCTAGGGCAGGGCCGGCATCCCAGCTCGGCGGATGCACGCAGTCCCGACAGGCCCCTTTTGCCTTGCCCCTCTGTTTCTCATGTACCCACCTTTCTCTTGAGATGCTGAATTGTGAATTAAAAGTCTCTTGTTCATTGAAGTCGGTTTCGTAAACATTTTTTAAAATGCAGAGGATAAAATGGGACTGAATGGCATCCGTTGTTTTTCCAGGTTTGTGGGTAACATTGAAATTACTTCCTGGAGATATCCATCAGATCCGAAAAGAGTTTCCGCATTTAGTGGACAGGACCACAGCTGTGGCTCGCAAAACAGGGTTTCCGGAGATCATCATGCCGGGTAAGAACTGGCTCATTCAGGGCTTCTGAGCATGGCGTGGGGGTGGCAGGCCATACAGAAGGAAGGACGTGTGGGCAGCGTCATGTATGAGCTCAGCTCCTGGTAGGTGTCAGCACCAGCATGGTTGTGGATCATGGGGCTGTGACCGGAGTGGTGGAATACACCCCCTGACCCACTGTGCCCCTGGATGGATCAGCTCTCCCCAATTGCAAGGCTTGTGTGAGAGGGGTGTGGGCACCAGCGAATGTCTGGATAGACATCAGGTAGAAAGAAGGAAAGAGGTCAGAAAGGGAGCTGCCCAGTGAAGCCCACCTTAGGGGGAATGGCAGGGTTGGCTTCTCGCTTCATGGAAATGCCTGGACCTGCGCCCACTCAGCTGGTGTGAGTTATCCTGCTGGGATTGCTCCAGGAGCTCTACATCGTGAATTCCAAACCAACCAAACCAGTAACGAGATTTCCGTGTTAACATTAATCTCATATGGACATAATACTTTTCAGTATCCAAATAACGTTCATAATAATCTGATTTGATCTTCAAGAGATCTTGGGAAGCATGTTCATATATATGCCTTATATCCGTGTGAAACTTTTTGGTTTGCAAGTAATGCTTATGTGGCTTGGCTGGGCGTGGTGGTTCATGCCTGTAATTCTAGAACTTTGGGAGGCTGAGTTGGGGAATCACTTGAGCTCAGGATCTGGAGGCCATCCCGGGCAACATGGTGAAACCCCGTCTCTACAAAAAAATTTAAAAATCATCTGGCATGGTCCTGTCATCCCAGCTACTTGGCAGGCTGAGGTGGGAGAATCACTTGAACCTGGGTGGCAGAGAGGTTGCAGTGAGCATAGATCGTGCTACTGCACTCCAGCCTCGGTGACAGAGTGAGACTCTGTCTCAAAAAAACAACAACATAAACAAAACAAAAACCAAACACAAACAGAAAACTAACTTGAGCCACGTAAAGCTCTTGGAATCTACAAATTAGTGTCGAATTAATTCCCATCAAAATTAAACTGTAGCCAAACTTCGCTCAGCTAATGAGGCGTGGAAATGGGGACAAACTCCCCCCGTTCAACGTGGCCTCCTTTTATAGGCCTGCGCTGTCTCGCCGGGAGAGTGGTGGTTACTCAGTGTGCACGCAGTCTGAGTTGGTGCTTTGCTTACCTTAGTGCAGCTTCAAGACGTGTTCTTTCTACTCCTTCCGTCTTCCAGGGCTGTTGTGGGCCATTGAATGCTCTGTCTGGGAAATCCATAGGAAAGACATCTAATTTGGTTAGGCTAAATAATAGCTAGGCTTACCTGTACAGGAAGAAAAGCATGATGTGTAGTCAATTCTGAAGCGGTTGTTTGTGTGTGTCAAGTCTATATGCAGCAAATTAATTTAGGTTTATTAATGGCAGTGGACTAATTTTTGTACTTATTATTTGTATTTGCATTTGCAATGCAGATTTATAAATCAGGATGAAGTAATCAGCAATATGCATTTATCTTGGCGTCCTCAGGCTGTCCTCATGTTCAAAGGGAAACCCAGAACCTTTCAGCTAATGCCAGTAGTGTCTCCCTTATGATGGATAGACTTAAAAACTAAGTCTAGGCCTGGCATGGTGGTGAATGCCTGTAGTACCTGGTACCAGGGAGGCTGAGGTAGGAGGATCCCTGGAGCATGGGAGGTCAAAACCACAGTGAGCCATGATCACAACCATTGCACTGCAGCCTGTGTGACAGAGAAAGACCCTGTCTCAAAAATAAAGAAAAGTGAGTCTAAACTCCAGAAGATCATCTCATGATAGAGTCATAGGGAAATGATACAGCTGACTATTGTTCTGGCAGGTTCCATATGCTAAGTCCTGGGTATGTATCTCATAGGAAGAGATTCTAGCTTGGGTGGGTCATCTTTGTTCACTGTTGGCCAAGTAATCACTGACCAGGCTGTGGGCACCAGAGAGAGAGTGTGGGCGGTTATCAGTCTTCTCTCTGCCCTTAGCCTGCAGAACCTGTATATCACCTGGTTTTGCTGCTGTTTGCAGAGATGAGCATCTTTGGACAGTGAAGAGCCTGTCCTGTCACCTAGTGACCTGCTCTGCTACTGTCTGGTGGCTCGCTGGACTCCTGGAGTCCTTGTGAAGGATCCAGGCAGGGGATGCCGACTTATCCTTCGACCTGGGAATGTGGCAGGAGTCTACTATGTCTACTTCTCGTTCCTTCTTCCCCAGAACGTTCTGAAGCCTGCGGAGGCATTTGCTGATGTCTAAGGTGAATGTCCACCTGTGAGGTTTGCCAGCTGTAAATGAGGGCTGTCTTCTGAGCTGGTCCTGGAGTTGTGCAATCGAGGCGTACTTGGGAGCAAGGCTGTGGGAGTTTTGCTCTGTCACCTACGCTAGAGAGCAGCAGCGCGATCTCGGCTCACTGCAACCTCCGCCTCCTGCTTACAAGCGATTCTCTTGCCTCAGCCTCCAGAGTAGCTGGGATTACAGGTGTGCACTACCACGCCTGGCTAATTTTTTGTATTTAGTAGAGATGGGGCTTTACTGTGTTGCCCAGGCTTGTCTCGAACTCCTGACCTCAGGCAATCCACCCACCTTGGCCTCCCAAACTGCTGGGATTACAGGCATGAGCCACTGCACCAGGCCTTGAAGTTCTTTTTTGATGATGGTGTTTGTGCCTTGGTAGAATTTTTAGGGTGAGATATCATATGGTTTATGACTTGTCACTTAGCTGAGGGTCCCACAGCTAATGAGCAACAAGTCTTGGCTGGGTGGCCTTGCTCCTGCCCCTTGCCCTGTGCTCCCTGCTTCTTAACTTCTCTTGTGGTCAGTATCAGTGGGCGGCAGCTGCACCTCCTTCCACACAGCTACTGTGGCTGGTAGCAACCCACTGGCATTATTAGGATAATGACTTAAATGAAAGCCCTGTTTGGTAGTTGGAAACCTTAAAAGCCAAAACAGAGCAGTTTAAAAGGAAAGAAAAAAAGCAAAAGCAAAAACAAGAAAGCAAGGGGCCAAGGGAGTTACTTTCCTTCAGGGATCCTTGGTCTTCAGCCAGAGTGGGCATTTGCTGCTCTTGAGGGAGCCGCTCCTTGGCTCCTTGGGAGAGCAGGTGGCCAGGGCGTGGGAGGTGGCCAGGCAGGCAGCAGAGGAGCAGTCGCTGGGAACGAGGCTTCCTCTAAATCATGTTGCTAATGAAGCTTGTGAAGTTCTCCCAGTCGGGCCATTACCAAGGGCTTCCTGTGTTCTCAGTAGGAAGAAGAGTCTTGAGCTCATTTCTTGTGTTTTCCCCCACTACAATTAAAAGTCCATCTCACTTTAAAATAGACAGGTCTGTTTTGTTCTTTTCTCTGTGGTCCGCATTCAGGATCCTGCCAGAAGAGATGAGCCAGGAAGGAAGTTTCTCCCTAGACACCCTTTTCCTCCCTGATCCTAGGCTGGTGGTCCTCATTCTCTCTCTCTCTCTCTTTATTTTTCTGAGACAGAGTCTTGCTTTATTGCCCAGGCTGGAGTGTACCTCCACCTCCCGGGTTCAGGAGATTTTCCTGCCTTAGCCTCCCAAGTAGCTGGGATTATGGGCATCCGCCACCACGCCCAGTAGCCAATTTTTGTATTTTTAGCAGAGATGAGGGTTTGACAATGTTGGCCAGGCTGGTTTCAAACTCCAGACCTCAGGTGATCCACCCACCTCAGCCTCCCAAATTGCTGGAATCACAGGTGGGAGCCACCACATCCTCATTCTTAATCAGCTTTTAGTTCAGTTTTTCGAGTCATGTTTTTAAGAATAATGCACAGGAGGTAAACCTTGCCAATTGTCTGGGAGAGCCAGTGAATAATGTGATATTCCTTGGCTACTGAGGACTCACACTGCTGTAGCCAGCCATCTAACAAGGGATGACAGTGTGGGCTGCCATGGGCAGCAGATGCCATCCTCACCATTGGAGACCCTCTGGTTGTTGGCTGCCCCCAAAGAGGTAGAGTCCTCTCTGCCCAGGGGAGAACCAAGCAGACCATTAGAAGCTTAGAGATGCTGCTTCTTTCCGGCAAGTTTTATGATGATGAAACTTGCTCTTGTCATGTATTTAAACCGTAAGACTGTTTTGTAGAAAATCTTTCATAATCATCTAATACGTATTTGTAATAGTCTGTGAGGATAGGCAGCTTATTAGACAGTCTTGCAAAGTTCACAATTATGCTATGAATAATGGATTGGTTTTTAAATGTATGATTTCTCCCTTCTCAGGTGACGTTCGAAATGATATCTATGTAACATTAGTTCAAGGAGATTTTGATAAAGGAAGCAAAACAACAGCGAAGAACGTGGAGGTCACGGTGTCTGTGTACGATGAGGATGGGAAGCGCTTAGAGGTACTTACCGTGGCGAGGGCTCATCTGTGGGGTTTCGGTTTCACTCGCCAATGCTCACCTTGGCTCTGCTACAGCATAGAAATCGTCACAGGTGGGGCTTTGGAATTCCGTTTCTTGGGGTTGGCATTGGCTTGCTTCCCCTTCCTCCAGCTTGCATGCAGGGGGCTAGGGTCCTCTGGTCCTGGCAGCTGGCTCAGGAGGTCCCTGTGGTCTTTTTTTTTTTTGAGATGGAGTCTTGCTCTTTTGGCCAGGTTAGAGTGCTACAGATGTGTGTCACCATGCCCGGCTAATTTTTATATTTTTTAGTAGACATGGGGTTTCACCATGTTGACCTCAAATGATCTGCCCGCCTTGGCCTCCCAAGGTGCTGGGATTACAGGCGTGAGCCACTGTACCCCTGTGGTCTTGACCACCTTTGCCCAGCCTTATCATGGAGTCTCATTTGCTGTCATAACCCCAAGGCCTAAAGGTCTAGCAATCACACTGGAAGTACAGATACCCTTGTTACCATTTGAGAGATGAAGGAATGAAGGCCCTAAGAAATCAATTAAACTGCTCTGGGTCAGACAGCTCCTGAGAGGTGGGACTGAGCACCTGCCCATGACAGCCAGAGCTCTGAACGCTGCCGGTGGTCATGAAGATCTGCTTCCGTGGTCATTGCAGCCGGCAGGGTCCACCTGGGAGGTACTTAGAAGCTGTTGTCTCCTCCGATGACCAGAGGTCAAATCAGAGCTACTATCCCTGTGAGGTGCCTCTTTACACCAGGGCTGGAGGCCCATGGGATTGTGCCTAAGGCTCAGCGTCGCTGAGAGAAGCATGATGCTTTTCTTTCTGGGTGAACCCCGTCCAGCATCGCTGCCTGCCTCATCTCCCTGGAAGCATAGGTGCTGCCCTTGCCGCTGGGTTTTCTGGTTGGAGTGAAGCTAACAGCGTTCATGGCTGGAAGAAGGGGAGGACAGGGTTCCCACCTTTTAGTCTGTAGCCCCTTACCCTAGACTTATGGGATGGATCAGGCAGCTTCCTGCAGATCCTAAGTTACTGGGGCAGAAGGTCTGGGGAGATGGATGTCAGCGTCATCCTCACGTGTCATAACCATTAAGATCTTAAATGTGTGACAATGGGTTAGAGCTGGCTGCTGGCTTCAGGTGGACCTGTGCTTCCCTTGCTGGGATCGTGTTCCTTTTGTGGTGGGGTATGTTGGTGTTCTTGGAGCTGTCCTCCCGCATATATAGTGGGGAATGTATATGGTGTCAAGCTCTGTGAGGTCTTACGTGAGCTCTTTATGCCTTCTTTTAAAGCATGTGATTTTCCCCGGTGCTGGTGATGAAGCAATTTCAGAGTACAAATCTGTGATTTACTACCAAGTGAAGCAGCCGCGCTGGTTTGAGACTGTTAAGGTATTATTTACATGGTCATTTTATCACACGGCGCTGATTATGAAATGCTCATTTGTAACCCAAGGAAACATCCTAGCATCCCCCTCAGCCCTGGAGCTGCTCTAGGCAGACACAGTGTCTCCCAACAAAGTCATTCAAGGTTGCTAAGGAACCACGCTGGCATTTCTTAGAATACATTTACTCTCATCTCCTTTTGGACATAAAAATCGGACTTTCATGGAGATAAATGACAGAGTCTTTCTAAGATAGCGATTGTCTTTCTCTTCCCAGCACTGTTTTATGTGTGGCATGCTGTCTTTACACCAAACAAAAAAATGGAGGTGCCAGCCTGTGGAGGTCATTGCTGGGGAGTCAGGCTCTGTTTTACAGCACAGACCTGGTGCATTTTCATAACGCTGCATGCTCACGTCTCCATGACGGAGTAAACACCGTGCCACCGCCAAGAGCTTGAATATTTGAAAACCAGGCTAGGGGCTGGCTCTGGAATACAGATATTCGATGTGAGAATTAGTGACAATTTTTGCTTAGAGGCACCATGTATTAGGTCTGTTTTCTTTGAGTGTAATGTGACTACAGGAAAGCTTTCTTGCTGCAGCTGTGGGCAGGTCATTACAGCGGTGGAAGGAGTAGAGACCCTTACAGGTTGGGGCTAAGAAGATAAATGGCAACTTTTTTTTTTGTTTGCTTTTGAGACGGAGTCTCACTATGCCACCCAGGCTGGAGCCCAGTGGTGCGATCTCGGCTCACTGCAACCTCTGCTTTCTGGGTTCAAACAATTCTCTTGCCTCAGTCTCCCAAGTAGCTGGGATTATAGGCATGCACCATGATGCCTGGCTAATTTTTTTTTTATTTTTAGTAGAGATGGGGTTTCACCATGTTGGCCAGGCTGGTCTCGAACTCCGGACCTCAAGGGATCTGCCCTCCTCGGCCTTCCAAAGTGTTGGGATTACAGGTGTGAGCCACCATGCCCAGCAGAAAAACAACAACTTTTAAAAATGGAATGTTTGCTCGGTGCGGTGCCTCATACCTGCAATCCCAGCACTGTGGGAGGCCGAGGTGGGCAGATCACCTGAGGTCAGGAGTTTGAGACCAGCCTGGCCAACATGGTGAAACCCCATCTCCACTAAAAATACAAAATTAGCCAGGCTTGGTCGCACATGTCAGTAATCCCAGCTACCAGAGAGGCTGAGGCAGGAGAATCGCTTGAACCCAGGAGGCAGAGTTTGTAGTGAGCTGAGATTGTGCTATTGCACTGCAGCCTAGGCAAGAAGAGTGAACTCCATCTCAAACAAACAACAACAAAAAAATAGAATCTTAACAGTAATGATCAGAGCATTCAGAAAAAAAATCCAGCTGTGTGACAGAGTTGGCTTGGTGCTATTAGAATATGATCTTATTTGAATTTTGCAAAGGCATTTTGTGTTTGGAGAAATCATATAGGGGACTAGATGTGCAGTATTTTCCCCACTGCGGTGCAGAAACGTTTAAGTCGTACCCGATGTCTCCAGTTGAATAAAGCTGTTAATGCTACGCGATACTGATAACGGTGCTAAAGTTCTTTTTCAATTCTTGAAGGTGGCCATTCCCATCGAGGACGTTAACCGCAGTCACCTTCGGTTCACCTTCCGCCACCGGTCATCGCAGGACTGTGAGTAGTCAAGCAGTTTCTCACCCCAAGGATTTTTAAGGGAGAGCTGGGGGAAAGCGCGAGACGCCACTCTCAGTTGCTCTGGCACTTGCTATCGTGACCCAGTAAGGCTCCTTTCCCACTGGCACTTATTCCCTGGAAACGTTCTTGTCTGTTTTTCCTCGAGCAGATCTCACGAGATCTGAATTTCCTTCTCTAGTTCCTCCTACCCAGTATTCCTGCTCCCCTTCTTTCTTTTGCTTGCCTGTCTTCCATGTTGGCTTGTCATCCATCCATGCCATCCATCAGAAAAGTGACCGAGCTGTGACAAATACATCCCACCAATGGGCTCTGAAGGCCCCTGTCTGGAAACTGGAAATCTTGAACGCTTTTGGTCTTTCTTGGTGGCCCTTGGTGTCTGGAGCTCAGGGATGGCTCTTCTCATAGACGTTTCCGTGATACCGACCATGATGCCAAGACTTTAGGAGGAAAGAAACTGCTATTTGAATCACTCTCCTTCAAAAGGAATTTATTATTGATGACTGAAGTTTGTTCCATCACATTTTGTTAAATTAATTGTCAACTAAAGGTGCAGCTCTGTGCTAGGCATTAAGGTATCATAGAAGGAAAACATGATTTCTGTCTTTCAGGGTGTTTCTTCGGCTTTGGAGACTGAGACATATTAATATTTGGGATAATAAGTGACAAAGAGAGTTGGCTAGAGGCTTGTGTGCTGCAGGCAGTTAAAGAAAGAGTGGTGTGGAGGGCAGACCACCCTTTGTTACTGATGATCCTGTGGGGGTCTCACCAGGTAGGGGGCAGTTTCAGGTTCCGTGTGCTTTGGAAGGAGCTGAAGCACGAGCTTCTTCTGTGTCTTCTTTTGAGGATAAGAATACCTTCCTGGCTGGTCCACTGGCTCGCCTTAGGAGGCCAAGGTTGGAGCATTGCTTGAGCCCTGGAGTTTGAGACCACCACCCTGGGCAACGCAGTGAGACTCCATCTTTCCTGAAAATCAAAACAATTATCCTCGTGTGGTGGTGTGTACTGTAGTCTCAGCTACTCGGGAGGCTGAGGCAGGAGAATCAGCTGAACCCAGGAGGCAGAGGTTGCAGTGAGCCATGATTGCACCACTGCACTCAAGCCTGGGCAACAGAGTGAGCCCTATCTCAAAAAAACGAAAGCAAAACCTTCCTCCTGGGGTATTCTTGAAGGTCAGGCATGTTGGGGTCTGACCACCTCCTGGCATGGTGCCTGCTATGGATAGGGGCTCCATTGTATCTGCTGCTGGGATGTATTCATTCATCGGACTGTTTCTGGGGACTGGCCTGTCCTGGGCCTTCAATGTGAGATGGGTGTACCTGGATAGGGAGTCTGCAGGAGAGCAAATGCACAAGCAAGGTCATGGTGTTATGGTGTGTAGACCGCCTTGTGGGACCATCGAGAAGCTTGGGCCTGCTGCTGTTCAGGGGAGTTGCAGAGGCCTGGTGTGTGAGGTCTGCAGAGCTGGGTTGTGGGCCCACGCTGTCAATGGCAGATGTGTGTGCGGTGGGGCATGGCCTGGGACGTGGCTGACCAGAGGGGTCTCACGCAGCATGGGGTGCCTGGTGGTGGGTAGTTTATTGGGCTAGGGGGCGGGAGGGACTGACAGCTGCAGAAAGCAACACTGTACGCCTGTCGTGTCCCAACAGTGCACGCAGGTCAGGGGTTCAGTTACCAGGGCATCAGGTTCATGTGTAATGGGAGAAGCAGGGGCAGGAAGGCCGCCAGCTTGGAAGGCAGTTCCCTGCCATCTCATGCTTGCCCCAGGGCCAGATCCAGGTCACCAGGCCCCAGACCAGGTGGGGTCTGCTGATACATGACATCCTTGGTGGCCGAAGCTGCAGAATAATAACTATCAAAAACCGTCAACAGATGTGGGCCGTCGTTCACTGTGCTCTTACCATGTGCCTGACATAAGAAGTTTATTTTGCTGGTTTTTTTTTTTTTTGAGACGGAGTTTCGCTCTTGTTACCCAGGCTGGAGTGCAATGGCGCAATCTTGGCTAACCGCAACCTCTGCCTCCTGGGTTCAGGCAATTCTCCTGCCTCAGCCTCCTGAGTAGCTGGGATTACAGGCACACACCACCATGCCCAGCTAATTTTTTTTGTATCTTTAGTAGAGACGGGGTTTCACCATGTTGACCAGGATGGTCTTGATCTCTTGACCTTGTGATTCACCCGCCTCGGCCTCCCAACGTGCTGGGATTACAGGCTTGAGCCACCGCACCCGGCCTATTTTGCTGTTTAGATTCATCCTTGCAAAATTCCCATGTGGTATCCATATTATTATTTCCCACATTACAGATGAGGATACTGGGGCTCGGGGACCCCCAAGTCAGGGGCTGAAAGACACCCAAGTAGTCAGTGGATGAGCTTTGGTTCAATCCCAGGTCCTTGTGCCTGAGCGTTACGCTCCAATGCCTTGGGGAAGTGGTGAGGCCACTTCTGTCCTTTGGTTGTTATTGAGTTCCTACTGTACACACAATAAGCTGCTGGAGTTTCTCCTCTTGTAGAGCTTAGGTTTGAGGTCAGGTTTGAGATGAGTTTGTAAGAACCAACTAGAATGTGGCAGCCTGTGAGTATCACGTGAATTAGGTGGAGGGTACTGGTGGAATGGGGGTAGCTGTGGGCACAGGTGTGCAGGTGTGTCGTTAGCCAAGGCATGGAGGGCATGGCGGGCCAGCCTGTTGGGCTGCAGTGTGCCTCAGACCCTCTAGGGCTCCATGTATCTGTCACCCTGAGGCCCCCAGAGGAAGCAGGGCGAGGACAGGGTTCTGGAATCCACAGAGGACTCGTCTCAAAATCAACCTCCTGTCTTTTAACAAGCTCGTTCTCTCTAATTAATAAATTATACTAGGGCAGAGCGATAGCTCCTGTAGCATTTTAATTTCAAAATCCTTGTTTTTCTTGTCAGTTTTAAGTACTCATTATAGACAAGATGGTATCACCCGACATACCAGGACACATTTGCATAATAAATGAAGTCTCCGTGGCCACAGCCTGTGGGATTTTGGAAACACGTTGAGCATCACAAGTGGGATGCTGATGAAGGCCTGGATGTGGGCCGCTGGCCTTTGGGGCCTCCCCAGCCAGCCCTGCATGCAGATACTTGGGGCAGAAACAGATAGAAAGGCTGAGGGCACACTGGTTCCCACCTGCTACCCTACAGAGGCTAGCAAAGGGAACAAGTGATGCGATTCTCACCTGGGATCTGTCCTTGGGATTGGAAAGTTTGATATTGGTGGGTTGACATAATACCTTTCCAGCAACCTGTTAGCAACTCCAGGTGCACCAGACCATGTGGTCCGCGGGTCCCAGCAGACTTTCAGCTCTCAGGTACGGCTGGCCAGAACTTAAGTTTCCCTTGATTGTAGTGGGCTTGTTGGGTGGTGTGGCCTGGAGAATGAGCAGCTCTGTCCACGCTCCGGAACACATGACCCCTGCTGTGGTTCCTAAGGTTCTGTAAACTTGTCATATAAAACATTCACCTCATGATCGCTGCTGATGAGCATGCAATAAAAAGCCGCCCATTCCTCAGATGAGAAGGTGTAGAATGTTAATAAAGGTGCCCCTATTTATACTACTTACTGGTGGGATCTGTAGAAGCCATCTGCTGACCATGATTGTCAGCTGTCCTTCTGAACCCTGGCTGCTTTTATGGAGGCATGCCTTTTTTGGTGTTTCCAAGTCTACCCAAGCTTAGGAGGAACTGTTCCGTTCTTGGCCATTTGAATATTGAAATATTTTATGTGCGTTGGTGCCCTTTTATGGAGTTATTCTTTTTAGAATCCTAGGGTACATATATTTTACTTTCATTTCTTCCTGTGTTTTTTGGCTTGTTGATCATATATGGAACTGTCTAATTTTCCAGCACTTATTGAGCACCTACTGTGTGCAAAATACTGCTGGACACCAGGAAGGCAGATAAGCTGTGTTATCCTGGGTAGTGGGATCTGAGGGTAAATATTTTGAGGTGCTGACCCAGTATGGGTAAGTCTGTGATTCTTCCTCTCTGGCCTCTGTCCTTTCATCAGTGAAAAGAAGGCTCTGAATCTGTAATTGGAGAGAGAGTCTCTAGCTCTGGGCCTCTGAGTGCTCCACTCAGATTGCAGCTTGAGGAATTCCCAGCAGATCCATTTCTTCAGTCCACGTTCCTTATCTGTCCCGGCTCATCAGTCCTTTTCCACCTTTGGCTCTTGCCGTCTGCCGCTCACCAGCCACGCTGGTCTTCTGTCCCCGTATGTGCCACACCTTTCCACATGAGGGTCTCTGCACCAGGTCCCTTTCTTCCTGGAGCAGTGATGTCTTGGCTCATCTGCTGTCCAGCCTCTCAGAGAGATGTCTTCTGACAAATTGGATTGTCCCCATTGTCCCTGAGACCTCTTAAGAAACCACCACATTTTATATTTTTTTATCAGCTGAAAGCTCATTTGTTTGTTGACTGTCTCCCAAAGTGGCAGAAATGTGGATTGAGTACCTGTTTGGCACCAGGCACTATCTCATGTCCTGGGATATGGCAACAAAGCAAAAGGTCACTTACATTCCATGGTCCAGTGGATGAAACCAACAGTAAACGGCAACAAGATTCTCTGTCTCTGTCTCTCTCTCTCTCTCTCTCTCACACACACACACACACACACACACACAATCACACACGTCTGGTAGTGATAGGGATTATGAAGAAAACTAAATCAGGTGAGAGGAAAGAGGGTGATTGAGTGACTAATGGACTTTTGGACAAGATGTGGTCACTTTGGAGGAGGTGACATTTTGGTAGAAACTTGAATGAAGTGAGTGAGCCCCGCATTCAGTTATCTGGGGGCTGAACTTTCTCACCAAAGGCAACACAATTTCACATTGAGGTCTTTAGTCCATGGTAATGGTGATTCACGTGGAAGAGATTGCCCCAGGCAGACATCATGTGAGTTTTCTGTACTGACACGCAGTTTTCTTAGTGGAATGGCCACTTCCCGGCCTCTGTCATTTGCTGTGGCCCCTTGTTTCCAGGCCCCGCTCATTTCTGCTGGTCTGGGTGTCCTAGGTTAAAAGCACACGGCCTTTCTTATTGTCCCTGCAGTTACTCTGGCTTTCTCCTGTTGCGGGCCTTCCTCTGCATTCTTCAAGACATGCTGCTCTTCTTGGCCCTTCATCCTGGAATCGATTTTCAAGTTCCAGGAAAAATCTCTTCTGTGAGATTTTGATGACAATGGCTTTGAATTTACAGATTAAGTTGAGAACAGCTGTTCCCTTTATGATAGGAATCTTTTCACTCGTAAATGTGGTCCATTTCTCCATTTATTTATTAGATTGACTTTAATACCTGTTTGTACAATTTTATAATTGTTTGCATAAAGGTAGCCTTTATAGCATCTTATAATGCTATTTTGTCATGACAGTTGAAGGCAGTCATCAATTTTGTTTTGCTTTCTTTTGTTTTACAGCTAAGGATAAATCTGAGAAAATATTTGCACTAGCGTTTGTCAAGCTGATGAGATACGATGGCACCACCCTGCGAGATGGAGAGCATGACCTCATCGTCTATAAGGTAACTGGTTGCACTGGTGCAGTGTTGCTGATATAGACAGTTTCAGTCCTTTCTGGGCTTCCTGACCGGAACTGACATTTCCCATCATGGTGAGAAAGCTGCTATCTAGCTACATTGAATTATGTAAATGAACATTTCCAATGACCAGCCTTTGGTTGTTCCTAACGGGAAAAGATGACATACGCAGTAACAATAGTTACCATATAAAAAGGTCATGAACATGAATTACGCTGCAGGAGTAAGGGAAATCATTAAAATGTGTATTTGACACGATATAAAAAGCAATTGTCATGGTGGTTACAGGGACTAGGGATAACAAAGGATGGCAGGAATGGTGTGCTGCTCTTTCTGCCTCTGACCTCTGGCATGACTAAACCCACAGGCTGAAGCGAAGAAGCTGGAAGACGCAGCCACGTACTTGAGTCTGCCCTCCACGAAGGCGGAGTTGGAAGAAAAGGGCCACTCGGCCACGGGCAAGAGCATGCAGAGCCTCGGGAGCTGCACCATCAGCAAGGACTCCTTCCAGATCTCCACGCTGGTGTGCTCCACCAAACTCACCCAGAACGGTGCGTTCGAGACGAGAAACACCTTGAATAAAGTGAGAGAGTGAGCCCCGCATGCTCACTCTCTCACTTCATTCAAAGAGTTCTGCCAGGAGTTCTGCCTCAGTCCCATCTTTTCCATGCTCCATCCTCTACAGGAATGTTACCTGTAAGACATTCGTTGCATCGGGCTGTGAGGATCTATTAAGGCATAGAAGGTGGCATTCGCCATAATCGAAAATTCACACTTCTACTCTGGTCTAAGGGTTATTGTTTTTTTTTTTTTTTTCCCCAGAAAAGGTCACATTTTGCTCTGTTGCCCAGGCTGGAGTGCAGTGGTATGATCTCAGCTCACTGCAGCCTCGATCTGCTTCCCATGTAGCTGGGATCACAGGTGTGCACCATCATGCTTGGCTAATTTTATTTTTATTTTTTATAGAGATGAGGTCTCACTTTATTGCCCAGGCTGGTCCCAATCTCCTGTGTTCAAGCAGTGCTCCCACCTTGCTCTCCCAGAGTGCTCGGCTTACAGCTGTGAGCCACTGTGCCTGGCCTATTTTTATTTTTGAAGAGATGAGGTCTTACTTCACTGCCCAGGCTGGCCCCAAACTCCTGGGCTCAAGCAGTCCTCCCGCCTCGGTCTCCCAAAGTGCTGGAATTACAGGCATGAGCCACTGTGCCCAGCTGTGTTACTCTGAAAGGGAGATAAAGCAATGGATTTACTTCTTAAAATGATTTTTGGCCAAAGGAAAGTAGCGAGGCACAAGGGAAAATGCATGAGATTTGGAGTCAGACCTAAGACCTGGAATTGGACCATAGCCCTGTGGCAACCCTGGGAATGCCCTTGAACAAGGGTCTTCTGCAAGTTTCTGAGTCTTCTCTTCCTTGTCTGTTGATACGGGAATAGTGCCTGCCTCCAAGGGCTTAGTGAGGGTTATATGAGTAGAGGGATGGGAGCTCACCTCCCTCTTTATGTCTTCCCCATTTTCAGCTACTCTCTGAGATAATCACCAGTTATCTTTATTTCTAAAAGTTGGTTCAAATGACACTTTCTAGCCCTCCTCATGGCATGGGATAAGGCACACCCTCCTGACTCCCATGCCGCGAAGCTCAGCCGTAATGTGGCAGATCACTCATCCCGCAGCTGGTGCCATGCCCTTGTGCGGCGGTCAGCTGACTGTCTTGAACGCCTGCACCACCACCACTTACAGCCTCTCCAGCGACACTGCCGTCCAGCCGGGGGCACTTCTTATTCAGAGCACACTGATGTTGCTGCTTTCACTCTGTCTGGAAGAGGCAGAAATCCTACATTTAAAAATTGCATCCTCCAAATGCAGCCGTATCACAGCTGTGCAGAGTGACTTTATGCTCTCTTGAAACGGAGCTTGAAAATCCATTTTTTTCCTCTTACTGTCTGATACGGATTTTGATTATTAATGTCCGTTGCTGTCATGAATTGTGTCTCTGAGGGGGTTGTCCGTAAATCATGGCAGTAGTTTTGGATTTGCCCAAGGCACAGTCATCGTTTGGACTTTAACAGGATAAACGCAGACCAAAAGTAAAGCCATCCTTTGGAAGTCAGGACGTTGTAGTGGAGTGTGCACCAAGCGTGCTGCGTGTTTGAGCATGCCGGCCCTGGGTCACGTGCGTTTAGATCTTTCCGTTTCTGTACTTTGTACTCTGTTGTTCTGGGCTACACTTTCCCAGTGCTGGTCTGATGAGTAAACTGCTTGATGTGGGAGCAGTACGTCTCTCAAGGGTGCCTTAAGCCTATTGGGATACGTTTGTCTTCCATTAGCATACATTCTCCAACCATTTATGAAGTGTCCTAGCTTGTGGTTGTGTAGTGGTCTCTGTGAGCGAATGAAAAGCCTTACCTGGGGGTGGGATCTATGCAGCCATGTGGTGGGGAAGGGAGAGAATGCAGAAGGAGCCTGCTAGTGGCATGCCTAGGGAACGTGTGACTTATTAGTCTATGTTGACGCTGCTCATAAAGACATACCTGAGACTGGGAAATTTACAAACGAAAGACTTTTAATGGATTTAAGTTCCACGTGGCTGGAGAAACCTCACAGTTGTGGCGGAAGGCAAGGAGGATCAAGTCACATCTTAGATGGATGGCAGCAGGCAAACAGAGCGAGAGCTCGTGCAGGGGAGCGCCTCTTTCTAAAACCATCAGACCTCAAGAGACTTATTCACTATCATGAGAACAGCATGGGGAAGACTTGCCCCCGCCCATTCAGTAACCAGGTCTGTCCTATAACATGTAGAAATTTAAGATAAGACTTGGGTGGGGACACAGCCAAACGGTATCATGTGGTCAGCAGTGTGGGCCCCAACTTGAGACTTGGTTGTGGAAAGGATGCCCTGCTGTGACATGTTAATCTCTGGATGTGGCCCTGATACCTCCACTCGCCTGCCAGATGACAGCATCCAGAGCCTTATTTAACCCAAAAGTGACATCTTCAGGTGGGCCACACTTCAGCATTTCAGTAGGTGCCATGTGTTGCAGCGCTCACAGTGCAGGAAGCCGTCATCTCATACATGGGTCACGTTCCAAAACCATGCTTGGAACTCATTATTGGAAATGCTCATCTTTCCTCATTCAAAGCAGTGCTCTGAGCTGCAGTTAGGTAATGAGGCCTGTCCACGGAATCCTTCTTAACTCACATGCCCCTGGAGAAGGGGACCATGGACCAGGACATCTCCTGGAGCTGGGGGGCAGTGGCGATTCCTCCTTTCACCTTCAAGCTCCTTGAGTCTCACCAGCTGCAGAGTAATCCCCTCCCTGGACCGAGAGAGAGGGCACCCTGCTCTCAGCAGTAGCTGTTGCTGGGCAACAAGGAAATTCCAATGTGATGCCGCTTACCAGGACTGATGGGAAATCTGTCTTTCATTTCGCACCAGCCACTGTTCCCCTTCTCAGGACTGTGGCATGTCAGGTGTGTACAAGATGGAGCCGCCCCAAATGGCATCTAAGCATCGACTCCCACATTCTCATTTGAGGGAATCATTTTTCTGAAACCATTATTTGTTCCTGTGAAGTTCCATTACTTAGAGAAATGCAGTGGCTGAATTATTCATTGAGGTTTGTATTAAACTTCTCTGTCCTCAGCATTCTGCTAGATGCTGTGGTGGCTTTGAAAGAAGTGTAAGATGTGATTCTTCTTCTCAATTAACTGACTATATAATTAGAGAGAAAGGAGTGTGAATATGGGCCATGAGTCCCAGTAATGAGGGCCTGGGGTCGGACTCATCTGCCTTGGGCAGCCTCGTGGGGGCTGGACAAGCTCTGTTTTCCTCCAACACTCCCTTTGCTTTTAGGTGTTTTACTACTCATTAGCCCAATCGGACTTTGTCTCAAACGTAAAATACAACATGCCACCAACTTTGAATGAATGAGATCCAGATTATTAGTGTCTATTAAGGAAATGCTGGTAATTCCTGTGAGATGGAAATCCCCCTTAACCCTAGGACCAAGAGGTGTCAGGGCAGGATTGAGCCTTTTCCATTACTTGACTTTTGATTAGAAATGAAAACATCTTGGCCAGGTGCAGTGGCTCACACCCTAATCCCAGCACTTTGGGAGGCCAAGGCATGAGGATCACATGAGCCCAGGAGTTTAAGACCAGCCTGGGCAACGTGGTGAGTCCCCATCTCTACAAAAAATTAAGCATTAGCTGTGAGTGGTGGCATGCACCTGTAGTCCCAGCAACATGGGAGGCTGTGGTGGGAAGATTGCTTGAGCATGCAATGTAGAGGCCACAGTGACCCATGACTGTGCTCCTGCACTCCAGCCTGGGTGACGGTGTGAGAGCCTGTTTTTTAAAAAAACAAAGATTAAATTGCTCAATTTCCCATCATCTCCATCTGTGCTTTGGAGTAGGCATTCTGCTAAGTGCTTTCTACACGTTATGTCAGTTAACTCTTTTTTTTTGAGACGGAGTTTCACTCTTGTTACCCAGGCTGGAGTGCAATGGCACGATCTCGGCTCACCACCACCTCCGCCTCCTGGGTTCAGGCAATTCTCCTGCCTCAGCCTCCTGAGTAGCTGGGATTACAGGCACGCACCACCATGCGCAGCTAATTTTTTGTATTTTTAGTAGAGACGGGGTTTCACCATGTTGATGAGGATGGTCTTGATCTCTTGACCTCGTGATCCACCTGCCTCGGCCTCCCAAAGTGCTGGGATTACAGGCTTGAGCCACCGCGCCCGGCCCGTCAGTTCATTCTTATAGACACCTTGTGAACCAGCCAACATTGTACCCATGCTTCAGATGAGAACACTGAGGTGAAGTTACTCGCTCAAGGCCAAGTAGTTGCTGAGTGACCCAGCTGGTGTTGAAGCCCACCCCTGGCATCTTCCATAGCACCCTCTGGGTGCTGCTCCTTTTCTGTCTCCATTTTTAACTCTTCCCACTGTCAGCTGTACTTGGGGATAGAAGGTGAAATAAATTAAAATGTATGTTTTGGAGCTTATTGTGTGCATGCCTTTTATACAGTTTGATGCTGAAATTATAATGTCTGTCTTTCCTGAATTTCTACCTCTAGTCATAGTAAGAGTTATTTTTTTTTTTTCAGTATGTTTTAACTAGGGTTTTGTTTTTTGATTTTCTCTTCTATGGAGACAGTTTCTATAGCTGAAGTTGGTTCTCGATGAGCATAAATGGTAAACTAGATGTACTTTGTTAATGGTATTTTTTCAAGTAATAGGATGTTAATATAACTTCAAGTGAAAATTAGGTAGGCATATATACCTTCCTAGAGGAGTTTGGGATTCTGTCTTCTTACCTTAAAGAATATCTTGGGACAGGTGCGGTGGCTCATGCCTGTAATCCCAACACTTTGGAGGCCAAGGCAGGTGGATCACCTGAGGTCAGGAGTTGAAGACCAGCCTGGCCAACATGGTGAAACTCCATCTCTGCTAAATACAAACAAAAATTAGCTGGGCATGGTGGCAGGTGACTGTAATCTTAGCTACTCAGGAAGCCGAGGCAGGACTATTGCTTGAACCTGGGATGGGGAGGTTGCAGTGAGCTGAGATCGCGCTGTTGTACTCCAGCCTGGGCAGCAAGAGCGAAATTCCATCTCAAAAAAGAATATACATACGTGTGTGTGTGTATCTTGATGCCTTAAACAAAAACATTTCTTGACACTGTCTTCTTCCACATCGAGTCTTTAAAAACCAGTATATTCATTCCTTGTTTTTTCTATAAAAAATGCAACAAATGAAAATATGGTCATAAGAACTACAAGCTTCTGTGGAAGCCCAGGTCTGGTCAGGGCCGGAAACTCACTCAGTGCAGGCGTGAAACGTCTCAGCTGTGCAGGGTCACGGTGGCTGCAGGAACTCGAACCTTGCAGGCTCAGTACTTTAATTTGTGTTAGTTATATCGTTTATTTTATCTATGAAAGCATAGAGGCTTGTTCTTGAGCAGGAAAACCAAATCACTTGGTATGCAGAGCCTGGTCTGCTTGTGGGGTGAGCAGGCCTCTTCGGGCCTCGTGCTCTGACACCGCTTTCTTGTAGAATGGCAAGACAGGTTCCTTTTTAGTTTCCCAAACACGTTTTTAAAGCTGCTACATGGAAGTCGTTTCATGGTAACTGTAGTTGGGAGTAATGCATCAGCTGTACTAGGTGGTAAGTATGTCGCTACAAAGGAATGGAATATTTAGCAGGTGAAAATAGGGTTGATTTGTCTGTTCACAAGATTTTCTAGAGAACCTCATGTAATGCATGATTAGGACACAGAGCAGAGTTGTTGTGAAGAGCTGATTTGCGTTTTCTGTTTCCAGTGGACCTCCTGGGGCTGCTGAAGTGGCGCTCCAACACCAGCCTGCTGCAGCAGAACTTGAGGCAGCTGATGAAGGTCGATGGCGGTGAAGTCGTGAAGGTAACGTGGAGCCCAAAGGGACTTTTTGGGTCTTTTTTTTTGTTTTAATGTATATTAACAGAAGTAGGCAGTATAGGATTCTAGTTATACTCCCTTTAAAAAATAGTGATGTACACCTCGAAGTGCACAGAGTGCTTCTTGGCTTCTGGTTTGCGGGACTGTCTTTGTGAACCCCGAAGAGCACTGGCTTTGCAATCAACCTCATCGTGGGTTCTGTGTCCTCTTCCCACAGGCCCTCATGGCAGGACTCACTACAGTTTGGTGGACTCTTTAGGCCTCTTTCCCCTTCCCTGAGCAGGGGAATAACTGCAGGGCCGTTGTGGAGCCTCAGGTCTTTTTACTGTCCTCATGATCCTTGTTACTGCCATCAGCATTCTTACTAGCCCTGGCTTAGGACTCCCTGAGATCCTCTTTAAGTGACCAGGAGAGGTCTGTGGTGTGGTAGAAAGGTCACAACACTGAGAGGCTTGTCTGGGCCGGTTTCTTCCCGTGGGATGCTCTGCAGCAGTGTCGGGTATATTTTTTCAGGCCCTCGTGGCCTCAGCATCTTTATCTATGAGGTAGGGCAGTCAGATTCCATGGCCTGAGGTCCCTGGGAGCATTCAGCTTCTGGAATTCTTTACTCCGTGATTGTTTGCGGTTCTGATATTTTCTGTAGGATTGGACTCTCTGCTCTCAGATACCACATTATTACCTGGCGCAACTTTTCCTTGTACGAGAGGAAGTGAATTTACATTTTTAGTCGGTTCTGTTTTTCGCCTTGGAACAATAAGAGGGTCACCGGCACGTGGTGTTCTGTGGCTAGACTCTCTCAACTGTGTTGCTGCCTCAGTTCCTCACCCTCCAGGAGAGGTGATTGCTGAAAGAGATGACCTTATCTCTGTAAAAATTAATTGCTTAAAATGGCCTTAATTAACCAGCAGTGTGCTTCACTGATTCGGCTGCAGCCCCTTCCTGAGCGTGTTGTATAACCATTCAGACATATCCTCGCCCATCTTAAAATTTTAATCATCTTCTCAGTCCTGGTCTTCTCCCAATGGCTTGGACAATGTTAATTGCATTTTAAACTTCCCTGCGTTCTATAAATTCCCTAATTCAGATGGAAACTAGGTGAATAAGTGAACATAGTTGAGAAGAACATAGTTAATGAAATGTTGTCGTCTTTCATTTTCAAGTCCCTGTATCATATTAGGAATTGGTTGTATTTCTGTTCACCAGTCGCCACAGCTATGTAGAATTATCTTGTCCTGTCATTCCCCTCGCCTCATATATTCTCACATTCGATTATTCAACCCTGGACATGGCCTTAACATCTCTCTTCTTCCTGCACGTGCTGGAACCGGCCAAGCCTGGGTGACCTGTCTAGCCCTTACCTACCTTGTGTAGGTTTGTGCTTTTTCTCTGCCAGCCTGTCTGACATGTGCCAGGAACCGCCTGGGGCTCCTTTTGTACTTTTGTTTATTCGTTTGTTTGTTTGGGAAGGAGTTTTGCTCTTTGTTGACCAGGCTGGACTTGGCTGACTGCAACCTCTGCCTCCTGGGTTCAAGTAGTTCTCTTGTCTCAACCTCCCGAGTAGCTGGGATTACAGGTGTCCACTACCACGTCTGGCTAATTTTTGTATTTTTAGAAGAGACCGGGTTTCACCGTGTTGGCCAGGCTGATCTTGAACTCCTGATCACAGGTGATCTGCCTGCCTCCGCCTCCCAATGTGTTGAGATTACAGGTGTGAGCCGCCACGCCCAGCCCTCCTTTTGTACCGTTTAGGGATGCTGATAGATTATGGGTTTGGTTCCATTTACTCAAGACCTCCCTTCTGCATATTGATGACTGATAGTAGAGAGATGGCATCGCTTGATAGATTGAGGAAGGTATTTGTGTATTTAGCAGAAGATATTCTGTCCAATTGGATGGAAAATGGAAATAGTGACTTTGGTCCCCTTGAACGTGGTCTTAGAGAAAGGGTGGGGTGCCAGGTGAAGCCCTTTCATAACTCTGTGTGAGGGCCCTCCTTCAGGTGCTCACCTCTGCCTCACTGAAGCTCCGCAGCCCAATGCTTGCAGCTCTGTCTCCCTGTGGTTTTGTTTCTGTGCCACTGACCATGTGCTATGTCTGGGTGGGACCAGGTGGTCTACTTCAGGGACTTTGCCTGAACTGTGACAAGCCAGGTCCTGGCACCTGGGAGCCTGTTGGCAGGGGAACATTAGGCTGCTGGCAGATGGCATCAAGTTTTGACCTTTGCGCAGAATCTACGACCTGAAAATGATGGAAAATGATACGAAAGTAACAAAGTGGTACAGATCCAAATAGGAGTGGATTAAGCCCTTGATATCCAGCATTCCATTTGGTCACGCTGGTTTTGTTTGCCACTGTTTGCATGTGACATTTTCTGGTATAAAGTAGGGAGTGGCTGGTCCAGCCATGTACAAAGAGGATTTTACTCCCTAAACGGTTTCATTGATTTTACTCCCTACAGTTTCATTGAGATACGATTCACATACCAGATCTCATGCTGGGCACGGGAGGACATCCTCTCTCCCGAAGGAGACAGGCGAGGCTCTAGCTGCTGCTGCGGTTCCGTGGCACTCCTTTGCGAGCAGGGGTGTGTGGTTTGGTTCTTTCGTCTTGGGTCTATAGCAGTTTGATGTCCGCCATGTGGTCTGGAAGGCCCATAGGCTGCACAGTCCAGGAGGAATCTGAACAAAACACCAGACTCGGCCTTTCTTGCTGTGCAGTCACCTCACCCATTTCCGTTTTTTCCTTTAAATTACGGTTTCATTGAGATATGAGTCACATACCATAAAATTCATCCTTTTACTCTGAAGACTGTAGTGTCTTCACAGAGTTACACAACTATTACCACTGTCTGAATTTCAGAAATCCGATAGCTGTTTAGAGTCACTTCTACTATCCCTGTAACCACTAATCTGCTTCCTGTCTCTATGGATTTACCTGTTGTGGATATTTTACATACATTGGATCATACGCTATGTGGCCTTCTGTGTCTGGCTTCTGTCACTTAGCGTGTCTTCGAGGTTTATCCACGTTGTAGCGAGTGTCAGCGCTTCTCGCCTTTTTACGGCCGAATAACATTCCATCGCATGGAGAGACCGCAGATTGTCGTTCCACTCATTACTTGACTCGCATTTGTATTGATTCTACTTTTCTGGAGATGATGGATAATATTTGTGTACAAGTTATTTTGTGAACATATGTTTCCTTTCGTTTGGAGATATGGCCAGGAATGAAACTGTTGAGTCATATGGTAAATCTGTGTTTAACTTTTTGAGGAATTATCAAGCTGTTTTCCAGAGCCATTGCACAATTGTACATTTCTACCAGCAATGTGCGAGCGCTGCAGTTTTCCTGCGTTCTTGCTCACATTTATTATTATTCACCTTTTAAATTTAGCCCTCATGGTGGGTGTGAAGGGCTATCTCATGATGGTTTCCCTTTGCATCTCCCTAATGAGTAATGAGGCTAGACCAGTACGTCATCATGTTTATGGCCAGTATTTTGTTGTGTGGCATTCTGCCTCTTCTTGACCTTCTCTACTGATATGGATCATCACTTCCAATGCAGCCATCTTCAGTCCATCCTTCATTTCCTTCAGGGGAGGATGGGGTGGGACTTTTTTTGTGTGACATGCCTTTGAAGTCTCTTAACTTTTTTGTAATCACATGTATGATGCTTTGTCCTTCTTTGCAATAGTATTTATTTGGTCAGTTTTAGTCAACTGCAACTGTAATGTCGGCGTTGCTACTGAATAAAGTAAGCAACTTCTGGTCTCAAAACTGGGGTGCTGCTGCATCCTCCAGTTTCAGAATCACTGTCCTCTTCCATGCCCAGGCATCCCAGTTGGTATAAGGTCCTTTCTTCCACTCAGCTGGGTCGTGTCCCTGTGTGGCTTCTGACCATTCACTAGGTGAGATCCTGTACCCAGTGTGCAGAATGAGTCAGATGCATCTTCCCAGGGTTGCCATTCAGCTGTTTGTCACCCGCTTATGAAAACCAGGCAGAGGGTTGGAAAGGCTGCTGGGGGAAGCAGTAGGCCATCTCCTTGCTGTGACCCTCTCCGTTTGACGCTGGTGGCATTTCTTTTTTCTGAATTCACTCATCCAGAATTTCTGCCTTGTGCATCTAGTGGCTGAAAAAGATCCCAGAATGGCTTTATAGGTAGTGTTGGGGCAGGGTGTGTGGAGTACTGCAGAGATGACAGTTATTCCAGCGTGTGTGAGGAATCTCACATTGTCACCCGACCTTCTGTGTCTATGCAGTTCCTTCAGGACACATTGGATGCCCTCTTCAACATCATGATGGAGAACTCGGAGAGTGAGACTTTTGATACATTAGTCTTCGATGCTCTGGTAAGAGAGCTTTACTCCTCACGTGTTTGGATGACACAGTGTTCTTTTCATGCTGCAGCCTTTGGCGCTGGGGGAGAGGCTTGGTCGCAGTGACCTTGAACACATTTTCAGTTGTAAATCCAATCAATTGGGGTGGCAGATTAATTAATTAATTAATTTATTTATTTATCTATTTTTGAGACGGAGTTTTGCTCTTGTTACCCAGGCTGGAGTGCAATGGCGCAATCTCGGCTCACCGCCACCTCCGCCTCCTGGGTTCAGGCAATTCTCCTGCCTCAGCCTCCTGAGTAGCTGGGATTACAGGCACGCGCCACTGTCCCCAGCTAATTTTTTTGTATTTTGTATCTTTTTATTTTTAGTAGAGACAGGGTTTCCCCATGTTGACCAGGATGGTCTCGATCTCTTGACCTCGTGATCCACCCGCCTCGGCCTCCCAAAGTGCTGGGATTACAGACATGAGGCACCGTGCCCAGTCCGATTTTTTTATTTTTTAAGTGTAAAACTGCTGTAGTTAGGCAAATGTCATTTCTAGGACAAGAAGAGGTAAACTGGCCACCAACTTCTATCTGAAAATGAGATGGTTCATTCCCTAACACGGGTGCAAATGGTTCTGATGAAGATTATAAAATGGCTTGCGTTATGTTGCTAATGAAAATGTTATTAATTTGACAGGTATTTATCATTGGACTGATTGCTGATAGAAAATTTCAGCATTTTAATCCCGTTTTGGAAACATACATTAAGAAACACTTCAGTGCAACATTAGCCTACACGTAAGTTTCTACTTTCTTTTAAAACCATTGCTTCTTTTTTTTTGTATTTGTATTATTTAGAGTCTTTTTCATGTACTTTTATCTATGACTGTGTATTTGCCTCCACTCGAAACTCGGTGTTTCCTGGGATAATTTTTAGTATTGTTTTCCTCTTCACATACCTAAAAACCTTGTTGAAAGAGATACGTGATAAATCATCATAATATTCTGGAATAAATTCTTGTTCTCCCGCACACCTGTCATTTATCTTTGAGATCTTTGGTTTATGTTCGTTGAAACTGAAATATAGATGCGGAGTGTCTGACACCGTGGCTTCCCCACGAGCCCTGATGAATGGATAAATGCATGTGTTCCTGTGTTGAGGAGGTTGGTTGTTTAGTGTGAAGCTCTTTAAAGAGCACCTTCCCTTGTCTTTTACAAGCTTCAGCTGCCACTGTCTTGGATTCCTTCTGCCCACCCCTCTGCCTGTCTGTGCCCCAGAAGACCAAGAAGACTCCAGAGGCTGTGCACAGTGCCTGGGCCAGCTGAGCAGCATGCCTGGTAAATGCAGAGCAGAACCCCGGAGTCTGGAGTCAGGGTGCCTGGGCTTGCTGTGCAGCTCTGTCCCTCAAGGCCCTGTGATCTTGGGCTAGTTGCTTAACCTCTCTGAGCTTCAGCCTTCTTGTCTCTAATCAGAGCATGACTGTAGGCTTGTGTGAGAATTTTAATAAGTTATTACATGTAGAGTACTTGGACTAATCCCTGGCACTTAGAAAACGCTGAGCAGTTATTGGGTTTCATTATTATTAGATTTATTGTGGTGAGTTACCAGCTCTTTCATGGTAGGATTTATCGACATTTATTCAAACTTTTTATTGTGTGAGTTACAGTAAGACATAAAGGTTTACATCATCTCTTTAAGAACATCCCACTTACAATCATTAGAAAGGATTCTCTTTAGTGTGAGTCAATTTAATGAAATCTCCCTTCTGTGTCTTCAACATGCTTTGAAAAACACCTGCTTTTCCTCCCTATGCGCAGTCATGAACTCAGGTCGGAGGACTCTGGCCTCCTGAAGCCAGCTGTTAACATACCCCTCCTGCGCCTGGATTCCTTCATGTCTGCCTCGAGTGCCTGTTTACTGCGAGGTGGTGGGCGGAGCTCCAGGAAGGCTAAGAGCTGTGAGGTCCCCTAGCCGGCGGAATAAGCTGTGACAAGTTCTTTGCACTTGCTTGCTATGCTTGCTAATAAACGTTTGTTTAAAATGTGTTGTGCGCTGAGTGGCGGTGCCCAGTATGTGGGTGTGTTAGCTAGCTCCTTACAGACCATGGGGAGGGTGCCTTGCAGGGCACCTCCTGGCTCTCATCATCAAAACATGAGTGTGTGGGAAAGTGGCCTGCGGACTGTAGCAAATGTAGCGTTGCCTCCATGTGTGTGCATTTTCAGAATTCTGCCTCTTGACTGAAATGTGATCAAACAGCTCTTCTCAGATTAGGCTTTGTGCTTTAATTTCAGAAGAGGAGACCGTGAATCAGTTTACCACACCACAGCCACATCTCTTCATTGGCACCAGCCTTTCCATGCTGTGCTGCTGGGGAAAGGGTGATGCAGCCATTTTCATAGGTGGAGGAGGAAACATGGGAGATTTTAAGAGTTTCCTAGCAACAAACAAAAAGTACCGCTTTTATTTTCTTGCTGTGATGGGACTGAGATAAGAATAGCATCCTCTCAGCTGGGCGTGGGAGGCTGAGGCAGGTGGATCCCTTGAGGCCAGGAGTTTGAGACCAGCCTGGTCAACATGGCAAAAGCTGATCTCTACTAAAATTACAAAAATTAACTGGATGAGGTGGCGTGCACGTGTAATCCTAGCTACTTGGGAGGCTGAGCCAGGTGAATCACTTGAATCTGAGAGGCAGAGGTTGCAGTGAGCTGAGATCGTGCCACTACATTCCAGCCTGGGCAGAATGAGACTCTATCTCAAAAAAAAAAAAAGCTTTTTATTGTGACGTATTGGTAAAATAGTTACTTTTAGCTCATCTGTAGTTGCAGCGAAGGTTGCTCTTCTGAGTGCCCTATTCCATAACCTCAGCGAGCAGTCTGGCCTTGACTGGCTCACAGCTTAACCAGACATGCTGTCAGTACCCCAGCAGGTTGCTTTATGAATGTAACAGTCTTCCGTGTGGCGCTTAAAAAGCCGCAGTGAATCTTGTCGAGTGCATAAGATGCTGGTGACTGGAGAAGTTTGGTTGGTGGGTGTCCTTCCTGGTTGTCTCGCTGACTGCACGCATGGTGCCAGTTTTTGGAGAGCTGTAGTGAAGCTCAATACATTCAAACCTGGAAGTGTGTTGTTGTTCACGTATTGCTCTTTCATTATGTGTAAGCTGTTGCTTGAGGGTCATCCTTACCAGCAAGGACTCTTATTTTATGAATCAGTAGTGGTTGAAAGTGTAGAAGTGTGGATGGAATTAAAAATGACATAGCCTCACTGCTGCCTCTATCATTTAAAAATGGCACATGCTCAGTGGGAAAATAATTAATTTCACACTATCAAAATATTATTGTGCAGAAGATAAAAGCTCTCTGTATGTAATGCTGTGTCTTGGAGATAACTACTGTGCCAGCATTTATTTTCTGTTTATATTAACATTATTATTAAGATGAAGACTAGTATGTCTGCATATTTTACAAAATAGCATTATTTTTGCTTACTTAAAATTTTAAAACCTTTTAAAATTGTTAAAATTTGCGTAAAACAAAATGCTCATTTCATTTTTGTTCAGTTTTGTACACCCTGTAACCACTGCTCAAAACAAGATCCAAAACCTTGCCATTCCCCAGAAACATCCCGCTCGCCCTGACTGAGCCCATCCCACCCCCAGACAAGCAGCCCCACTGTGCTTTCTGTGATGATTGTGTTTTTCCTGTTCTTAAACTTTAGCCCAGTGGGATCCTGCACTCTTCTGTGTCCGGCTTCTTCCTTTCCACGTAATTCTTTTGAGATTCACCCATGTTGCTTTGTGTATCACGCCGTATTTTATTGTATGAATATTTCATAATTTGTTTAGCCCTTCTCTTGTTGATGGATACATGAAGTGTTTCTAGTTTCTGGCTGTTCTGAGCAAGGCTGCTGTGAGTATTCTTGTCCAAGTCTTTGGTGAAGTTTGTTTTCGTTTCCCTTGGATAAACACCGAGGGGTAGAATTGCCGGGCTAAAGGATACAGGTAGAGTATTTTTTTTTTTTTTTTTTTGAGATGGCGTTTCACTCTTGTAGCCCAGGCTGGAGTGCAATGGCGCGATCTCAGCTCACCGCAACCTACGCCTCCTGGGTTCAGGCAATTCTCCTACCTCCACCTCTCGAGTAGCTGGGATTACAGGCACGCGCCACCATGCCCAGCTAATTTTTTGTATTTTTAGTAGAGACGGGGTTTCACCATGTTGACCAGGATGGTCTCGATCTCTTGACCTCAGGATTCACCCGCCTCGGCCTTCCAAAGTGCTGGCATTACAGGCGTGAGTCACAATGCCTGGCTGTAGAGTTTTCTTTGTAAGAAATTGCCAGACAGTTCTCCAAAAGGACTGTACCATTTCCCATTCCCACCAGCAGTCTGTGAATGTTCCTTTTGCTCTGTATCCTCATCAATATTTAATATTGTCTGACTTTTTAGCTATGGTATTGGGGGCAAAATTGTATCTCTTAGTGATTTTAATTTGCAGTTACTAGATGACTGATGATACTGAGTACCTGTTTTTTTTTTTTATTTACCATTTGTGAAATGTCTGTTCAAATATCTTTTTTTCTTATATTTTGTTGTCTATTATTGATGTGTATGGTATGTCTGTGTATGTGCGTTTATACATATAAATGTGTGTATATTTTTTGTCAAACATGATTTTTGAACATTTTCTTCCTGCTTCTGTTTATCCCTTTTTTAAATGAAGTCTTTTGATGAGCAGAAATTTTTAGTTTTCTTGAAGCCTAAACTGTCATTTAAAAAAAAACAGAGATTTTAATTTTGTGGCTAAATAATCTTTGCCTAGTCAAAGGTCTTAACGATACCTGCAGTGTCTGATGTCACAGCACGTGTCTCGTGTGGTTATTTAAATGAAATTAAACTCAACATTGACTGCTACAGTTGCACTAGGTGTGTTTCAAGTGCCCAGTTACCACATGTGCTGAGCCACGTTGGACAGCTCAGACATCGGTTTCCATCACTGCAGAAAGTTCTGTTGGGCACCAATGTTTCTGAAGCTTTATGCTTTCGACAGAATTCAACATCTGTTGATGATAAAACCTCTTGGCAAACTAGGAATAGATGGGAAGTCCCTTGATCTGATGAAGCTCATCTAAGAAAAGTCATGGCTAACCTTCTACATAATGCTGCAACATGGGAAGCTTTTCCTGTAGGTTCAGGAGCAGATGTGGATGTGTCTTCTCACCATATCTATTATTCCACCGGAAGTAGTAAAGCAAGAAGAAATAATTGAGGGTATAACAGTTGGAAAGAAAAACTGTGTTTTCACACAGTGTGATTTTGCATATTAAAAATCCTCCTGAATCTATTTTATAATTTATTTGAAAATAAAATGAAACATAAAAGGAAACTTCAATTGTATATATACCCATAATAGAGAGAGGGAATTAAAAGTACAGTAGAATTATAGTGTGGTACAGTACAGTACACTCTACTGTATTGTGAAAAAGTCAGAGAGAGGTTGAACACAGTGGCTTATGCCTGTAATCTCAGCATTTTGGGAGGCTGAAGCAGGTGGATCACTTGAGGTCAGGAGTTGGAGACCAGCCTGACCAATATGGTGAAACTCTGTCTCTACTAAAAATACAAAAATTAGCCAGATGTGGTGGCAGGCACCTATAATCTCAGCCACTTGGGAGGCTGAGGCAAGAGAATCGCTTGAACCTGGTAGACAGAGGTTGCAGCGAGCTGAGATCATGCCACTGCACACCAGCCTGAGTGACACAGTGAGACTCTGTCTCAAAAAATAATAAATCAAATAATGAGGAATAAATTTGCTGATAGATGACTGAAAATTGTAAAATTTGCTAAGAGAAATGTAAAAAGAAGTAAATAATTTGATATATATACCATGTTCATGTGTTGAAAAATATTGCTTGAATGTTTATTTCAAATTATAGTTTGAACACAGTCTCAATGAAAATCCTATATGCTTTTGTGAAAAAAAATTGACTAGCTGATTTGAAAGTCTATACTTCGAAAATGTCTAAAATACCAAAATAATATTTTAGAAGATCAAGATTTCAAGACTTATTATTAAACATCAGTAACCAAGATAGGATGGTATTGGCAAAGGACAGACAAAAAGATCAGAGGCAGAGAATATCAAATACAGAACAGATTCCCAATAAACCTTCTATTTTATAACTGCTGTTTTCTTTTAATGGTGTAATGACAAAACTGGCCGTCTTTTTTTTTTTTTTTTACAACAGTAATGAGGGAGTCTCCCTCTCTGGTGCCCACCTTTTGTACTGAACTGCTGTGCAGTATTTCATTGTAGGGACATATCACCATTTATTGAGCCAGCTCTCAAAGGTTGGACGTTTGCATTATGTATTTTTCTAGGCAGATCATGTGGCAGTGAACCTCATTTGATTCATTTGTAATTGTTTCTGTAGGACAGATTACTAGAGTTGGAATTCCTGGTGTCAGAGGATTGGAATATCCTTCATTGTAATAGATATGCCCAATAGATATTGTAATACATGTATTTCCACTTTACCCTCTAAAAAAGTTTTATGCTCAACCCGGTGCAGTGGCTCACACCTGTAATCCCAGCATTTTGGGAGGGCGAGGTGGGTGGACCGTGAGATCAGGAGTTCAAGACCAGCCTGGCCAATGGGTGAAACCTCATCTCTACTAAAAATACAAAAATCAGCTAGGTGTGGTGGCTAGTCCCAGCTGCTCAGAAGGCTGAGGCAGGAGAATCGCTTGAACCTGAGAGGCGGAGGTTGCAGTGAGCTGAGATTGCACCACTGCACTCCAGCTTGGGCAACAGAGCAAGACTCCATTTAAAAAGAAAAAAAGTTTTATGTCCATTTATCCAACAGCAGTGTTAGGATACCCCAAAATTTGTATGTACTAGTCAGAAATTTTATGTTAATTTTTGTTTTATTAATGAAGTCGATTCATTTCATATTTCTAGATTTCTAAAAATTAACCTTCCAACCTTTTCACATTCCCTAAAACTTTGAGTAGGTCTATTATCATTTGAACTTTCTGGCTATTTGAATTACAGTAAAGTAAAAATCGTTTAATGCTTTTCCCTTCATCTTTACCAAGGAATTAATAAAACCTGTCTTTGAATTAAACACTGAAAATATTTATGAAACCATGAATTAAAATTAAGCATCCAATATATAGTTTATTTATACCGACTGTCTATAACTACTTCTGTAGTAGGATGAAAAATGTAAAAATAATTTTAATTTCTGTGCATTCTAAATTGTGTACATTTTGTTTTTTGTCATGGAAAGCTTTTAAATGTTTTTTTATTAGGATGTTACTTGGTTTTAGATCCCGATTTATAGATAAATAAACAAAGTGTAGTAGTCATTATGCTTTTAAAACTAAATGTTTTGGGGGACTCTTATTAGGAAATGTAAAAAATATTTTAAAATCATGTGTCCATTGATACTATTCTTATATATTGTTTATGCTCTTTTTCTATAAGGGTTTTTACAATATTTGTTAAAAATTTAAGACTGCTTCCTATTTGAAAAACTATTTGTAAAATTTTAATTTTCAGTGTAAGAACTCAAATTTTAGAAAATCAACTAAAATGAATAAAAGTGTCTGAGACGCTTTTCAGTAACAAATACTGTTTCATGCCTTTTACAAAAATTGTTTTCAAATACACATAACATAAAATTTACCTGATCATCTTATTTTATTTTATTATTATTTTTTGAGACAAGGTTTCACTCTTGTTGCCCAGACTGGAGTGCAGTAGCACGATCTCAGTTCACTGCATCCTGTGCTTCCTGCACTCAAGTGACTTCCCTGCCTCAGCCTCCCAAGTAGTTAGGACAACAGGCATATGCCATCCTACCTGGCTCATTTTTGTATTTTTTGTAGAGGTGGGGTTTTGCCTTGTGTTGTCCAGGCTGGTCTCAAACTCCTGAGCTGAAGTGATCCACCCACCTTGGCCTCCCAAAGTGCTGGGATTCCAGGTGTGAGCCACCGCGCCTGGCCCTACCTAAGTGCAGTGTTTAAAGTGCAGTGCTGAGAAAATCATCGCCACTATCCATCAGAGGATGTTTTTGGTGTCATGCCTTTTTGAAAATCTTCTTTCTGTCTCTGTTGTGCTGTAATGAAAATCTCTTCGATTTTATTGTTTAACCTTGGGGAAGCTCGTGTTTTGTCTAAGTCCTGGTTTTCTCCTCCATTAAATAGGGTAATACCGCCTCACAGTGTTGCTGTGAAGGCTAAATTAGGTAATGCATTTCATGCTTAGAACAACGTCTACACTTCAAAAGTGCTTCTTAAAATGCTCCGCCTTGACTCTCAGAGGGATATTTTATCGGCACATTTACTGATTAGGAAATGTTTTACAGGGCTGGCGAGGTGGCTCACACCTGTAATCCTTTGGGAGGCTGAGTGGGGTGCATTGCCTGAGTTCAGGAGTTCAAGACCAGCCTGGGCAAACAGTGAAACGCTGTGTCTACTAAAATACAAGAAATTATCCAGGCGAGGCAGTGTGCACCTATAATCCCACCTACTTGGGAGGCTGAGACAGGAGAATCACTTAAACCTGGAAGGCGGAGGTTGCAGTGAGCCAAGATTGAGCCATTATACTCCACCATGGGTAACAGAGTGAGACTCCATCTCAAAAAGAAAAAAAAAAAACAAACATTTTACAGATATTTAGATACTGATAGATGGAAGTCAAATAAAAGTAACGTACTTGTGTATTTCCTTAGCAGTTAAGATTGGAGATACTGTAATTTCCTGACCTTACTTGTGCGTACTTGCATTGTGAATAGGAAGCTGACGAAAGTGTTGAAGAACTATGTGGACAATGCTGAGAAGCCGGGAGTCAATGAGCAGCTGTACAAAGCCATGAAAGCACTGGAGTCCATCTTCAAGTTCATCGTGCGCTCCAGGATCCTGTTCAATCAGTATGTACCTACCCGCTGTGCTGGCTGTCGCAGAGGACTGGCAGGAAATCCTTCGCTTCTTCCCTTCCCCTTCTCTCGTCCCCTTATTCCTTCCCTCCCTCCCTCCCTCCCTCCCTCCTTTCCGCTTTCCCCCCTTGCTTTCTAGGCTGAGAGAGCACTAGCTGATAGTGATCCTGGGTTGGGCTGCCCACTCTTTCCTTACCCGCACGGGTCCACGCAGGTGCTGAGCGGGAGCCCCGTTCCTGCTCTAAGATGTGTGCCCGTGCGTCAAGCCTTGGCTTCTGGAAGCATTCGTGGTGGCTCGGGTGCATTCCTGGGTGTCTTTATATACAAGATATCTTTATTTGGCAAAAAGCCCCAAAAGAACAAATCAAAGTAAACAAGGAAAAGGCGGAACCAAGTGAAATTGCCTCACCCGCGCAGACTCTGGGATTTCCTCCTCCTCTTTTCCTTGGTAGAGTGATGTTTCATTTCTGGCGAATTCTTACTATATAGGGTACTTCCATGAGAAAGGATACTCAGGTGATCTAGCCTACTGACATTTTCCACATACTATGTGGATGAACTTATTAATGATTTTTTAGCTTTACAGTAAATCGAGGGGCTAAAGGGAGCAAAAAGAATATAAATGTGTTTATTACCATTGAACTGTATATTTAAAAATGGCAAAGATTCTAATTACATATGTATATTTTACCTCAATAAAATTAAAAGATAAATTGGGATATTTTTGGCTTAATTTATAGAGAGCTTTAATATTGTATAGATACAGATGCTGGTTGAGAGCTGTGCCAAAATGAAAGGACTTTCTACGTTGGCCCCTGTCTCTTCACTGTGTGATTCGAAGGATGTGAAAAGCAAGCGTATTGAGGGTGGGGTGTGGAATTTCACTCACTCTGCCTGCTCTTTTGGGGAGTGGCTACTTTGTGGGTTACCTGCCGTGAGTGACGTTGACGGATGTTGGTGGTTCTACATTGTCATTGTTCTTGCAGTCAGTTCCACACAGATGGGATTTCTGAACCTGTGTCCCTCTGAAGTAGAGAATGCGTTTGCCTTTGAAAAGCATGGTGCTCTTGTAAACGGTTAGTGAAAAGCAGGAATTGTAAATGTGGGCCCACATCAGTGCCTTCCCGTTTCTTCTTCACTGCATTTCCATTTGTCTGAAGCAGTCCTGTCCAGAAGGACCCAGCAGAAGGGGGAAGAATTCAGAATCTAACCACATGTGTACCATAATAGAAATGAGGACAAAGCAACACATTATTGACTGTGTGTTGACGTGTTAAAGTCATAAGCAGGATGGTAGCTGCCAGTGATGTGTTACTGGTCAGACGGGAGTGTGCTTGTGTTCAGTCTGGGTGCCCATGGTAACAACCACAGTCCTTGTGCTGCCATTTTTCATACAAAGACGGCATGTTTCAGGGCATCATGGTATTATCCTTGACTTAGATATTAAGGGCACACCCTTTTATCTTGCTTATTACGGGGATGCATGGCCTTTGGTGTGGATTGAAGCTTTCTCTCAAGGGTCTTAGGTTGTCAGTTATTTTCTCATTGTTAGGGTGAAACACAGCATGGTAAGCTAGGTTATGTGTTCTTGTATTTTAATTCTATTTTAGTACGAAAATGAACTTCCTGGCACCCTCTGCCTTGCTTTTTTGTTTCCCCCCACTGATTTTTACGTCTCTGATTACACTAAACCAAAGTACTGGGGTGGGAGGACGAACTTGAAAGGTGTTACAGTTTGTCGTGTTGTATTTGAAAAATGTTAATCTTGTGCAGTTTGTGATCAATATGACATTGACTCGGGTGTTTGATGATCTGCATATTCTCTCCCGATACGCTGCTGACTTTCCCCTTCATTCAGAGGTTTGTAATTAAAAGGACCGGGCATTGATAATCACAGTGTTTCTACTACCATAGTAAATGCTGTAGTCTTTTACACAGTAATGCCGCTTTAGAAAAGATTGACTTACCCAGGTCGACCAGTAGAAAATTATTTCTCCGCCTCTTTCTTTAATCTCTTTGAATTTCACAATACAAATGGCACGACATCTTAGATCTGTGGTCCATAATATTTTTTTAGTTTGATCAATCTAATAGTGCTGAGAATATGATTGGCTGCATGTAATAGAAAAACCCCATTTATGTGACTTAACCATATGAAGGTCACTTTGTTTTTAAATTACATAGCGTGGGGACTGGAGGAAGAATTCCAAGTTTATGCGCTGCATGAGGACTCAGTGTCTTGATGTCCTCGGCTCCTTTTATCTCTCCACGGCACCATCCTTAGTGGGGTCTCTTTATCCTAATCCTAAGATGGCTCCTGCCACTCCCAGCATCAGCTCTGCTTTCCAGGTGGAGGAGAGGGGAAGACAAAGGGGAAACAGCTATCCCCCTTCCCTAGAAAGTGTCGTATGCTGTCATCTGATTTGCCAGAACCATGTCACATCACCACCCTACCTGCAAGGAGGCTAGAAAGGATTTTTAGATGGGCTTGTTGATCCTTTTTACAAAACCAGAGTGATTGTAGTAAAGGAGTTAGGGAGAAATAGATAATGGATGGGCAATAAACATTCTCCTCCTCGTACCTTCAACCCAAAAGGCGGGTTCCCTGAGAGCTTCTCTGACTCATTCTGAGATACTAAATTGTACTTAACTAAGCTTTGCAGAGCCTTTCTTCCTCATTAGTTTGGGAGTCAATCTCTGAGTCTTCTGTCACCAGTATCTCTTTGGCTTTAAGTATCTCTTTAGGCCCTAAGTGATCCACTGACATGGTTTAGTCCTACCAGGTTACCTAGAAATGGACTGAAATACTCAGCTGACCCTCATGTTTGAGACAGGAAGTGTCTGCTAAAGTCCTCTGAATGCTTGCATTCTGGTGCTCAGCAACATGGCAGAGACCATGATCCCTCTGCTGCCTTTCTCCTGGTGTGGACCAGCAGGAGCTAGGCGTGGTCACAAACGGAGTTTCTTTGCTGGGATAACTTGTTTGTCAGAACAGTTGAGACTGTCGAGGACCCAGTGTGGTCACAAGACAAGTTGTAGCCATTGCTACAACTCAGTGAGGCTCCCTAAGCCTCTCAGGCCATTGTCTGAGCATTCCTGACTTCAGCTAACCAAGCACTGCAGTGATTCTGGAGATGCTGACGCTGCTGCTGCTGCTCCTGATGATAATGACGATGATGATTATTTGAGACAGGACCTCCCTCTGTCACTCAGGCTAGAGTGCTGTGGTGCAGCATAGGTCACTGCAGCCTCAAATCTGGGCTCAAGACAGCCTCCTGCCTTAGTCTCCCAAGTAGCTAGGACTATGGGCAGACGCCAGCACTCCTGGCTAATTGTGGAGACATGGTCTCGCTATGTTGCCCGGGGTGGTCTCAAACTCATGGTCTGAAGCGATCCTTCTTCTATGGTCTCCCAAAGTTCTGGGATTCCAGGCGTGAGCCCCTGTACCCCACTGATTCTGCGGATGTTGATACTCATGTTCCTTCTCTCCGTCCCTCTTTTCCTCCCTTCTTCGCTAGCTTCTTCCTTTTCTCATTGCTTCCTTCTTTCTTCTCTCCTTCCCTCCTTTTCTCTATCCTTTGTGCCTTCCTTCCTTCCATAAATACTTAATGAGCATTTGAGCTCCACGTGTATCCCCAGATTTTCACAGTTTGACTTTATTTTTTTCTCTCAATGTTTCCTGAATGTGGATCCTGGCTGCCTACCCTGATTCCTGAGGGGATAGAAGGACATAACATTCTTGGCAATGTAGAACACCTAGCCACATTGTGCAGAGACAACAAATACTTCCTCAATTCAATTCTGTGCTCTGAAATGACTGGGAAGCTATTTCATAGATTCTGTGAGAGGAAAAATCCCATGCCCTCAGAATCTTGGACAGTCTTGGCAGACGTCTTCTAGTAATCCCTGCCCTTCTGTCCTCCTCACCCCAGCTCCCCATCATCCCACCACAACATGTCAGTTGCTACCTCATCTGTGCTACCACAGGTCTGAATTGTGGATGAAATCGTTTTCCTAGCTTGTATAGGCTACTTAAAGGAAAAAGAGCCCCACGTCCCACGCAGATGTCTAAGACGTTTGATTCGTGACAAGCCCCAGGCGTGTCTCCTGTGTGGTGCTGTCAGAGGTGGGGAATAAAACAAACTAGGACTCTCATCTTCTTACCGGCAGCACTTTGTTACCTTGAGAGAAAAACAATTGTGCTCACAGCTGGAATTCGTGAGTGTGCTTTCCTTTTTGCAGTTGGGATAAACTTTTGAGATCTTATTTTTCTTTTGCTTTCAAAATGGTCTGCTGTGTTTTCCTATAATGTAATTGCTTTGTTAAATTCCAGGATAATTGACAGTAATTATTCTTCCAAAGAACAAGGAGGTGAAACTTTGGAGATGAAGATATTGACGCTTATGTTGTTAACTTACTATCTTGCTTGCTATGCAATCTCATATTTTTTATTTTGTTTAGAAAGCTCATTTTGTTTTGAAATGAGAACAGCAGTTTAAAAGCTGTGGCCCAAGACATTTGGTTCCTGGGGAACCCACTGAAAGATTCCTGACAGCCAGGAGCACTTTTCCACTGGCTTTTGTTTGTCTGTGTTTTCTGTGTGGGCGGATCACATTAACTAGAAAGCCAGAAAACAGATATCCTGCATCAGACCTTCGGAATCACTTCGGAATCAAATTACTAAATCTAGTTACTGCCTGCCTCTTTTTCTGGGTTTCCTGTGCTTTGTAAACTTTTTGCCTGTCATCTGGTGTTAGCTTTGTAAATAATTAGTTATTGATCATGAATAAGTTGTAGAGACCTTCTTGCTGACATTCCCTGGGTCACAAAATAGAATACAGTTAATAGACAAAGATCCTGTCATTCCTTATTAATTAATGAATGCTTATTTAAACAAAGCAAGGAATGAGCAGGTCTTACTCATCTGTTTATTTATCGGTATGTTTGTGAGTTGTTTTTTCTCAGTTTTTTTTATCCACCTCAGGGTGGATCAAAAAAGTGGCTCTTCTTGGTTTGTATGAGAAAACGAAAAGGGAAGATTCTAGAGACGTCCACCGTGATCTTTTGCTACAGAAAGATGCTTCAAAACGATCACTGCAAAATGCTGACAACCATTTATATGTTCTAAACATGTCAGTTGGCACTAGAGTAATATTTTACATTTTTATTCATGAGAGGTTCTGGTAGAGTTTAAAAAGTTAAAGATTCACTAATTATGATTTATGGATTTTGAAGCTGTGTTGTTGGGGGCATATAGCTTTATAATCATGATGTCTTTCTTGTGGATTTATTCCTTAATCAATATGAAAAGTTTCTCTTAATCTTTTAGCTAGGGTTTGCATGGAATACCTATTTCCATTCTTTCATTTTCAAACTTTCTGTGTCTTTATACTTAAGGTGTGCTGCCTCTTATTAGCAACATATAGTTGTATTTTTCTTTCATCCAGTCTGACAGTCTTCCTAATTGAGCATTTTATCCATTTTGTATAATGTAATTAAGTAGTATGTTAGATTTATATCTATTATTTTTGCATTAATTTTCCCTTCCCCATCTGTATTATGTTCCCCCCTTTCCTCCTTTTTTGCCTTCTTTTATACCAGTTACCTTTTTAAAAATAATCCCATTTTCTGATTTCTTAACATACAAGTTAAATATTCTTTTACTGTTATTTTTAACATTTATCCTAGAGATGGTAACTGCAAGTTGCACTTATTCTAGAGTATTTCAAATGGTTACGTTAGACATGGCTAAAAAATATGTGATAATGCTAGACATGGCTAAAAAATAGCACACTGAAACTGCCATTTTCTCCTCCCCTATTTTATGTTATTATTGTCTGTATTTCAGTTCTACATGTTTTATCCTCCCTAAGACATTGCTGTTATTTTATACAGTTAGTATTCATTTGAGGGGTTTTATATTTGTAACTGGTTTTCATCCTTCAATTTCACTTTTCCTTTGAGATCATGTTCTTTCTGTCCAGAGAACTCCCTGTATTATTTCTTTCAGTCTTGGCCAGTTATGGGGCTCTGTTTGTATGAAAATGATTTATTTCATCTTTGTGTTTGAAAGATATTTTCACTCATGATAGCATTCTGTTTTGGCAGTTATTTTCTTCCTCCATTCTCTTTTGGTTTTCTTCATTTATAGTAAGGCATTAGCTTTCGGACTTACTGTTACATCTTGGGATGTAAATGGTGTCTTTGTCTCTCTTGCTGCTTTCAGTTTGCCTCCTTTTCTGTGGTTATTGACAGTCTTACTATGGGTTGATAGGATTGTTTCTGCTTTTTATTTATCCCGTATTGAATTTTCAGATTGACATCTTTTATCAGTTTTGGAAGATTTGTGGCCATTGTCTGTTCTAATGGCCCGTTATCTTCCTCCTTTCTCCTGGCACTTCAATTGCATGTATATTAGATCTCCTCAATATGCCTGCACATCCCTGGCCCTCTTTTCTCTATTCTCTTCCTTGGTACTTCTGTTTAGTTATTTTTCTGTGGATTGTCTTCCATTTTACTAATTCTGTCTCCTGCTGTGTCTACTCTCTATTTTATTAATCCAAATAATACATTTTTAATTTTAGAGAGCATATTTTGTAGTTTAAAATTTCAATTTCATTTTTTCATAGATCCATTTCACTACTGAAATTTTTCTCTTATTTTTCATATTTTTATCTTATTTTCTGTATTCTTAAATAGGATGATTATAGTTGTTTTGATGTTCTAGGAAACTGTAATATCTAGATTATCTGTGGGGCTGTTTCTACTCTCTTCTTCCTCTTTCACTTGGACTGGGGTCTGGTTTTCTGCTGAGTTTGGTAATTTTTGTTTGAAGTCAAGACTGTTTGTATGTAAAATGGTAGAAGCTTCAGATGATTTGATCTTCTTCCAGAAATAATTCATCCTGCCTTCTCCTAGACAGATAAAGTGGGGCTGACCACCTTATTTAAATCAGAGACTGTGCTCAGTCAAGGCTGCATTGTACCCTTAGCATGCCTCAGTCTACATTTAATATGCCTGTGGCTTTCTAGGACTTTTATCCGAGAGTTGGCTCTGTTACCTGGGACTTTCTCCCTGGCGTCTTCTAAACTCTAGTTGTTTTCTTTAATGACTGGTACAAATTCCACTTTGCTTTATAGAGGTTTCCATTTTGTTTTTTAGTCTTCTACCCCATACAGCTCTAGGAATTACAGATGTCCTGAGGGGAAAAATGATTGCATGCTTGACGCCTCCCCAAGGGTTGCACCAGTCTACCAAATGTTCTCCACGTCACCTGCAAGCAGAAGTTTGTAACTCCATAATTTTAATTATTTGGTACATCATTTAAGCAAACCCCATTTGAAAACCCTTATTTACAAAACAGGTCAACTAGGTTGCAATTTCCCATTTTACACAGAACTTGTTACTTTACAGTGGAACTCATTTAAATATCAGACTACCTCTGGGGTAATTAATTATCGCTTAGCTTACAAAATTCTCCATCGTACACAAGGTTTCAGGTATAGTATATTTTTAATTAGGCAACAAACTAGTATTAATAAACTGTATTAATAAAACATCTGAGTCACAAGATTTAAAAATGCAAACGTGTTGCTTTTTAGTAACAGCAACCTGAAGGAACTGCTAATGAATAATTTACAGACGAGACTTATTTTCAATTAGTAACATGTATTAGCATACATGTAATCAGTGCACAACTTCCTTATTACCTATTTATTGAGTATGCCCCACCTCTGGAGTACTTTTCAGTTACTGCTGATGCTGAAATGAAGGCATTTGTATAGCACCATTACTTTGAAATAAAAAGTAAAATTACTCTTGTAATATCATTTTAAGGGATTAGAAGACCATGGTAAATTTAGGCAACTGAGTGTCTTGTTGATTTTCAATTTGTGACATAATGGGTTTAAAAACACTGATAGCAGTAGCTTGGTGGCTCACACCTGTAATCCCAGCAATTTGGGAGGCCGAGGCAGGCAGATCGACTGAGGTCAGGAGTTCGAGACCAGCCTGGCCAACATGGTCAAACTTTGTCTCTACTAAAACACAAAAATTAGCCAGGCGTGATGGTGGGCACCTGTAATCTCAGCTACTTGGGAGGTTGAGGCAGGAGAATTGCTTGAACCCAGGAGGCAGAGGTTGCAGTGAGCCAAGATCATGCCACTGCACTCCAGCCTGGGTGACAAGAGCGAGACTCTGTCACAAAAATAAATAAATAAAAAAATAATAAAAATCAAAACACCGATAGAAAACACAACAGAATCTTAATAGTGTAATTTTTTGGGGTAGAAATAAATCTGAATTTCCCCATCCTCTTTCCCTCCTTCTCTTCCTCTGCTCCTTCCTCCCTCCCTTGCTGTATATTTTCTGTGTTTTTTAGATTTATAAGATGTAGTATGTTACAATGAGAAACGCAGTGAGTGGCAGCATTAAGAGCCTCTGTATGTGGAGGCAGGCCGCCTCGGCTGAGCGGTCTGCATCAGTCTGACTACCAGGTTACCTTCCTTGCTTCATGGATATTGAGGATGTCATCTCTCATTCTAACTTGTCATCCAAGTGACTCCTTTTATGGGCTATAGACGTCGATTCAAAAGATGTTGAGGCGTTTCTGCCAGGCCCCCACAGTTCTGTGTGTTTCCTTGCAGACTTTATGAAAACAAAGGAGAGGCTGACTTCGTGGAATCTTTGCTGCAGCTCTTCAGGTCCATCAACGACATGGTGAGCAGCATGTCAGACCAGACCGTCCGGGTGAAGGTGAGTGCTGCCCACTGCTAAGGAGGACTTCTCTTTCTTTTCTTCCCTCATTACCTTTTCTGGAGGTAGGTATTTGGATTACAGTTAACTAACTTGCCTCAGGTAGTATAGTTGTTAATGTCGGAGATCTCAATTTGATTTCAAGAGCTGTGCTTTTTTTCTGAGTCTTGGTCTGTTGCCCAGGCTGGAGTGCAGTGGTGCAATCTCAGCTCACTGCAACCTCCGCCTCCGGGGGTGAAGTAATTCTCCTGTCTCAGCCTCCTGAGTTGCTGGGACTACAAGCGCATGTCACCACACCTGGCTAATTTTTTTGTATCTTTAGTGGAGACGGGGTTTCACCATATCGGTCGGGCTGGTCTCCCACTCCTGACCTCAGGTGATCCACCTGCCTCAGTCTCTCAAACTGCTGAGGTTACAGGCTTGAGCCACTGCACCCAGCCTTTTTTTTCTTTTCTTTTTAGTTGACACATAGTAATTGTACATATTTATGGGATACATGCTGGTATTTCAGTACAAGGTACACAGTGCGATCAAATCAGGGTGATTAGGATAGTATCACCTAGAACATTTTTCATTTCTTTGTGCCGTGAACATTCAGAATCCTTTCTGCTAGCTTTTTGAACAGATACACCAAATTAGTGTTGACTGTCTTCACTCTACATTGCTATAGAACAGTGGACTTTATTCTTCTGATCTAGCTGTAGCTTCGTATCAAAGTGGGCTTGTAGATGAAGGGCTTCCGCGGTGCCTGAGCAAGAGGCTGTGGGTCCCGCAAAGCCTGAACTTGAGGGAAAGGCCCTGGAGCCTGTTTTGTAGTAGACATAATCATGCTCCGTGTGCAGTGAAATCCTTTTCTTCCTGCTCCCTAGGTGCTCTAAAGTATGTCCATTGCTTTTCTTTGCTCTTTGGCAAGGAGAGATTCTTCATTCACTTTATTTAAATTTGGGGGAATTGATGACAGTTGTGTTTGACACCTAATTTCTCCAGCTGTCCTTGCCCCGGAAATGGTGCTGAGTCTTCGTGCTTCAGCGGATCTTTTGCCTGTGCACAAGAGTGAGCCGTCCAGTGCTCCTGTCCTTTCTTCTTCCCCCTTTTGATGACCTGGTCTCAATCTCTTGTCCTTGGGAAGAAAGATGCCTTCCACTCACAGAAGGCCTGACTGTTCTTTAGGATGCTCCCTGGTGTGGAAGTACCTGAGAGCCAAGGAGCAGCAGGAGGACCCTACACTCTTGGCTGTCGCAGTTGTGGTGGTTTTCACTGGGTTGACTTACTGCAGAAACAGCTGTACGACTTGCGATTGGCTACTTGCATTAATCCCTTCAAAGAGCAAGAATCTTCCCAATGATTAACTTACATCTTTCACTCGACTGATCATGGTAGATCCCTCTGTTCTTACTCTTAATGTTCCTGTAATGTATAATTTCAGAAGGCATTCTTACAGCTGGGGTCTTAAAAATATGTTGGTCAAGTTGCTTCCCAGCCTTAAAGCTTTGCCATATGCCCTGGAACAAAGATGAATGTGTGCTGAGAGTGGCTCCTGGTTGCTGAGACTGTAGTAACCAGCATAACTAGGCATGAACCAAGCAGAGCCCACCTGTCAGCTCAGAGGTGGTGCAGCCGTTTGGACTCTTTACTGTAATTTCTTAATTTTTTACATGAGTTTACTATAAAAATAGGTGGTTTATACAGAAAGAAATATATGTGCTGCATAAATTAAAATTTCAGGTTATTTTGGCAACTTGATATTGCCAAAAGCTGTCTTATTGTCTCCAGGGTAAAATTAGCAATGTGTTTGGTACATTTACTACTGAATGCAGTGGCATTTTAGAAAAACAGACGTGTGTAGTGTAAGAATAGATAAAAAATACAGGAAGTTTTGAGACCTGAATTAATTTTAGATTGCTAAATATATTCTTATATTATTAAATTTGATTGGGCTTGATTTGCGTCTGCCTACCTCCCCTGAAGTCAGATTACTCAGTGACGAGGGGCTAGGAAGGCCTTGCTTTAGTGGGTGTTTTATTATAAGACACAAGCGAATTCGGTGACATTTGTGCGTTGATGCAAACCTTACATCTGCAAGACAGACGCAGGACATTTCACTGGACAGTCCCCTCCCTTCTGCTAATTTGGAATAATATTATTTCATCATAGGTACTTTCTTGACGTTGGAAATTTAAAGCTGCCCCTCATGGGAGCCTGGTTTTTGTGTTGTTTTAACCCTTTCAATTTTGGTGTGTCGAAATGGAAATGCCATTGTGAACCATCTTGCATAGACAAGTATATCTTTAGACTGTGACATTTAAAGGTTAAACATTGTTTCCTAAAGTGTGGCCCTCGCTGGCAGTTTTGATTTTGGGATTGTCTGTGTGCCGTTGTGCCTTTGTGGCACGATTCTTGGTGACGTGACGGCTGAGAAGTTCTCTGTCAAGAGCCCCCACCCTGTTGTCACCTCTCGGTACCAAACCCGCCACGTGATCCACTTTGCAGATTAGAGTAAACCACGGGGTTTTCACCTCAATGAAGGGGGAGAGCGAGAGGAGCTTCTGCAATCATTTACTGCAGGATAAGTATGGTCTTCACCTAGAATTTTCAATAGTCTGTTTTCATTGATTTAGTGACAAGATTTTTCCAAGGTCATTTAAGTGAGAAGACACACATGGAGGATGCTTGGGCCAGTTTTTGTGTTAAGTCAAAGGTCCAGGAAACTCCAGTGAGTGTGTGGATGCTGCCTCCCTTCACTGCCCTGCCTGGCGGCCGCCTTCCATGACCCCCACCCCCCTGGTGCCCATGGTGCCCAGATGTTTCAATGCCACTTCACCGTCCCTCAGTTAATGACCCTCAGCCTCGGGGCTGCAACCAAATGCTTTTTGAAAACATTCTACTGTTGTAAGATAACATGAGATTTCCCATTTCTGAGTGTCCCATTCAGTGGCAGTAAGGACAATCGCAGTGCTGTGTAACCATCATCAGCATCCCTCTTTAGAACGTTGTTCATCTTTCCAAACTTAATGAAACGCCAGCCCCATCAAACACCAGCTTCCCGCATCTCCTGGCAGCCACGTTCTACTTTCTGTGTCTAAAAATTTAACGTCTCTGGGAACCTCATGGAAGTGGATGCATACAGCATTTGTCCTTTGTGTCTGGCTTCTTTTTTTTTTTTGAGACAGTCTTTCTCTGTTGCCAGGCTGGAGTGCAGTGGCGTGATCTCAGCTCACTGCAACTCCTGCCTCCTGGGTTTAAGCGATTCCCCTGCCTCAGCCTCCCAAGTAGCTGGGACTACAGGCGCATGCTACCATGCCTGGATAGATTTCTGTATTTTAGCAGAGATTGGGTTTCACCATGTTGGCCAAGATGGTCTCTATCTCCTGACCTCTTGATCTTCCCGCGTTGGGCCTCCCAAAGTGCTGGGATTACAGGCTTGAGCCACTGCACCGGGCCATGTCTGGCTTCTTTTACATGGCATCATTTAAAAGACCTGCAGGGTTCCACCAGGTCGTAGCATGTGTCCAAATCTTCTTCCTCTGTAAGGTTGTCCTTTTCCTGTGTGTCTGTTGCGCGTTTTGTCTTCCATCTCATCCGTGGATGGAGGCTCGGGCTGCCCCTACCTTGTGGCGGTTGTGGCTCTTGGCTGCTGTGAACTTGGTTGTACAGGTGCCTCTCGAAGATCCTATTGTCAGTGCTCCAGAAGCAGAATTGCTGTATCCTGTGGCAATTGTGCTTGAATTTTTCAAAGGATCACCCCCTTTTCCCCAGCACCCCCACATTCTACTGAAATCCCTTTTGAAATTCCATGTTGACTTTCCCTTAGCAGCTCTTCTCGCAGCTCCTCAAGCCCCAGGCATATCCCCTGCTGCACCCCACCTACCTACCCTGAGTGAATGATGCTGCTCCATCTGCCTCACTGAAAAGACTTGTGGTCTCCCGGCATTACGTCTCCCTGTCTGTTTCCCTCTTAAGAGGAAAAGCCCACTGTGCTGCACGGTGCCAACCTTCCCCCTCCTTGCGTCCCGCTCCGCCTCGCTGTTTCCTCGCCGTCTCAGACCTTCTGTCTCCACCTTGGACTGCCCTTTCAACAGGCCCAGATGTTCTGGAAATTCAACACATGCCTTCCAGATCCTTCTTTGCCCTCAGCGTCTTTCCCACCTGACAAGAGGATCCTTGGCCCCCGTCGCTGCTGCCCTGGGTCCCGTTCTCCGTTGTGCCCCCAGCAATTGTGGCTGCTACTCCTCGGTGCCCCAGCAGTCCCCAGCTGCCAGCTGCAGGGTCTCCAGACAGCCTCGGAATTCCCTTCTCCTGTCTTTTCTTCCCTATGGTCCCGGGGCAGCGATTTCATGAACCACTGGGCTTGCTAAGTCACCAGTTCTTCTTCCTGAAATTAGGGCAGAAGTCTCAGAAGCGTTCCCTGCACCCTGGTGCTGGACCTGCCCTTTTTGTACTCGGCGTCTCTTTTGGTGTTTCCCTAAAACTCCCATCTGGTGATGACTTGCTGTTTCTCAGAAAACTGTGCTGTTCTTCAGCTGCCAGGAGAAATGGGTCAGATTCCAGTGTGTGACATCCAGACAGCTTCACAGGCCACCCACCTGGCTCTCCAAGTCTCTTTCCCTCTTGGAGACCCAAGTAGAGCTGGTGCCTTCCCCAGGAAACCGCAAACATCTGGGTGTTGGCAACCTCCTGAAGGAGCTCTCCCAGTCAGTGATTGATAGAAATAGCATGAACACCTAGTGCCAGAATAACTGGAGTTGATGCTGATTAATCACCTGATTCTCAACTGATTTGGGCTTTACAATAGCCCTATTAAATAGATACTTTGATTGCTTTCTGATGAAGACACTGAGGCCTAGAGACATTCATTAACCTACCCAAGGCCACGCAGCTAGGTGGGAGTAGTGCGCTGGTTTAAACCCTGGTTGGCCAGTTCCAGAACCACTCTCTTTCCCATTTGGCTCCCAGAGACAGTGTTGATAAATCCTGGCTATCCATGGAGTTTGGAAGCAGGG